GTCAAAATATTGATTTGCTCCTTTATCTAATCCTGGCGAAGTTACCCTTCTCTTTGTGATTGGCAAATTTCATGTAAAAAAAAAAAGAACTTTTTTTTGTCGTAGGACCCGGCACTGTAAAAATGAGTATTGACCTCATTATATTTATTTCTTATTTTAACTGGGTAGCCCATTCAGTGGAATCCACTGATCTCCCATGGGTCCCAGTTAAGAGAAGACAATGTGAAGAAATCACAGTTTTAGATGTGAGGAAAAGCCCAGAAAAGTATTCTGAGAAAACGAAAACCCACGAAAACAGGTAGGGACTGAAAACCCAATCCACATATTGGCCCAGGCAGGATTCGAACCTGGGTCACAGCGGTGGAAGGCGAGGAAAGTACCGCTACACCAACCTGACCGACCCAGGTATCATGGTATTGTCAACTTACACCGCTATGTTAATTGGGTTTTTTTTCAGACCCATTGTTTTGGACCCATCCGAACCAACTGACAACGTCTGCAGTCTCTACACTGAAGAGGACAACATGGGTCAGATGCGATCAAAAGCCCAGGACGCGCTCCGATCCAGGCTCCTGCAAAGCGTGCAGGTTCGTCACGGCTGGAACTAGTGACGAGTCTTCCCTAACGACCCACCGGAAGCCACGTGACCCTACCCCTAACCTAACTCCACAGCTATACTGCAATCCCCAGAGCTATCCAAACCCTCAAAAACTGACACCTGCACTGAAAAATTGCCTGGGTTAATTTTACCAAAGAAAGGGTGAAAACTGGAACTACCCAAACTTGGGTTATTCTATAGCCAGTTGTTTGGGTTCGAATTTTCTGCTAAATTCAACTAAAACGTGTAGTCATACAAGACAGAATTAAATTTCGTCTTAAATTACCACAAATTTTGGTTGAATTTAGCAGAAATTCTAACCAAAACAAATTGGTTATAGAACAACCCAAGTTTGGGTAGTTCCATTTTTCACCCTTTCTTTGGTAAAATTAACCCAGGCAATTTTTCGGTGTGCGGGCCCTGACTTAACTTGACTTTACAAGCATTATGAAGCAAAACAAATACTGAAATTACTGCACACGACACCAGCTTATCTTCTTCTTTTTTTCAGGCGGGAGGGGGACATGGGGCCTTTTTACCTTCTTTATTTTAACATTTAACAGGGGCGGATGTAGCTTCCAGGAAACACGGCGGAGTGATATAAAGGGGGTTAAGTAAAGGGGTGCCAAAGGTATACCCTTCTATGGAGGGGGTCTTGGGCATGCCCATAGGATATTTTCAAATCAACAGTACTTCCTCCTGCATTCTAAGGCAATTTGAGAATATATTTAGGCTCTTTACCATTCCATTTATTATTTTTTGGCTCCATTATACTGGCATCATAATAGGGGGTGGGGTGGCCAAAAGGGAGGATGGGGGTTGTCCCCATCCCTCCTCTAGATCTGCCGCTGTTTAAACAACGAGAATAAGTAATAAATAATGAGCCCACAACCTATACTTATAATGAACCACACCCAATTTAACATAAATATTGATTATAACAATTGTACTTAACACAACTTTTATAGGCTTTTACATAAATAATCAAATCGAATCATCAGTTGTTAAATAAATAACATCGTAGATATAAGATATATTGTCTCTTGGCAATTAGCTCTCATATAGATATAATTAGGGACTACTTATTAATTTATAAATAATAATTATGCGCTTAATTCAATGACAGGAATTGAAAGTTTTTTGGTGAAGTGATTTTTGAAAATATTCATAGAATAACAAGTTACCGTTCATGTCACATTGTGAGGCTTAATGTTTCTCAGCTTTAAATTTAGTACAAAATAGGAAACTAATATTGTTACACCTGCATGTAGGCAATGTGTTAATAAACTCGGTTGATCGCGCTTAGCAAAACAAACGTTTACTTGCTTACTGAGTGAGAGGTCTCAAGACACCTTGACGGCATTACAGGAATAAGTGCTACACGCCGCGTCAGCTAAGAATTTTTTGACCTTCACCTGACGAATTTCAAATAGACACTGAAACCGAAAAAGTCCTCAATTCATGCAATGGCTTAGGAGCCCCGGTTTCAATGCTTATTTGCAATTCGTCTGTTATATAATGAGCAAAACCATTCACTCCTCCCCAGGTCAGGCTCACTTCCTCGACAACGGTGTACGCGCATCCCATAACGACAAGTTTCATGTACGTTTAACACACACGATCACCAACAGCAATATTTTACACCCTATTTTTGTAGAACATTACACAATTTAATGCAACAGGTAAAAAGTGTTTTGCAGAATATTGTCACTATACCAGCTATAACTACAGTTGTGCACATGTTTGCGCTAAATTCCCAGAGGAGATTCAAGCCCGTTTAAAAAAAAAATGGGTTCACAACTGCCATAGCAAAACACTTTTGGTTCTTGTTGGGCCGCTGCAGTGCGCGAGAACCAGTAACCATTGTTGCACTGAATTGTTCTCCGGGTGGCACTGAATGTCGCGCAGTCGTGCTTTACAAGACATTTTCAGATTTTGACATTATTCATACTCGGTGACCTAGTCAGTGACAATATTAGGCTGGCTCTCTGGGTTCAGGGGGGGAAAAGAGGAGGACCCATGAATTAATGTTATCACGTGTCTGTAGATACGGGACCACAGCGCCCTCAATTTTCCAATAGGTCTCATCTCTCCCCCTCCACCACGATAAGTTGTTGGATCAGACGTTAACGTGTGTATGTGCAGAGCCACACTAAGAACGTCTGATATATTCGTGCATGTAACTTTCATACGAACCCACGCACCAGCCAATCGGAGCCGCCTTTATAAGTCGGACGTCATTTAGAGCAGAAATTCTGCCAAAGTTGTTGATTGGACAATGAATGTAGTTGCCATGTTTTTGTCATGCAACGTCGGGTTACCGACGATCCGAGCGAAGGCGCCCGCCGAATGGTCAGATCAGGAGGTTAAGATCGACGCAGTGTGATGTTTTGCATAATCTGTACGCAGATCATTAACTACATTATAATAGGGCCCACAACTGAAAACTAGATCCTACTTGTATAAGTAGGATTATCATCTGGAGTATTTTTAGTTGGGCTTGATAATTTTACTTAAAGGGAATGTACATCATTGGCTTTTGCTGTAATTTTCAGAAATGAACTATTTGAGAGGTTTTTAGTATGATAGATCAAATATTGTTACACTGACATTTTTGAAGTTTGGTGTTCGAAAAGGTTGGAAAAACCAAGAAAAACAAAAATGTTCAAGTAGTCTGGTTCCCTGACTCCACAAAAGATAAAATGGATCAATTTATAGATGATGGAAAATTGTAAGGCAAGGGAACCAGTCTAGCTGGCCTGCACGCGTTCATGAACATGTAACCTATAGCAAACAAAATATGGACTGAAAAAAAATGGTAAATTTGGAGCAGTAGTTGAAAAATAGTTAGGTTTTTCCAACGCTGGTCGGCCGACCACCATGGAAAGGTTTACAAAAATACCATTTTCTTGAAAATGACTTCACACCAGGTGCCATAATTTTACAAGATGCTTGAGACTGTCATATACCAACATCCTAGTAAAATATTTCGTAAAAACTTGGTAGTTTTATTTTTCGATGTTTGCAAATGTTGTATATTCCCTTTAATGTAATGTGACATACAATTCACGACTCTAATTCACCGAGCTTACTTGAGCAAAAAAACTGTACGGAAGTCTGCCGCGTATTTCTCATCGAGGGAATTTCCGGAAGATGTTTTTCAGTTAATTAGTCCGCCAACTGGGATTTGAGAGTGAAACAAAACACCCTAAACTATGGCAAAAATGGAAGTAGATGACAAAGCTTTATTTAACCTGACTTTCCGGCAATTATCGACAAAGTATTAACCGTAGTTCAGCGTCAACTGAAGCTTCTACTGCAAATGACTCCGCTAGTTATCACGGCTGTTCCGTATTATTGTTCAATTTCGATCCCACAATAATTTGCCAATTTATTCATGCACACTGCAGCTCAGACGGACCGTCATAATAAATAATACACGCACACATAACTAACCCCTGGGATTTCTCATCGCTATTGCTGCTCGCAGACTGACCCTTGAACTGTACAATTAACTGAAAAAGGAAAACAGCCTGATCGGGATTTCTCATCGGGGTTTTCCCATGGCTTGCCTGGTACTCGTTCAGGTTTACGTATAGGCAACATTTAGAGACCAGCGTACTGCATCTACAAATGCATCCGTTAAACATGGTAGCGTCAGTATCACACTGGGAGGAAGGTGCACTTATCATAATTGATGCCTAAGTCACCGAGTTGATTAGCAGGTCGTATGACGTCGCTATATAGAGCATGAATTATGCAGAGAGACCGTGCCAAGGGCCGACGCACGGAGGCCATATGCGCCAGATGAAAGCGCTGGCTTGTCGTATGCAAACGATAGCCTAGCAATGTGTGTCAATTTCTTCGTTGTTCCAGACAATCAGAATGATGCACAATAAATTGCTGGGTTTTTTTTACGAAACCGGTATTTAGGGTCATTGCGTTTTAATGGTGATATTATTTGAACGGACTGAGCAATTTCAGTATATATTTTTTTATCTAAAATAAAAGAAGTCTGGAATAGTTAGGTTTTCCTGTCATTATACTTATTTTTGTGCTACATATTCTTTCAAATATGAAATATATTTTTGGAGGTTTGGGTTTAGCTTTTTTTTACTCGCCTTAAATAAATGAAACGAGAACTGTTTAACACTGAAGGCTTCTGCCAGGCTTCTGCACAGTTTTCAGGAGAAACCTGATCTCAGTCCACGACGCGACGAGGCGCTAGTATTTGCCGCGCATTGTTGAAGCACGTGTTCACAACATGCAGCTAGCTACTACAATCATCCGGGACACCATGTGCATACGTACTGCATAATTCATGTTTTCACAGTGATGCCAATGACCTCCGTAGCGAAATGGTGACGTAAACATATATTATGGTAAGTGTACCTTTCTCCCAGTGTGATACTGACGCTACCGTTAAACATAGTTGCGAAATACATCTGGGATCTGTAAAATTTCCAAACTGATTTCATCATTAGTACCTGTGTGGCGTGATTCGCAATATTATTGCAACAAAAAATACTATCTTTGTTCAGGTCCCTTCAAAATTGTGTCATACTCTCATTCGGATAAAAGCCTCTCTCGTGTCTGCACTTCTAACGAATAATCTGTTGTTGATATTTTTGTTTCGTCAATCTGTGAAACGATGGCTAATGCTGCTGCTAAACGAATGGAATTGCCTTGGTGTGAGCCCATGGATCCCAGGAAATTGGAGACATGGTATAACGAGAACATCCAACACGGGACCGAGGAGTTCGACAGAGATTGCCGTCGTGCCGTGGACGAGGTAGTAAGGTCAGTCCATAGAATGTGCTCCTCGAATGGTCTCCTGTTTGACGTGAGCAAGGTGATAAAGGTGAGCGTCTCTCGACTTTTTTTTTTTTTTGGTTTATACACGCACTAGTAAGCGAATAAACGTGTGTTTGGGAGGTATTAAAACTCTGTTTAAGACCGGTTGGATGGGTAATAATTACCCGAGGCGAAGCCGGGGTAATTATCAACACTCCAGACTCCAACCGGTCTTAAACAGAGTGTTCAATACCGGCCAAGCACATATTCATTCCAATTCATCAATACATTTTCGGTCAAAAAATATTGTCTGTCCAAAAATCAAAACAAGCCAAAAACTAGACGCTGCCAACCATTTTGTTCAACAATTTTTCTTCATGTTTTATGGAATGGCCCTCTACAACTCCTTAACAAGGACATTGGCATGCGCGTACGCAGCTGGGTGTAGTGTGAATTTCGGACTAAGAAATACTGATTTACTGGTAATATTGCGCGTGTCTATGTGAGGAGTGTGAACGTTTAACCAATGAAACCTTATAGAAGGCACCGGGTTTCATGGGAGTCTAAATTTCATGTGACACTGGAAAAGGGTATAAGACCAGCCAGCCATGTCATTATCCTCCGTTTAATATCGGCCACATGACGGGCTCTCGACCAATAGGAATGGGTAAACTGTATTCGGTATTTATGTATGACGTTTAATCATGCATTAAAAGGTGCTTGTAGTGTTTTTTTTAACCGATTACCGTAACATTTCCAGTCTTACGACCTGGAATTCTTTTCGCAAGATTTTTGCTGGTCTTAGAGGGGCCAGCATACTGTTTTCTTTGTACACTGTAAAACCTGATGTTTATGATCTAAACACATGAATAAACACCAAAACGTAACACTTTTTAAACATTTGGACGCGTTTTTAAATTAAACTCCATCTACAACATGAACACGTTTAAATTGAACAAGGACACGTGTTTAACAGTTAAACAGCACCAGTTTATTCTTTAAGCATGTTTTTATTGGAACATATGATGCGTTTATTTAAAAAACGGTCGCTGTTTAAGAAGTAAACACTTATACATGTTTATCGGTATTTAAGATGTTTAATTTAAAAACTTACAAAGTGTTTAAATGGCGTTTAAATTGTGTTTAGGTGTTCAACCTATATTGACGCGTTTACAGCCTGTAACACTTTTTAAACACAATAACGCGTTTATAAGTATTACCATGTTTAGGTTTTTAACATCCTAAAAAGAAGACGTTTAAGATCAACATATTTAATTGTTTTGAACGCACGTATTTGACTGCTCAGCCCAACCAATTTTTCAAATTGGTTTTCCATTCGCATGTGCATACAAATGCTAAACCTCGTGAGAAATACAATTCATCTTGTAGCCTTTGACATGCCATGTTGGGCCTAGAATCAAGTTTGTCACAATGATTGGTGTTTGAAGAGAAAGTTATCCATGGTCAACGAAAACAAACCTACATGTACATGATAATATTGTACCATGGAAGTTCAAACCCTTCTTACAATAATCACAAATCTGCCACTGAAATGTAAATTTCCAAACTACATTTTGTTTTGTTATTATAATAATTAACAGATATTTCTAATAACTAAAAAAATGGCTTAAAACGTGCCTGCGACATCAACAAAATAGTTTGGTGTGTGAATTACCTCATTATTTCAAATTCACTCATCAATTTATATGTCGTTACATGTATTTACTTCTTGTGGTCAATTTACAGTACCATTATATCCAAAATGCACACGGAAAGACTTTTGCCAGCTAATCTTCCCCAAAATGTCAAGATTGTCCAACGTGTGGTTTTCACAACATAAAAAGAGTTGTTCTCGTAAATATACAGTATGTATTCAGCTATAAAACAAAAAAATTAACCAACTTTATGAACGGTCTATTTGAAGTACGGTGGTGCAAATTGAAGAAATCACTCTACTCACATGCGATCCGCGGCCTGGATTCGAACCGTGGTCACCTTGGTGAGAGGCGAGCGCTTTACGCACAAGCCACCCGTGCCACCTTTGGGGACTGCGCATATATGTAGGCCTAAACAAGTGTGTACATTTAAATATTAATTTCCATAGTAAATGTACAAAAATAATTTCATTATGATGATTGGAATTTATACACACTGATAAGACTAATTCCATCACGTCCATGCTCTCCATGGACGATGGCTTACCTTGAAGCAGCACAACCAGCAGGATAGCCAGACCAACAGTTGTCTTTATGAAAATAGGCCGAGAAAAATCATGCTGGAGGAACTTAAATGGTCACACCAGTCATGCCAGTCAGCCTGAAACTGAAAACAAAGACAAATTGTATTAAAAATTGGATGACCGAAATCTTTGAAATCACCATAATTTTACTAAGTAGGCCTGCATAGCATGGATGGATGTTTGCAACGTACTGTACAAATAAAATATTTTATATGCAACATGTACTGGTACATGCAGATGAAAATGTACATGCACATGATGTACATGTATAATGACATGTATTGCACATGTACATGTACATGCACATGTGCATGCACAGCACATGTGCATGCACAGAACATGTGCATGCACATGTATATGTGCATGCACAGCACATGTGCATGCACAGCACATGTGCATGCACAACAGTTTAATGTACAGTGTACGTGTAAATAATTATGTACCGTACATGCACATGTACATGGACATAGTGCCAATCTAAATACAGCGCTAGTGCTAGTTTTTGGGCAGTTTTAGGGCGAGATTTTGATCAGAAACCAAGTGGTCCCGAAAATGTTAGGCCTATCTAGTGATTTCCAAGACGGAACATATAGAACTATGATCAGAGAAACAACCTTTAAAATGTCTAAACTGACCTAACTATTTTAATCGCTCCCGATAAACAAGGCACATAATAAACTGCATAAGTGCATTGACCATCCATGTTAACTGCGTATAAACTAATGTTATTCCGCGGTGACGAAACCTGCACAGCCACACGAACTTTGCACGGATAATTTCTCATATTTCGACGGTACAGAAGAACCTCAACGACTCGGAAGTTTCCACTTCACAAAAACTACGTATTATTCTATAATGGATACAAGAAACGTACTTACATTGTTAGAACAGGCTGTTTTTGGTTCGCGAAACATCGTTTACCGAGCAACAAAGATGGCGGACATAACGAGGTTTGAAACTGTTAGTGCGCCGCGGGGGGGGGGGGGGGGAGGGGGGGGGCTGTCACAATGCGCATGTGTGTAAGTATCGCAGGATGCTCAAATAATAAACACGACGAGCTCTAAACGCATCCCGTCAATAAACACAGTTACACAGTGTTTAGGTTTAAAACCATGAATTTCATAAACGCATCATGTTTATTCACGGTGATTAATGTTTTGTGCTTAAAGCTATAGTCCATCATTTGTAATTAGTGCATTTTGTTCGTTTGAAGCAACTAAAGTGTTCAAAATCTAATGAAGGATATTGAACAACTTACTTGATGAAGTTTCAGCTCAGCTTCAGCTTCATATTCCGAGAAAAACAGGTTTCTAGGATCTCAATTTAAAATCAAAAGTTGCTAAATCATGTTTCGAACTGTTTTGAATTGCAGCTTTACGCGAGGTTGCGCACTGATCCAACGAATTATAGCTCCCTTCTTAAGAAGCACCGTTGGAAATGCCTTCTTTCGTTGATTTCTTCAAAATGAGAGCTTGCCAGAAAGGATAATTTCACAGGGAGTTTAGTCCCCTTACTATCTTTCAACCAGTATGTTTTTCAACAATAATTACGCCGGCTACTTTTTTGGATAGCTGCAAATGATGGACTTGGGCTTTAAACACAACCATCCCTTTAAACGCATTCAGTTGATGAACACAGTATCTAAAACAAAGTGTTTCATTTAAAAACGCATTTATTTCACATTATTCAATTTATAAAGTTTAAACACTAGTGCGTTTATTCTGTTATATATGTTCTGTGATTACACATGATATAGGTGTTTAATCAGTAAAACGCCTTGATTACACATCATTTTATTTATAGACGCGTTACGTTTATTCAGTGATAGATGTTCTGTGAATAGACACAACCAGCTCTTTAAACACATAAACACGTACCAGATCTCACACAAAGTGTTTAATTTTTAAACACATGAATGTCAGATTATTCAATTTATAAACGCGTTACGTTTAGTTCACGGTGATAGATGTTCTGTGATTAAACTCAACCAGCCCTTTAATCACATAAACACACACGCTCACACAAAGTATTTAACTTTTAAACGCATTCATGTCAGATTATTCAATTTATAAACGCGTGAAGAGTCATTTCGTGTAAATACTTTATATACATGTACTTCATATACGCTCGAAAAATCGAATTTGTTAATACTTTGTTGGATGAAAGGACTTTGGGAGTAACTAACTAAATTTTGAGGCTGCAAAAAATCATTTTTTGCGTTATTTTCAAAGGTCATCAAGCCAAACTGCAAAGTAATGTCACAAAAGTAACTATATCACGACAAAGTATCATCCTTACCCTTACAAGAAAAAATTAAAACACTTCTCAAAAATCTCCTTTATATTATTTTTAGGCCCTATAATACAGCATGTTTTTACAACTAGCAAAATTGCATTTTTACCCCATTTTTATCCCTCCAAAATGGCACTTGCCAGGGCACTCAGAATAATTTCCCTTCGGCTTTGGTTAGTTCAGACATTGGTCTTTTCATATCTGGTGAGAACATTTTGGGTTATTGTATAGCTTTGTGCAGTAGCGCTCCAAAAATGGTAAATTTCACAAAAACCTTAAAAAAGTGTATTTTCAGTGTTTTCCTTTGTTTTGGGTAATAAACTTGTATAATTGGTATTGTTCATGAATCTAACACATTTTCACAAACAGAATCAGACTGCTTATCATTTTTAGACCATTGGATGAATAGTAGGTAGTGTACTTCCCCCCACACCTGGCTAGGCCCCGCCCACTCCCCCTGTGCCACCGAATTTTGAACGTGTATGTTGCATAACGAAACAAATGTAAATAAATAATATGCAAGTGAACACTTTAGAAATAACATAGAGTTCCTTTTCACAGCATCCCCTTCCCCCACTCCCGGGGGCATTGCTTGGGGTTGAGGGTGGGATGTGACCACCCACCAATAACTTAGCATTGTCGGTACAATCATTGTCACATTGGCAAAACTCATGTGATTGCAAGCCGCAATGAATAATAATGGCCATATCCATTGTCCTCTGATTGAAATGCACCATTATTCAAATGATGTCCAGTCCTTCCCCACCCAGCTAGGCCCCGCCCCTTTCTTTGCCACCAAATTCATATTTTGATTTCTGCATGTATTTGCCTAAATTAAATTGTAAATACTAGATATCAATTTGAAAGTGAACTTTTTACGATCTACACCAACAGCCGTCTCACAGATAGCCCCTTCCCCTGCCACCCCCACTCCCAAAGTTCAAAGAGAACCACGCCCTCCCCAACAAGTCAACAAGTACAATTTTGTTGAGATTACATACATGCATATGGCCTTGGGAAAGTCTGAATTATATAAGGTGGCTTTTGTACAACACGGGGCAGCTTGAAATATCCGAAAAGTGAGGAGGAGAGGGGGTGTGTATGTCGCAGGGGTGGGTGGGGGGGTGGGAGGGGTGATCTTGACACACGCATGTACGCTGTACACATTTGTTTATATTGCAAGCTACTTTGGAATTACAGTAAAAGGTGTGGTGAACAAAATGACGTTTATTTTATAATTTTAAAAACGGAAAAGATCTGTCGATTTAGAGAGCAACTAACTCTTATTTGTTTATATTGAAATACATGTACTTTAAAACAACAATCACTCCAGTGAAAGCTCCGAGAGAACACAGCATCAATTTGATTGCATGAATTTCACTCTGACTTGACTTGTCTATATACATGTAGTTAGGGTCTGAAGTATTTTTTTAGTGGAATTGTCCTCCAAATTTATATTTGCCTGATCAACATGAAGTTTTGTGGCACCAAATACACTTCTGCTTATTATTACCATGGCAACCGTTGTAAAGACATCGGTGCTCATAAACTAAGGTACAAAATACTTCCATTTTCAAAGCCTATCACGGAAGTGTTATCCTATGACTGAAATTCATGGCTATATAATTAACAACAATACATGCTCAGTATGTAACGTGGCCGCCATTGGTGCGAGAAGCGCATGTAATTTTCACCTTTCAATCTGTACCATTTTGTTTGTTTTGATGTACGTTTCTTATAGTTATTACATGAATGAATTGCAGAGCATTAAATAACATCACCACAATTGTGTATATTTACTTTAGTTTTGCCAAGAGTTTGGAAAAATATATAAAAAACACCTTTAGTGGTAACAGCAATAGAACCAAGAATGTCATATTATAGAGTAATGGTCAACCAATATTTTCCTGCCAAATCGGTTGTAGGAAAATTAGTCAAAGAACATGTATATATGCAAATCAACATGGGATCACAGTGTGCTGTACCCCTCCCTTTCAGAAAAAAACCCCAAATACCCGCCAGAAAGGGTTAAAATCTGTAAGCACTGGTGGTTCGGTGGGGAAGTTGATTTTTGTTTAATTAACACATTAACAAGACATTCCCTGCTTGTATACAAAAAAACCCTGTAATTTCTAAGCACCAATACATTTAGATTGCTTGCCATGTAACAATGGATGCACCACAGAAGTGTGGCCATGTTCACTGCTGATGACAGTTTGGAAGAGACCCAAAATGTCATGCTGATTACGAAATTACGATTTTGGAGGGCATAGCAGCACCCATAACTGTACTATATTCGACTTTATATGTGCTGGATCTGACCATATTTACACGTTCAATTCAATCAATCAATATAGAGGCCATTTTGAGTTTTCACTAGAGTGATAGTTGTTTTAAAGTACATGTATTTTAATATAAAAATATCAGTTATTTGCTCTCGTAATCGCAATATCACTTCTCTGTATTGAAAATAATAAAATAAATGCAATTTTGTTAAAACAAATTTCAGCATTATGTACATGTACCATGTACATGTATCCATATTACACCCCCCTCCCCCTGCGCTTTCCAGATATTCCAAACCACTCCCACGTTGACAAAAAAATAGCAAAACCTACATAGTGTATGTAAATATGTGGACTTTCCGCAAGGCAATATGTAACCTTAACAATTATACATACTCTGTACAATTCTTTGGGAGGGGAGGGGTAGTTGCTCATAATGAGCACTGGAGTAGGAAGAGGGATGGCAGGGGGTGGGCTGTGAGACGGATACGCCCGTTGGTGTAGATTATGAAAGCTTCACTGGCAAATTGACATATATTTACAATATTAATTTAGGCAAATACATGCAGAAATCAAAATATGAATTTGGTGGTAAGGGAAGGGGCGGGGCCTAGCTGGGAGGGGAGGACTGGACATCATTGGAATGATGGTGCACTTCAATTAGAGGACAGTGGATATGGCCATTATTCATTGCGGCTTGCAAACACATGATTTTTGCCCATGTGACAATGATTGTACCGACAATGCCAAGTTATTGGTGGGTGGTCACACCCCACCCTCAACCCCAAGCAATGCCCCGGGGTGGGGAAAGGGGAGGCTGTGAAAAGGAATTCTATGTTATTTCTAAAGTGTTCACTTGCATATTTACATTTGTTTCGTTATGCAACATACAAGTTCAAAATTCGGTGGCACAGGGGGAGTGGGCGGGGCCTAGCCAGGTGTGGGGGGAAGTACACGACCTACTATTCATCCAATGATCTAAAAATGATACACAGTCTAATTCTGTTTGTAAAAATGTGTTACATTCATGAACAATACCAATTATACAAGTTATTACCCAAAACAAAGGAAAACACTGAAAATACACTTTTTAAGGTTTTTGTGAAATTTACCATTTTTGGAGCGCTACTGCACAAAGCTATACAATAACCCAAAATGTTCTCACCAGATATGAAAAGACCAATGTCTGAACTTACCATAACCGAAGTGAAATTATTCTGAGTGCCCTGGCAAGTGCCATTTTGAAGGGTTAAACATGGGGTAAAAAATGCAGTTTTGCTAGTTGTAAAAACATGTTGTATTATAGGGTCTAAAAATAGTATAAAGGAGATTTTTCTGAAGTGTTTCTATTTTTTCTTGTAAGGGTAAGGATGATACTTTGTCGTGATATAGTTACTTTTGTGACATTACTTTGCAGTTTGGCTGGATGACCTTTGAAAATAACGCAAAAAATGAATTTTTGCAGCCTAAAAATTGCCGAAAAATGGCCAAAACACATAATGGCCCGTAACCATGGCAACAGGCAAAATAAAAGTTTAAAAAGTCTATTTAAAAAGTCTACTTGCTCCCTAAGTCCTTTCATCCCACAAAGTTAAAAAAAAATCGATTTTTTGAGCGTGGACACTTATATGAAGTATTTACACGAAATTACTCTTAAGTGTTTATTACAGTAAGGGTGTTCAAGTTATAAACGCGTTAGGTGTTCCGCGGTTTTTCAGTGTACCTATCTCTCTGACCGTCACCTGTGTCTTAGCCTGATTGTGGACCGGTTAAAACTTAAGAGTGTGCAAGTTGTGCTATCGTATAGGTAGCCCGTTCATTGAATGGGCTAAATTCCATTGTGTGGACAAGATGCGGAGTACGATTCTCAATCTATTTGTGTGCACACTGGGACAAGGTCTTGATCTACACTGTAACTAGCAGGTTTTTTTATGCTATGGGGGATAATGAATGTTATGGGAAGAGGGGTGTATAAACATCGAACGTGCCGGTTTTTTTCTCGAATTAAGCAAGAGAGAAGCTTAACCTACATTGTTAAAATAATGAAGTCTTAATTTCTGGGTTTTTCCCCCAGGGTGGCTCACTCGGTAAAGGCACCATGGTCAAGGATCTCTCTGATGTGGACCTTGTCGCCTTCATCAACCCGCCCCACCTGAGATCTATCGTGGAACTGGGCCCAGTGGTCTACCGACAGAAGCTCGCTGGGATCATCCGGGATCTGGAAGCGGCTCTGAAACGACTCCCCTTCGTGGACTCGAGGAGCGTAACCAGTAACGCGTTCCTTGTCAACTTCACCATCAGAAACCTGGGCCCTAGAAAACGGTCCCTGGGAGTGGATCTGCTGCCGACTGCCGACAACTGCTACGGGCATGGCCGAGGTAGGGTTAGCTATAGCAGAAAATCTACGTCACAATATTTTCCTAGTATACTTTCACGGAAAGTTTGGTTCATAGAATGTGGTCATTCGAGTTCCAAACTGGGCAGCATCAGACAATAATTCTTGTGGTTAGTGAAACTGAAATATTGGGTAAACAAAGTCTGTAGCCTTCAACTTCATTTTTTTTGGGTAGATCTGCCTGACGGTAACATAATTGTGTTTTGTCTGCGTGGCAAACTATATCTTCGATATCAAGAATATGGATTGTTGGGGGATTTGCGCTCTTGTTAAACCAATTTGCAGAATTCTGTCCTCATGACAATTCTTGTTTTTCAGTTCACTCTTCATGCTTGGATTGGACCTTAAAAAGACAGTTTTGGTGCGTTTTTCCGTGTAGCTCATGCCGACATGTTCAGGGCCATGCTGCAGTTGCCCAACGGCTACGACCGGGAGTTCTACTCTGCCTCACTGGTCGAGCACCAGCTGCAGTTCATGGAGCCAAAACCCGGCCACGTCAAAGCCCTGATCCGCTTGGTGAAGTACTGGGCTTACGAGTGCCTCCCGGACACGCTGCACAAGTCCTACCCGCTGGAGTTGATCACCGTCTACCGCTGGGAGAACGCTGGTAAGCCCGAGCGCATCAGCAAGGCCCAGGGGCTGAAGGACGTGCTTCAGGTACTGACCAACTTGAGAGGGTTGCGGCACTACTGGGCGTACCTCTACGATGCTGCACTGGCGAATCAGACCATCACTCAGCTCGGCTATATCAAGTAAGTTTAGCAGATGTGCATCCTACAATACATCATAACCCCTGCAAATTTGGACAGCGCAGAGTTTTTTTCAGGTAATGGCAAGCAATCTGATGTAGATCGTCGTCGTCCAGTCTCAAGTCAAATCACAAGCTGTGCTTTGGCAAATAGACTGTGGCAATGGCGTCCTTTATTTGCAACTGTTCATCACGTGTGACCTGACTTGTTATTTGACTTGTGATCGATGACAACTCTGGAAGATGGGGGGAGGGGGTATATCAGTGGGAACTGTTACATAGTTATGACTTGGGTTTTTCTTTCAAATTTCCATTCACTTTAGAAAACCGCTGATTCCTTCTTGCCAAGTTATCAATAAGAATAGCCATTCCGTTTGGCAATGCCTCCAAATGGATCTTGACTTTTCCCATGATGCAGTGCGCGATAACTGCCTCGTTTTCCATACAGTGAAACATCTAAATGTTGAGCACAATGATCTCGATAATCATAGCCTTAACATTGTGCTTGAAACTAGTCATGTTTTTCGCTTCTCCTTTTTTTTATCAACTTGAATGCAGTCCAATAGTTTTGGACCCAGCCAATCCAACCAACAACGCGTGCTGGGTTTACCAGAAGGGCAACAACATCATAATGATTGAGGAAGCTGCCCGTGCCACCCTGAAGTTCAATCTTCTCAAGGACGTCGTTGTCTCTGCCAACTGGAGAGGTTAAATAGCGACCTCAAGAGTCCTATCAAGGCAAATCATTGTGAAACAGTAATTTGAAATGCTGGCAGTTATAGTAACACGTACAATCTCCTGAAAGAGCCTCACAAGTTGGCACACGAAAGGCATCAATGAATTTAAAAGAATTATTAACGAAACAAATTCCGATCGGATATGTAACGGCTTATTTCAAGTGAAAACAAGTTCAGGACAAAATATTCAGAATTCATGCCAGTAGTAAAAATATTTGTTCTCAAAACACAATTAAAAGCATATTATATTGGTTGTAGGTTCAATTGATTAAATTAAAACTAAACTGGTGACGGATGCCGTTACTTTTATTTTCCAATGGATACAAAAACTGATGAAAAGCGGGCACAGTGCTATCTGTGTGTGAGCTCGGCAGTTACTTCTATGGCGTTTATTGACAGGGGATGGAGGAGGAACACCATGGGAAATTTTTTTTAAAAGGGGTGGGGGGTGGGGGAGGGGTGGGGATCAGGTGACTAATAGTGGGCCGGCATCGGGGGTAAGGTGAATGGAGCTACCTTACCAAAGAGGGCGCTGTTCAAACAAACACGCGAACGCTTAAACTTTTTAAGCCTATTCCTTGCAGTATAATCAACTGTAGAATTGAATTTACGTGGCTATTAGAATAGAACAATTTTAGCAGTATAACACGGTTGAAAGCGATATTTTAGAATATTTTAATATTCAGTTAATTTTGGTAAAAAAGTATTTATGCGAGAAATGATTTATTTTGGGCACATTGCTGTTGACATCCCCCAAGAAAAAAACGGGGTAGGGGACAGGATCTCCGCCCATGCTCGATTCCCTTGACGGGACTGACCAAGTGATATCGTTAGTTATGACTTCAATTCATGAAAGGAGTGATACATCTCGCATCCCAAATCACAAACAAAACCCGTAATTTAGACGACAAATCGTATACAAATAACTCAGTCTAGGGCCTATTTTTTTTTTCATTTTGAGCGATAGGTTTTGTAATCTTTTTACACAATATTACTGTTACTAAACAGCTAGGTAACTTACTGTCACCTTTGTTATTCCATTTACAACAGTGATGAAATAAAATGATTGGACTGATTTGAGTTAATTTTATTAAACCAAAAAGCTGTACAATTCATTAACCTGTTATTTAGTCATTGTCGACATCTTAAACCGAAGATAAACAATGAATAAGGATATGGTTTTATGAGCCTGATCGTTGCCCTGGCAGCAACCATTCTGATGGGGTTCGGGAACCCAGGTACTATATCCGATGTGGCTTCGTGAGATTTTGAGGCCCATGAAATGAGGGGGGGGGGTTACAATCCTAATAAAGTTCCATGTTCTGCTTCGGAAACATTAGATTTTTGTCATGTATGATATGACCGAGGTTAACTGCATGGATATCAATTCCGCTTTACTTCCAAATGATACTGAAGTCAGCAATGAAGCAGAATCCGAAAATGCTTATTTTGTGACGCGCCTATAAGGTGGTAACTTTCTGTTTACACTGTCCTACATAAATAAATACCATAAATACATAAAGGATGTTCGTCTGGTTGATTTTTGATCGGTAACGAGTCCCACGGAGGGAAACAACGTCTATTTCACCATTTGTTTCGTACGGAGAGTGGCTGAACATTTGTGTAGTCTTGTGCTAATCAAAATAGTTGTGTAACGTCTGGGAAGCAATCACGGTCCCCACGCAACGAATTCATGTTTACGTGAATTCAGTCGTACGTTGGAGACTACGACTGTACAGGAAAGTTGTCGCCGGCAGTCAACACCGTGACACGTGGTTCGTAGATTAATTCTCAAAAACTAGACACAATCAGAGTAAAATGTACGTTTGAAACCACTGCATCGAGATGGAATTTTTCACAGTTTATAGGCCCTACTATACGTGTTTTGGAGGGAATTATTTTCACAACAACATCAAATAACCGCGAACTTTTCAGGGCTTTTGAAGTCTTGTATGGATATGCCGAGCTCGTCGTGTGTTGCTTAATAGCTGCAACATTTCAGCTGCAAGTTTTAAGGCATCGATGAATCGGTGAAGAATATATTTCCTAAAACAGCACCCGCGGTACGCGTACGGTGAACAGTGGTGAAACACGGCGCTGATGCCCGGTACAGTAGCTGACGGAACACCAATAGTGGTCAGATCTACACTCGCCTGTACTTCTGGGGCAATGCAGATGATTGGCCCTCAAGAGAGACCGATCTTGGCACGCAGTATTTCCACGTTACTTCCGAAAATGGAATCAGCTTGTCAGCAGCTGATTTGACAACATGAATTATCCATCGAAACTTGTCCTTTCCTCTCTCTCTCTTTTGCGTCATCGGATGCCGCTATTTAGAATATTGATTGAACGTGCTTCCTAAACAGGAAGGTGACCAGAGTACTTCTTTCTTGGCCATGTTCGAAAACTTGAAATATTTTTTTTTTCGGTATAATTTCTTGTTCCCGTATAATAGAAACTTAGTCAATTTTTGACGAACGACCTTAAATAATTTTTTTTTTTGGGATACATCTTTTAATGTGACCTTCAACCAGGCGAACGATTCGAATCTGATTTTAGAAGAAGAAGAAAATATTGGCCAGTTTGGCCCACTGGTACGATCTATACAGAAGATATGATAGAAGGCACCCGCCTACATAATAAGGGCGAACATCTGAAAATAAGATCCTAATTGTAAGACAAGCCTCATCTATGGAGTGTTTTAGTTGGTTTGTTAAGTTCACGGTGCAGCACGGTGAGTGCAGCCTTACCGTCAGACATGAACTTTCCGACTCCAATGTTATTCACCGAGCATGTGACTGAGCAAAAATAATGTATGGAAGTCTGCCCCATATTTCTCATCGAAGGAATTTCCGGCCATTGTTTCTGCGTTAATTTAGTCCGCCAGCTGCATGCGATTTGCAAAACAAGTCACACAAGTCTGGCAAAACTGACGTAGATGAAAAGGCCATTATTTAACTTTAAGTCAATTATCGACAAATCCGCTGCTGTAGTTCCTTGTCATCTGTAGCGTCTACTGTAAATGATTCCACTAGTTATTACGCTGTCCCTCATTAATTTTGTTTACTTTCAGCCCTGCATAATTTGCCACCTTATTCCTGCACACTGCAGCTCAGACGGACTTTCAAAATGTACAATTAATATAGGCTTCGAATCCATGACATTTCTCATCGGTACTGCAGCTCACAGATGGCCTTGAACTGTACAGCTATAACTGCACTTAGAAAAAGAATCACATCCTGCGATTTATTTATCATCGGTTATTTCCCCCCCCCCCCCCCCGGTTTGCTTGGTACTCGGTCAGGTTTGTGCATTCAGGATTTAGAGACCAGCGTACTGCGTCCACAGTGCATCCATGATAAGGCAATGTTTCGGGGATTCTGTACAATTTCCAGTCTGGCTGCAGCATCAGTACATTATGTCGAATGGTTTCGTATATAATGATACGAATTGCAGCATGATGTAAAACCCCCGCTCAAGACTTGGACTTTCTCTACAAGTCGCGTCACAATTGTGTTCGTACACGCATTCAGACAAAAGCCTATCCAGACCTCGTGTCTGCACTTCTACCGAAGTACCAAGGATTCTTTTGTTGTTATTTTGTTTCGTGAATCCGTGTTACGATGGCTGCCGCTGCTGCTAAAGTCATGGAATTGCCTTGGTGCCAATCCATGGTTCCGAAGGAATTGGAGACATGGTATCACAAGAACATCGCAGACGGGACCACTGATTTCGGCAAAGACTGCCGTTCTGCCATTAATAAGGTGGTAAAGTCCGTCCAGAACATTTGCTCCACGAACCGCCTCCAGTTTACCCTTAGCAGGGTTGTTAAGGTAGGTGTCTTTCGAACTAAATATTTTTCGGATACTCCAAATAACCTGCAATGTGGGTCTTGCCAACTAACATTTTCAGTTGTACACAATTAGTCTGAGAGTTAGTTCTACTGTTCTACAACAGTACAAATCGCCTTTTTTAACAATATTTGGTGATACATGTAGTAGATTCTGAGGGAGACCCTTTCCCGTGCGTGAAAACAAATTAATCATCCCACAGTCATCGCACCGCAAAACCATCAGATGTTTAACCCCAAACCAGACCCATAAGTGCCAAAACGCCATCTAGAGATCCGGTAGTTTTACAACCGATTAGAAATTAAGATGGTGGTACTTTATTAACTTATACACTGGGGAACAAAAAAGTCCTGTTCAAATCTGGAAACCATTCGTCATTTCTGCAGTCGCCATCTTGTTTTTGTAGTTGTAATTTATTCAGATCTCGCGAAAGACTGGTTCCCGGTCCCATAAGATGGGGACCGGTTGTTACTTCCCATTTCAAGCCATTGATTGGCAGCGTGTGCGCTGCATTAACCTTTTTTAATGATATTTACAGCTTTGGGCATGGATGATATAGTTGAAAACATGGCTATCAAGAAAACCTGACTCTTACCATTAGTAGGCAAAATCGCTACAACGTCTGCGCGAAAGCAATTTTCAAGCATTTCAACTGCGTAGGTTTCAGTACTGAAAAGCAGTGGCCCTCTCCTTTATTCATGATAGCTGCCAGAGACACTTTCGAATTCAGCGAAAATCGAAACTCATCACCCCACAAACTGCCCATTGGTGGTAGCCTTTTTGCCATGTTGCTTTAGGCTGGTTCCCCACTTACATTATCGTTGGGATTTTGTATTCAGGGGCCGGGAATCAGAACTAGTTGCATTGTGGGTGTATCTCTTCCTAGTCCTGCATAACATTTCCATACATTATGCCCCCCAAAAAGTCTCCGGTGTCTGGTTTGGAGCTTGCCCAAAAAGTGGTGCGGCGACGCGGCTTTTTTTCTTTTTTTTTACCTGATTTTTTTGCTTCAAATGTCGGCCGATGACTGCAAATGGTGCCCGACTAAACTTAGTGCAAATATATGGGAGTCCAGAGAGGCCACATAAAGCTTATTCTCGACCATAACCCAATCTAAAAACACGGTAAAATTGTGCAGCAGCAGGATTCCAGTCAAACCAGAGAGTTTGGCGGGTTTGAGACATCATCTTTCATTGAAAAAAAAAACGTATTCATATTGCCGACGCGCATGGCTACGGCGACGCGCGCGCATACCAGAAACCGGAGACTTTTTTTGGGGGGGGGGGCCTTAGGTGGGAATCCACCTAATGTAATGTTACATAATATATCTGATGGATTTACAAAAGAAAAAATGTTCAGTGGCTTTGCAAAACTAACTTGTCACGTTGAGTGACTGGAGCAAATCGTCTGTTTTAAACCTACCATGAATGTGGTGGCGCCACTCTGCATGAGCAAATACTTCCTGTTTCAATTTTTTTTTTGTAACGGATCGGAGTGTCCAACCGTCCCCGTACGTATACACAATCTTTGTTACGATAACCCAAGTTCGGTCCGACCATTTTTTTAAGAGGGGCATTAGCGCGCCAGCCATGCAGGGTGGTCGCGGTATCACAAGGACATCACCGTGACACGCGGGAGGTATTTTTTTTATGAAATCAGGAATTATGGGGATGATACGGAAGCGTATTTAGGTCATGACCGAAAATATTTTTTTAGGCCCACTACTTCGCCTGGGTGGATTACTATTTCGCACGGGCGGATTACTATTTCGCCCGGACGGATTACTATTTCGCCCGGGCGGATTACTATTTCGCCCGGGCGGATTATATTTCGCCCGGGCGGATTACTATTTCGCCCGGGCGGATTACTATTTCGCCCGGGCGGATTACTATTTCGCCCGGGCGGATTAGCATTTCGCCCGGGCGGATTACTATTCCGCCCGAGCGGACTACTAATTCGCCGGTGCAGATTACTAATTCTCCGCGGCCGGGCAGACTATTAATTCGCCCTTGCGAATTAGTAATCCGTCCGGGCGAAATAGTAATTCGCCCGGGCAAATTAGTAATTCGCCCGGGCGAATTAGTAATCCGCCCGGGCGAATTAGTAATCCGCCGGGGCGAAATAATAATTCGTCCGGGCGAATTAGTAATCCGCCCGGGCGAATTAGTAATCCGCCTGGGCGAAATAGAGGGCCGGACATTTTTGTTTTGTCATGTCCATAGCGAACAATGTATTTTACATGCTAGGAATAAAATTAATTGTAAAAGGGACTCTGCCGCTGCCTCTGTACCCCCCCCCCCCTATTATCATCGCCGCTCGGATTTTCTTGTGGCAAGCCTTTATGAGTTTGTAGACTAGTACATTGCGGCCTTATTAACAGATTTTCATTAAAATGAGATGACGTAGGCCTATTACTGCACAATTTTCGACGTGGTGCAACGAGAGCAACCTTGGTTTACCATTGACCGTGTGTGTAGGCCTTTAAGAAAAAGCACTAATTTGCACTCGTATTCATAGACAAAAGAATATTAATGATCGTAGTTACGAGTTAAATCTTGGCATACATTGAAATTAAACTAAGCCTGAAGGTTTCTACTTCCATACTAAATTCCTAAACACATCAGATTTTGGAGGAGGCAAAACCGTCAGGTTATAAGCTCTGTCAAAAAGACTCTTTCAGTATTGAAGGTGTATAGCAAACTACAAAGTCTTTCGCTTTTTCTCCAGGGTGGCTCTCTCGGTAAAGGCACTATGCTCAAAGATTTCTCTGATGTGGACCTTGTCGCCTTCATCAAACCGCCCCGATTGAGATCGTTCCTGGATTTGGGCCCAGCCCCAGCGGTCTACATACAGCAGCTCGACGGGATCATCCGGGAGCTAGAAGCGGCTCTGAAACAACTCCCCTTCGTTGAGGGCATTAACAGGAACGTCTTCATGATCAACTTCACCATCAACAACCTCGGCCCAGGAGGACGGTCCCTGGGAGTGGATCTGCTGCCAACTGCCAACTGCGGTTGTGGGCATGGCCGAGGTAGATTACCTACGGAGGAATTTGTTGGTCACAATCGCAAAATCAATGGCGCATGGGACCACGGTAGGGGGTGGGGGGAGGCATTAACTGGAGGGAGAGAATCTCAATGGCTGTTTTCAATTTAAAAAAAATACCATTTTCTTGTCCAAACTTTGAGAAAGGTGGTCAAAGGGGTATGGTCTCCAGTGCCGTTCCGCAACCCCCATGCACGGCAGTTCCACATGCATAGCACGCACACAAAGGTTCTGTAATGCGTTAGTTCTGTATTTGTGAACTCCAATGATGCCGGTGACGTCACACAACATGGCGCCATCCACGCTGACTAGTATAATTTACATGAAATGTACTAAAAATCATATTGAAATTGGAGGATTCAGGACTGTTAGGATTAAGGAATGCATTGTGATTATTTATTACGAATACGATTTTCTGGGTAATTGCAACTAGCAAAGCACACTTGGCAGAAATATTTCTTAGATGAAAGTCTTCTACATACACGAGTCGTTGCGTCGTCCAAAAGTGCGTGCTGTGGGATAGCTCAAGGCGCCTACGCTACGACTGTTTCATGTACGACATTACTGTAATGACTTCCTGTCATGGCGCGGCGTACGTACACAAAATCCTTGTGTCGCAGGCTAAAAACAAGGATAAACTACAAAAACTACATCTTCTGAGCAGAGTAAATACATAATCTGTAGGCTTACCTTTGAGATTTCCATCTGAATCTCCGAAATCATGCCAAAACATGGCCACGAAGGTACACTTCGTACGTCGCGACTTGACAAATTCCTGTTTTATTCACCCTCAATATTGGCTAAAATCTCACGAAAGCATGTCGACCCAAACCTTTCGTCCATATCAACGTGAACCTAGATAACCCATTTATTGATAGATTGACCAAGTATGCGTCACAAAACTGCATTTTCCTTTAAAAATGATGTTTTCTCGAAGTGGAAATGACGGCACGAAAACGCTAACTCGTACCAGGTCACAAGTCACACGCTGCATAAAAAAAAAACACACATTATCAGAATTTGTGCACGCTAGATGGCAACTGTCGACCGTACATAGCTTCATTGATGTTTGTAGAGCCATATTTGGTAATCTGTTGCATATTCATTTTAGTTAACCAATCAATCTTTATATCTTTCGCGGGGTATTTAAATCCACCAACGAAACAAAGGTATCGCTGCGCGTAATGTTTATTTACATCGCGCTAGGTTGTCACATGGTATTACCACTAACTCCATCTCGCCAACAGAGGGCGTACTTTGTCGGAGTGAAACTGCCGTGTGCATGCCCCATGGCCCTAGCCACCTTGCTACACCTGTGAAAAAAATATTAACGAAATGATCAGTAGAATTTGGTGGCGAAAGATTCAAACTGTGCATCAGCAAGACACTTGGTCCCGTCAATAAAAGAGTACAAACTTTGTATAAAAGTAAGTAAGTTGGCTGGCTGGCTGGTTGGTTGGCTGTTTGGCTGGCTGGTTGGCTGGCTGGCTGAAGAAAGCTTCACTCTGAACAAAAGTTGTATTTGAAATTGCGATTTTTGGTTTCCGCAGGAGTAGTGTACAGACGTAGAGGTATTGCTTTCTCTAGAATAAAAAAATACAAGATTAACATTGCAAGATCAAAGAAAAATGTTGGAGAGCATGCACGAACAGTACACCTTTAACCGTTTATAGGGAGTCCATTATTTCTCTGTAGCTCATGCCGACATTTTCCGAGCCATGCTGGCGTTGCCCAGCAGCTACGACCGGAAGTTCTTCTCTGCCTCACTGGTCGAGCACCAGCTGCGGTTCATGGAGCAAATACCCGGCCACGTCAAAGCCCTGATCCGCTTGGTGAAGTACTGGGCTTACAAGTGCCTCCCGGACAAGCTGCACAAGTCCTACCCGCTGGAGCTGATCACCATCTACCGCTGGAAGAACGCTGGTGAGCCCCAGCGCATCAGCAAGGCCCAAGGGCTGAAGGACGTGCTGCAGGTGCTCAGCAATTTGAGAGGGTTGCGGCACTACTGGACGTTCCTCTACGACGCTGCACTGGCGATTCAGGCCATCACTCAGCTCGGCTGTGTCAAGTAAGTTAACCACTTGCACGCATCCTGCCAATTTGGACTCAGAATAGTTGTTTTCAGATCACCACACGCCGAGGCGTAGCAGGGTCATTTTTGTTGTGTGCGTTGAGCACAGTGATCTCGATAATCATAGCCTTAATATTGTGCTTGAAACTACTCATGTTTTTCGCTTCTCCTTTTTTATCAACTTGAATGCAGTCCAATAGTTTTGGACCCAGCCAATCCAACCAAAAACGTGTGCGAGGTTTACAAGGAGGGCAACAACATCAAAACGATCGAGGACGCCGCCCACGACACCCTCAAGTCCAATCTTCTCAAGGACGTCGTTGTCTCTGCCAACTGGACAATTTGCCGCCCCACCCCCACCCCCGGAAAAGCAACCAAAAACAAAAAAAACAAAAAAAAGTAGGGGAAAAAGCGGGGGCAAAGGAGGGACAAGAAAGAAAAAGCAGGCGCGAAGTTATATTGCTGTTAATTAAATGGGTTGCGGGGGAGGCAAAACGTCCCTGCCCACCCTCGAAAATGATAAATCAAGAATATGCTTGAAAATAACCACAATGCGCTTTTGATATCATTGTTCTCATGAATTGTTTCATGAATAAATATATACTGGCCGGATCGAAACTACAGAATTATTCATGACTTGGACGTAACCATCCTTGGAATAAAAATTACGCTGGCAGACACAAGAGGGCGCTGTTTGATTTTGGTAAAGTTTACCCAAACCAAATAGCGCCCTCCTTTTGCATTTATTGTGTCAGCTATAAATCAATGTGATCAACCGTATCTAAGGCCCCCCAAAAAGTCTCCGGTTTCTGGTATGCGCGCGCGTCGCCGTAACCATGCGCGTCGGCAAAATGATTTTTTTTTCAATAAAAGATGATGTCTGCTGCACAATTTTAACGTGTTTTAGATAGGGTTATGATCGAGAATAAGCTTTATGTGGCCTCTCTATACTTCCATATATTTGCACTAAGTTTAGTCGGGCACCATTTGCAGTGGTCAGCCGACATTTGAAGCAAACAAAACAGGTAAAAAAAAATTAAAAAGCCGCGTCGCCGCACCACTTTTGGGGCTAGCTCCATACCAGAAACCGGAGACTTTTTTTTGGCCTAATCGAAGGACCTGCGTTTGAATCCAACTTCATCGGTACATCGGTACGGTCATACTCAAAGACCAACACGTGCCCTTGAAAAAAAAAAACGTTTTTCTCGATTGTTTTGCCATTCTCTTGCAGTCTCATGTTTTACAATGATGCACTTTATAACATAACATAACCGCGTTGTGGGCCCATACATTTGAATGTCAGCAATGCAAATGATCCCGAACTCCAATTCCATTAAAGGGATATTACGGCCTGGAATGCGCCCAATTGGGCTACAAAACGTGTTTTAACCGAAATGATATTAAATAGAAAGAGCATTTAAAAGTAGAATATTTGCGTCCAGTTGGTGTGGTGTTTTTTTGGTATTATTCTTGAGAGAACCATGAGTGAATGAATTTCAGGGGTCACTAGCTTGTCTCTGAAAAATCGAGCTGTAGAGTGTTAGTTGTGATCCAGCCGAACCGTGGTTCACCTTCTGCTGACGTGTACAAAACAATATGTGTGAATTGGTGCTGTGCGTATTACGTACCACACACTCAACGTGTATATACAGTACATTGATATGGAACACGGTACCCTGTGGAGACATGTGCGTAATAGGGAACAAAAGATTGTATACGTCTCCACAGGGCAATTTCTATAGGTGAACATGTCTTCCACGAGGTTATCACAAAATATATATATGGATTTTACTCAAAAACTAGGAATTTCCCAGGCGTTTTGATTTGTTGCAAGTTGAAGTATTTTATGTAAGGGATAAAAGTTCGAATTTCAGCCCAGGAAATTAATTCTGGTTAAAATAGGAGCATTTTGAAACTAAACTTTCAAACTCTAAAAGTTTAGTACACGAGAACAAAAAATGACATGATATCTAAAGCATGATATGCTCCATAATTATATCTGCCATCGCTGTCGCATTTTAGGTCGTCACATTTTTAAACTCTGGCAGGGATCTGTTTGATAGATTTCACGCAAGACGGCCAAAGCGTATTTTGCACTCGCACTTGCTTCGACTTTTCTAGGGAGAGGTATAAGACATTAGGTTTTTTCCTTGAAACATGACCTTTTAAATAGTTTATAATGAAAGGTTTGCGGAAACACCATGTGCGAATAATTTCTCAACAAAGAGAATGGTTCTGAAAAGAACCAGAGGTATAAACTCGACGTTCCGGTCAGTATGCTCTGACCGTCTTCAGGAGAGGTCAGAGCATACTGACCGGAACGTCGAGTTTATACCACTGGTTCTTTTTCAGAACCATTCTCTTAGTTGAGAAATTATTCGCACATGGTGTTTCCGCAAACCTTTCATTATTTAGTACCTCCACCATGAAAAGCCTCAAATCTTACTTAAATAGTTTAAGTAAACAATCCAAAACATGCAATTTTCGGGGAATTTCAGGCCGTAGTATCTCTTTAACCACGGTCAGTGAACCAGACAGAGGCGCAAAGTGTTTACATGCGTCGTGCAGAAATCAATTCAACCTGTATTCGGTTGTGCAGCTAGGTCGCAATACAATTAGCTTACTAAAAATAGAAAAACACCCTGGGATTTCTCATCGGGGTTTTCCCGGTATACTAGGTCAGGTTCGTGGACGTGCAAGATTTCGAGACCAATTACGCATTGCATCAACAGTGCGTCCCATTAAACATAGTTGCGCAATGTATCTGGGATTCTGTACAATTTCAGGTCTGATTTCATCATCAATACATCCGTAGCATGATTTCGTAATATCATTGCAACATGAAATTGTTGTGAGTAACAGGTTGCACAATCTTTGACACAAGTTTATTTTTATTGAACAGGTAAACATGACTGTCACATTTATTGTTCTGTTACAGTGATGAAATAGAATAACTGAATTGATTGGATTTAATTTTATTAAACCAAAAAAAAAACTGTCCAATTGTTGTACGTGTTATTTAGGCCTTATTTGTATGAAGATTAACAATGAACAAGTGTATTACTATGAGCCTGATCGTTGCCCTAACAGCAATCATTCTGATGGAATTTCATTCTTATGGGTTTAAGATCCAGGTACGATATCTGACGTTGCTTTCATGGGCGTCGCGGGGGGGGGGGGGGGGGGGGGGGGCAAGGGGGCGCTTGCCCCCCCCCCCCCCCGGAAAACGGAAACAAAAACACACACACAAGGAAAAACAGGTGCGAATCCATATTGCTGTTAATTTGATGGGGGGGGGTAGGGCAAATGCTCCCCTGCTCACGCTTAGCCTTGACCAAGGCGTTGCGGGCTTATCGATTCGCCGATAAAAAAAAAATCGCCGATAACAAAATCCCTAATCAACTTGGCAAGGCATAATTGCGTGCACATTATCGATGCCCGTACGCTGCTAGTGAGAAAGTAACTTGTACCATACAGCAAGGCTATGCTTGTACATGTACATGTACGTACGCACGTACATCACACACGTACTCGTACAACAGCCATGCACACACAGTACATGTACATGTACATGTACAAGTACATGTACATGCATGAGCTAGTCCGCGTAACCCAACGCCTTGATGGTTTTGAGTTGACCCAGCAAAACCTATTACGGTAATGAGGTACCACCCCCGCGTATATACTGAATTCTCATTGGTCAGCCCGCGATAGGCTAACGAACACGTCGCATCCGCGAAGAAACGCTGCAATGGCGGCCCGTTGCTGTGGGTGAAAGTCGTTCAGTCCCAGTCTGTCCGAAGCAGTATTGAAGGCTCCAACGAATTCTGCAGGTAATGCTGTCATTAGACGATCGTTGCCCACTCAAATGGATTCATTACACGAGCCGAAAAACTCGAATCAATGTCAAATTGTTGAAAAAGTGACGAACATTTCGCTCTCGCTAAAATGACATGGAAGACGCCATGATGACTAATGCATTATGCATGCCGCGCGACGTCACATGATTCTTGTGAAGCTTACGATTGGTCAGCTTAAAAATGAATTAATCATACTATTGCGAAGGTTGTTTCATGTGATTGGTCCAAGACGAACCTACATAATCATCACGGCATACCCGCATACCTGAAGCCCGCCCATTTTTTTCCAAAACTGGACGAAAAAGTAAAGAAAGACATTAAACCCGGAAGTTGCAGACCCAACAAGGCGGTCGTTCGACAGGCCACGCGGCGCGTATATCCCCCACACGTACGTACGTACACCCACACGCAGAACATAGTAGGCCTACATTTACTGCCTTATTCCATGATTACACCATGCGTACAGTCCGTACTCACGTGTGTGTGCTTGCTGGTTGTGTTAGTACCGAACCGTTCGTACGGACAAGGGTCGGTGGTACACGCACGGACAAGGTTCGGTGGTACACGCACGTAACCGCGTTGATTGTGGGTGCTAGGGCCCAATTATCTCCCTTCGACAAAAAGCCGAGAGACCGCATTGAACAAGGCTAGCTCACGCTCGGAAAAATGATAAATTGAGAGTATAATGAGAAAGTTAAGGAATTTTGGGGAAACATTTGCTTTGCCCCCCCCCCCCGGAAAAAAACCTGGCGAGGCAAGATTTTTAGGCCCATGACATGAGGGGGTTATAATCCTTATAGAGTTCTATGTTCCGCTTCAGATATATTTTCATGTATGATATGACCAACGTTAAAGGGACCATGTCCTTTTTTAAATGTACTTTGTTTAATGCAATCCTTAAAAATGCATCTTTCTGTCCCATTTATCCCGATTTGCATGTTTCATTTTGACATTTTCCAGAGTATTTTTATGCCTTTTTGGTGTTTATGCTAATGCGAATGGCATATTCATGAGCAAAAGTGGGATGTCATTTTGCACGCAGAAACCTCAATGTTATAGCTTGTTTCAGCAGTACCAAAAGTTGCCCGAGTTTAGGATATTTTAGTGCCTTAAATATTTTTTTTTCTTTGGTGATTTGTTGTTGTGTAAGTACATGGCACTAAGCCTGGGCCAATGAGAAACTTTTTCTCACAAATGTTTTCAGATTTTTGGGTTCACAATTTGAACAAAAAACACCTATACTGAACTGTAGCTTCCTGAAATGACATCACAGCAACAGCACCCTCAGTTGTCCGGGAAAAAATGGATAATTTTAAATGTATAAAGAAGTGCACTTTTCAATAAATGAACCAAAAAGGGATATTCAAATGTTTCATACATATAAGGAGGAGTAGAAAGTCGCACAAAATATTTTCCTCACAGTAATTCACTGCATATCATGGCCCTTTAATTTCCGCTTTACTCACAAATTATTTTGAAGCCAGCAATGAAGCCGAAGCAAAGAGGAACCCGACGTTTCAAAACTCCTCGGCACGACAACCCAAATACTCTCTTACGTTAACTTTAACCATTGCCCTCTTTCGCTACCGCTGTTTCCTTAAATGGAGGAGCAATTTCAATTTAACAATAGTCTGGTCCCCAGGCCAAAAGATTCTGACTATTTATGACGAATCTAAGGTCAGGTATAGCCGTCACGGCTAAAAATAAACATGATGGCCGTTTCTCAAAGCTCGGCTTCGTTTTCGGCTTGGCTTCATCATTAAGAGCCTTTGACGTTCCCATCAAATAAAGTTTGATATTTCAGTAAGAAAACATTGACTGATGTTGAGCTGTAATCTTCAAAGTGAGGGACCCAAATAGCAGGCGAAGCCGAAATGGAGACGAAGCCGAGTTTTGGAAAACTCATAGGTAACGTCGTCTGATTTAAAAAAAGACTATGACGCACGGTTTGCAGATTTCTCACCACGTTGAATACCAAATGTATCTTTTCAGGGCAATTATGTCGAAATATCGATGGGCAAGCTGTTATAAGAGTGAACGCTTTGCAAGGACACAAAATCAAAAGATGCTGACACTTTATGACGAATCTAGGTCAAGTAGCCGCCACGGCTAAAAATATACATGATGGTCCTTTTCAAAGCTCGGCTTCGTTTCCGGCTTGGCTTTAAATGATGTTTCTATCTCACCCGGAAAATTCCAAATGTATGCTTTCTGCATGGGTAATTATGTCAACATATCGACGGGCAAGCTGTTATAAGAGTGAAAGCTTTGCAAGGAAACGTCTATAGTTGTTCGACACAACTTGTGCAGTTGGCAACGTTACTTTGTGGTAAGCATGCTTAATATGAGCAAAACGAGTTGATATTTTGTTCTCTTTGTGTTTTTCATTTGGAAATAATTGCAGCTCTTTCATGTTGTTCGTTTTGGATGTCCAATGTTTGTGTTATACTAATACTAAGTAGTGTATCTATCGAATCCAACGCGCGAGCAAAAAGCTTCCAATAATTAATTTACATTGTTGTGAGTTTATTAGCATTGTTTAAGGGCATATAAGATCATTTGCACCTGTACCGAATTGTTATCGAAAAGCTTGCCTAGATTAAAGGACATACTCAACTCCCCGTGAAATAAGTCTGGCTTGCTTTCAAAGAAATCAAGTTTTATATGTGATTTCCATCGATCAGTCAATTGACTGGGTTTTGGAAATAAAATCTGCTTTTGACGTTATCGTGGATTGTAAATTTCGAGAAATTCATGAAACACCCAAGTTATTGCGGTGTTTCAGATAAAAAAAATTCTGAGATACAAGAAGCATTTGGCAGTTAAGCTTGGGAATATAGTGATGATGATGATGATGATGTCGTATGCTATGGCGATCTCGTCGTATTGTCCGTAAGCCAGTGTCTCGTTGGGTCCTCGGCCAAGTGAAGGGCTGCGATGCCACCAGTATAAGGCGAGAGAGGGGGCAGTCATTGATCATACGGCGCATCTATTAAAATTATTGTATACTTTATGTGTGTTTTGTAAATTTGATGAGCTGTGATGTGCTGTTTATTGTTTTATTAGAACTAAAGGACGACAGATAAAATGACCTCCCTCACTCGCGGGTTGAATCGTGGGCAAACTTATTAAAAGATGCAGACACTCCGACATGCCAAAATTCACGTTGTTAGAATAATTGGTGGATGGTATTATAAAGTAGCACACAGTTATTTCTTTCACTGGTGTAGAAAGGAGCCCTGCCGATTTTCTTCGACCTCGTGCGCCAGTGCCACGGGGCGAAAGCAAGCCTTAGGCCAAAAAAAAAGTCTCCGGTTTCTGGTATGCGCGCGCGTCGCCGTAGCCATGCGCGTCGGCAAAATGAAAACGTTTTTTTTTTCAATGAAAGATGATGTCTCAAAACCGCCAAACTCACTGGTTTGACTGGAATTCTGCTGCTGCGCAATTTCAACGTGTTTTTAGATGGGGTTATGATCGAGAATAAGCTTTGTGTGGCCTCTCTGGACTCCCATATATTTGCACTAGGTTTAGTCGGGCACCATTTGCAGTCATCAGCCGACATTTGAAGCAAATTTGAAGCAAAAAAGTCGGGTAAAAAAAAAAAGCCGCGTCGCCGCACCACTTTTTGGACAAGCTCCATACCAGAAACCGGAGACTTTTTTTGGCCTTATTTATTGTATGCACAAAAAACACGCTCAAGCCAGCTGGTCTACCCATGACTATTTAAGAGGCTTTTCTAAAAAAAAATTAATAAATATAAAATAGCAAAAAATTCTGGAAAAATTGAGGGGAGAAAATACCTGTATGCTTGTATACCTGTGTATAATTTCAATGGATCCATTTTGCTTCAGTGGCATTCAGGCTACGCGTCGAAAATCAATCGCTATGCTCTGATGATCAAAGTCGCCCAGAATGTAAACAAGAGCTGTGATGGTTATGTCAAGGTCACGGTACAGATTTCTCACCCGGGGAATACCCAATGTTTCTTTTCTGGATAATTATGTCATGATACCGATGGCCAAGCTGTTATAAGAGCGAACGCTTGCAACGACACGTCATTGCTTGTACGACACAGCTATTGTGCAGTTGTGAACGTTAAGTCGTGGACTGTGAACAGGTAAGCGTGCTGGAATTATAAGCAACAAGACATTGTGATCTTTCATGTTGTTCTTTTGGATGTCCAATTGTTCTTTTAGGAATTTTGAAAAATGTTTCTTTTTTATTTTGAGTGCATGCTTTTATTATTGGAAATAAACAAAATGCAAGAAAGGCAAATGATCCAATATGCCTTCAAGCAAAGATACCGATATCAATATATATTTACGTTTACGGAGTACAAAAACGTTTAATGTAGGGCCATAATGAGAGTCGTCTTGTCACTAAGACGGTTATTCAAAAAATCGACTACTTTAAAAACATCATATGTATTGGCGGTCTCAATTAGCATGGGGATATGGGCAAATTAAACGGGATTTCTTGTATTTAAGGGGCCAACATCCGACAAAATCGCGAAAATTTGAACATTGTATCATCACTTTGACGAGAATGATGTTGAAATACCCCGACTTTATTTTTATTTTTAGGGATTTTTATTTTTTGATTTTGATTATTTAGGATGCAAGGTACAGTTAAAACAAATAATAATCCCTTCCAATATTTATCAAGTTTTGTCAAAACTAGCTACCGTATTATTGTTCATCAACTTAAAATCAAGACTATGGGTGTGATCCCTGGTTACGTGTCATTATAATGGTTAACAGCTTCTGATGTTGACAAAATGGGGAACCGCCCACATAGAGCTGCATGGAAAGCTCAGTTGGTAGAGCGCCGTAAAGGTATAGGCCTACTCCGGAGGTCGCATGTTCAAACCAAAGATGTGATAGCGCCGAAGGCGCAAGATGGGGAACTCCATAGAAATTGCGAAATCGTCATGGACGCCATTCGAGTAAGGAAACCATTGTAACAATCATTGTTCGCGCCAGTGGCGTAGCCAAGAGCCCCCCCCCCCCATGAAACCTTGTTGCCCCCCCCCCAGTCGCCCCCCCCCCCTGAGATTTTGAGTTTCTAAAAATATTATCATTGATCTACATGACATGCCCCCCCCCCATGAAATGTTCCAGACCCCCCCCCAAACCCCCCTCCCCCCCCCCCCCCGAAAAATCCCTGGTTACGCCACTGGTTCGCGCAATGGTTTGCTTCAAGTAAGCAAACCATTGTGCAAACAATGGTTTGCACAATGGTTTGCTTACTGGAATGGCGTCCATGGCGATTTCGCAATTTCTATGGAGTTCCCCATCTTGCCCATCTTGAGCGTTCAGTTCAAACCCGCTCCAGTCATTTCCTATGTTCAATTTGGAAATTAAGTTAAAACTAAGATTTTTTTTTTACAGAACCATGGGGAACTGGTTTTCAACGGGACCCGAACCTTGGTGTCTGGATCCAAGCAGTTTGGAGAGGTGGTACATTACGAACATTCTAGAAGGAACGCAGAAGTTTAATTCCGACTGCAGTGAAGCAGTGGACAGACTCCTCGGTTCTCTCAACATAAAATGCGTCACTGCAGGTAAAAACCTGCTGGACACCCCAGACGTCATAAAGGTGAGTGAGTCCTTATTGTGACTGGAGTATTTGTGGGTCTTCTGAGGTCCTCAAAGTAGGTGTCATAATCGACAGGACGCGTATTTTTTTACCAAGGAGGGTTGGGGCCAATTCATTAATAATTCAGTTTTTCCCTTGAATCATTGAAAGAAATATAGGTTCTCCCCCCCCCCTTTAATTAAAATTATCTCAACAATAAATTTGAAAGAGAAAATTAGTCGATGAAAATGTGCAGCGACAACATGGGTTCGAACCAGGGATCTTTGTATCCATAACTCATATCACTAGGCTACTGTGTGGTAGCTCGACGATAACCGTTCTTTAAATTTGCTTTAACGAACAACAATGTTGTTGGTGTCATTGTTCTGTTCTCGTGAATAAACATAATTTTCCAATCGAAACGACTTAATTATTCATGAATTGACCCCGACCATCCTGGGAAGAAACATTACGCCGACAGGATACACTTTACATAAGAAAATGCTATAGACGCCGACATCAAAAGGATGGAATCAACCATGAATTATCGAGTTAAAAAGACAGAATATTTTACTAAAGTCTTACTTCATTACTGGTGAAACAGAAAGACAATTTTTGAAACTCAAAAGCTCCTAATTTGAAAAGACTGTTCGCTCTTTAAAACAACTTGTGACGGCTACGAAAATCGTGATGGGCCATAGTGACAGGACGATGGTTGTTGGACGAGTATTCATTTTACATCCCCACGGTGCTTATTACCTTTCAGGGTGGTTCACTCGGTAAAGGCACAATGATAGGCGGCCTGTCCGAAGTTGACCTGGTTGCCTACATCAACCCCTCGCACTTGGCACCCATCTGTTCTTCGTCGACGCAGGACTATAGAACGCAACTCAAGGCAGTCATCGACGAGCTGAAGAAAGCACTCGGTCGTCTGAAAAACGTAGGGATAAGACGCAGCGACGCGTATACGATCAGCTTCGTCATCGAAGTTACTGGACGACGGTTTCTGGAGGTCGATCTCCTGCCTACAGCTGAAAACTTTCATGGTTATGGTCTAGGTAAGTTAGCATTCATTACATTTCGTGCTGATGATTTCAACACCGACTCGGTGACCCAATAGCTGTGTAAGTAATTTTATATTATATTTTCCTCATGTATAACATTAAATCGAAACATTAAAAATATGCGCCCGATGGCTCTTCTTTTCTTTCGCTTGGTGCAGTACGGAAAGCATAGCTGAAAAGAACGCACAATCCGAGGTTGTATTATTGGGATGTTTAGCCTCCGTTACATTGCATTATACCAGAAGAATTAAAAAAAAAAATAGAAATGTATGTGTGTCTTTTAATACACAGGTCCGTCCGACATTTATAAGGAAATGCTTCAACTCAGCGGCTACGACCGCGGATTCTACTCGGCCTCGTTGGTGAAATTCCAGTGGGACTTCGTGAAGAACCAGCCGGGCTACGTCAAGGAGCTGATCAGCCTGGTCAAGTTCTGGGCATGCACCTCCTTGCCCCGGGCTCTCCAGAAATCCTACCCTCTGGAGCTGATTACCATCTACCGCTGGGAGAACGCCGGTAAGCCCGCGTACTTCAGCAAGGCCCAGGGACTGAAGGACATCCTTAAAGCCATGACTGCTCTCCAGGTTCTTCGTCACTTCTGGACCGACATGTATGACGCGGATTTGGCGGAACAAGCCATCACCAAACTTGGGCACAGAAAGTGAGTTTTACTGCTGACCAACTGGTCAAGAATCTATAAAAAAAAAAAGCAAATTCAGTTAGCTAGGTCGGCAAGATCAAACAAAAATTGGATTTAAATGTATTTCAAAAAACTTTGTTTTTAATCCGTGCGCAAAGTCTCAAATTTTATGACGTTTTAAAAAATTTATACCATGTTTACAAAGAGTCCGTACCCCAATGGTTAACATAAGCCCATTCAATAACCCAATTTAAGAAGGAAACGTAACTAAGTTTGCATAATGGGGTCAGTGATAAGTGGAAGTTCAAATATGTTTGACTAGCAAGCTAAAAGGACTAGTATAAACTCGACGTTTCGACAAGGTATATTTTTCTATATCGTCATTCTTTTGAGACGAACAGAGCTTGCTGTTCGAAACGTAAAACTTACACGCTCGGAGACACCCGTCATTAATTCATGAGAGATTCAGTGTCGCATGGTATCAAAGAAGTATAACATTAGGCCTACTTGTTTGAATTATTCAGTCAATTCTTTCTAATCTGAATTTTTTCTTCAGCCCCATTTTGTTGGACCCTGCCAATCCGACCAACAACGCCTGCTGGGTTTACCAGAAAGGTGACGACATTGATGTGATAGCAAAAGCCGCCGAGTCTTCTCTGCAGACCGTGCTCCTTCGTGACGTCATCGTCTATGCAAATTGGTCGGGCCGAATAACTTCTGAATAGTTTCACTACAAAAATGCTTAACAACAGCTGAATTATTCTAAATGCCACCAATTTTTGAGCGCTATTTTTGTATGAAGGCTACCTCCAAACAACCGAGTAAAATCAATTATCAAATGTATTACAGCAATAACAATGTATTTGGGTAAACTATAGAGTGTCACTTTATATTTGGATAAGTCATCAGATTTTCGACATATTTTAATTGAATTATTATATTTTTGTAAAATAGCAACATTCGAATGCCCAATAGTCTGATTGCCGTTCCCCGATCCCCCGACGTTTCCCCGACGTTTATTGATAGATCGTTGATCGAGTAGACACCTCATAAAAAACAGTACCAATATATACGATCCTTAATTCCAATAAGAATTTTGATAATAATTTGATAGGGTAATTTTTGGATAAATGCAAATGACCCTGTTCGCGTTTTAATACAGAGATACCGGTCAGTATGCAAGGCATAGCATTTTGTAAATGCAATAACATTATATTTAATTAATTCCATTTTGTCCAGGACTTTTAACAAAATATGGCAGGCATTATCTTTGTATTAAAGTACAACCATTTACACACGAAGACACCCGACCATAACCGAGTGTCAGGAAAACGTCGGGAAATTCAGAACCGAGCGGAATTCCTTGTCTGGACTAGTTACTTGATACCGTCGGCTATAACCTCACACATTTTGGCCAGAATGGTTTGAATCTTTAGGTCAAAAAGGAACCAGACTACATAACCCTGACAGCTTGGCAGAAAATTGGCGGGAAAGTTTACTAGGAAAACAAATATAACACAAATTTCAGTTTGTAACAAAAATGTTTGGAGTAGGATTTGCGGCCGGTTGGCAAGCTTGAAAAGTATTTGCAGTACTGAAATATGTGAATAGGAAAAAAAGGCCTATTTTTCAAAACTGAATATTCTTTTTTATCCTATCAATCGGTCTATGTAAATGTCTTTTTTGTAACGTTTGAATTCGCTTTTGATTAGATTGACGTGGCATTATTAGTCTTCAGAAACACAATTTGTGTTAATAGAAATGTATATAATAACGAATATTATGTTTTCATAAAGTACTGCAGCAAACCGCGACACGTTTAAGCCCATGGACCACTTAATCTATTGCTGAAAACAAATCAATCTTTGTTTTTAATCTTCAAAAGATATATTAAAGAAAACCCATATCACATAGTATCCTTTTCCCTTAATAAAAGATTTTTTACAGGTGCGGATCCGGGGGGGGTGTCAAAAACCCACCAGCTCTGTCTATTTTTTTTTCATAGAAAAACATTAAAAATAATGTGAAACTCCCCCCATCCCTGCTCTGACATGCCAAAAAAAATTCAGACAATATTATACTGTTAAAAATGTCCGCCTGTGCACAAAATTTGGTCAGAGCCTGCTACAGGGATACTTCTAGATTCCGTAATATAGTGTTGATGATCGTCGGATTTGAACAGCGCCCCCATTGTAAGTATGGTACGAGCCGCCCCCCCCCCCCCCATTGATTTTACGCAGGTCAAGTGTGCGGAAAAAAAATCCTGCCTACAATTCAGCATTTTTTTTGCTGAGGAAACCAGATGAGTGGAATAACCAGCTCTTTTAAGACATACTTTATTTGTTGCATCAAATTGGATTGCCTGGTAAGAAAAACTTTAATTTAATCCATGTCACTTTCTTTTTTTTACTTACTCTGTAGTGCATAATCACAGTAAAATTAGCCCAGACTGAAAGAGAATGGCTAAAGGAATCGAGAAAATTGTCTCACCCAAGGACACAAGATGTACCGCTGAAGTTGCATTCAAATCCGGTCCTTTGATCACGGCTCATAATCGCTGCTTCTTATTATGTCGGTATTCCCCTGCATATATAATGACTTGAGATAATTAAGTGCAGTTCTCGTAGAGCTATATTTGCGGTAGTTTCGACGTTATCCATTTGAAACTACGATACAGTATTTGCTCTACAATATTAAATAAGTAAATACCAGACCTCAAGCAATCTTTTTTCTATTACACAATGCGGGGTACAAAGTCCTGACCGTGACAACCTCATCCCCAGTGCTTACTTAATTTTTAACCGCGTTTCCAGTAAGCCCTGGGATGGGAACTTGCTTCCTGTATCCTGATTCGATACCGCAATTTATAAGCAGGTAATGGATTTATATCGCGTGCTTGGTGTTGTTGTTTCCAACGTGTATTACGTGTTTTCACGTTCATTGTAATTATCATGTCCACCAGGGTGAGAGAGCAGGTATATGGTGGGAGCGTACTGCTCGACACCCTGCGAACGACGTTGAGACGGTATACCCCGACCCGATGACGTCAAAGAGTGGCGATTTCTCATCGGTGAGTTCCCAGCCTTCGCTGGTACCCTGATATTTCACCGCCTGCATTAGGTTACCGTCGTTCTGACACCAGGGATATACATGCACATGTAGCACACTACTTACCGTGCACACTGGCGCGTGTGGCATTTGTTGGACAAAGCACAAGCCTTAGATCTCTTCGATACACGACGTGTCGTGCGGCGGTTGTGGTTGTCGGCAGTTTTTCGGTCCATCATCCAGTGAACTCATAATTGGTAAATACAACACCGTTCAAATACATGCTATGACTAATTTCTGAGGCCGTTTGTGATAGTCAGAAAACATGTTACTGCGAACTGAACTGAACAAACCTACAGTTTGTAACACCATGGAGCTGGTAACACGGCGTCACGCCTATCAGTATCACTATTTCCCTATAATTGTTTACCCCACCCCCTTCTAGTTGGATCTTGAAGGGGGGTTGCAAATCCCCCTCCCCCTTAGCTGCCCATTAATATTATGCTACTAGTAAATTGGGGACAAAACTATACCCAAAAATGCAAATGTTCCTAATTTATTTTCCCATTTTGCTTCAGAGAATGCAGGAGAAAGCGTCGTAGATTTTTAAAATTATGTTGGGCATGACACGGACCCCCCCCCCCAGCATAGCAGGGCGTATTTTCGCCACTCCTTCACGCACTCCTACCCCCCCCCCCCACCCCCAGTTGATATTAAATCCTCCCCCCTCGTTTTCTAATTACTGGATCCGCCCCTGACCACTCACCCCAGGATTTCCTACCCAAGATATGGTCTCCTGTATAACGTCTGATAATGTCTAGACGATGTAGATGCATGCATATGCAAGCCGCGGGCCAGCCAATTGGAGTCGACTATATACTAAATCGTGACGTCATTTCATTCCCAAATCAGGACTAAATGGTTTGATTAGTCAATTCGAATGCAATGTTTTGTAATACAACAACAGCGGGGCGCATTATCGCGTAACATGATACAGAGCGCGTGACGCAGTTTTTTTATTCATTGTCTATGACGCGCAACGTGAATGACCAAAGACCCAATATAGGAAGCACCCGCTGATTGGTCAAAATCCAGGAGGTCAAATGGCGGTTGTCTTGTAGGCCATCAGCCTCGATCCAAAATTTTGGCCACCGGTATCAAATGAGGGGAATAATCATCATAGCGATTTTTGGCAAGGTATACACCTCCAGAGTTGGAAAATATGTGATAGCATTGCATGCAGCGGTGGCAGCTTTTTGGGTGTTATAACCCTTTTTTTTCAAAATGTCCATCAAAATGCTTGTGACCACTCTAGGGGCGGTATGCCTTGCGCATGCACACTATAGTCATTTATGCACTGACTTGATACCGACCAAACCCCCAGGCTGATGGCCTATTGCCTAAGTTTCAGCGAATAGACTAGCATGGGACATCACACGTATATAGATTAGTTGCGTATCATAAGCGAAATGATTTGATTTTTCAGAAAATCGACCTCTCACGTCCGACAAGGTAAGATGTTATGCACAATAAGCCACTTACGGTGGAAAGTTCCTTAATCCGTAAATGACCATTTTGGAACGCCTCCCCGGGGCGGATCCAGGGGTTTGGGGGTAACCCCCCAGCTCTGTCAAAAATGTGGGGTTTTTTTCATAGAAATTCCTTAAAAAATAATACTAAAACCCCTCCCTGCTCTGCCCCCTCCCCCCCCCCCCCCCAAAAAAAGTACTGGAAAGAATGTATTCCTGTGCATCACATACGGACAGAGGCAGCCATGGTAAAGAGGTATTTGTACACTATTCTGTAATATAGATAATAGTGTAAAAAATCGTCTGATTTGAATAAACAACCCCACCCCCTCCCCAGCCCCCACCCCCTCTAATTTTGAAACAAACTGCCCAACTTTCAATCTCAGGAAAATGGGGAATTGGCTGTCGGGCGGATCAACAGAGGGCGCTATAAATGAACCCGAAGCTGAAGACGAGCCGTGGTGTCTGCAACCGCACCAACTCGAGCTATGGTACAACGAGAACATACAACGTGGAACCACTCAGTTCGACACGAATTGTCGTTTGGCTGTGGATACGGTCGTAAGATATCTCCACGAGGTCTGCTCTACCAATAAAAACTTGTTTGACATCTCCGAAGTTATCAAGGTGGGTAACCTTTATTTATCTTATAGCATGTTCAAAACTCAGTGGCATCTTTGCTTGAGCGTCGGGTGCTGTTCGTAAAAATGTTCAAGATCCCCTCAAAGTAGTCGCTCCCAATGGTTTCTTTGTAATCCTTGAGGGCGTACTTGTGTACAGAGTTCACCGTCGGTATACTGTCCACCGTATACGTTTTGCAGGGAGGATCACTGGGTAAAGGCACCATGGTCAAAGACCTATCCGACGTGGATCTGGTTGCTTTCATCAATCCGCCTCACATGACCTCCCTAGGGTCAATTGATCCCCAGGCCTACCGCGACAAGCTCAATGCCGTATTCAAGGAGCTGGAGGCGGCGCTGCGACGTACTGAGGATATTTCGGTGAGAATCAACAGGAGCGACGCGTACCTGGTCAACTTTTCCGTGGAGGTTCGTTCGGCTGCGGCTAACCACCCCAGATGGGTAGAAGTCGATCTCCTGCCTACGGCCGACAACATTTCAGGAATTACCTTGGGTAAATTTTTATCACTCCATTTTGCCGAAAACCACATGTTTATCTGTTTATATGCGATTTGAGGTTGTGTATCAACGTAAGGGAAGGTTCAGTTTTATTCGGAGAATCAAAGTTGTTTAACCCGTGCTCTTCAACAAATGCGATTATTTTTTTCTCATAACAAATTTACAAGATGGAATTTTGCGTCGTGGTGATCTAAATCAATTTAGGTTGCCTTTCACCGACGTATAAACACTGTTTTTTCCCCCAACTTTCGCTCGGGAGGTAACACACTGAGTATACAGTGTTTATACGTCGGTGAAGGGCGAAACCTAATTTGACTCTTAATAAATGTTCAACTTCTCGGTTGCTTACAACCCTCTCGGAAAAAAATCTATATATTTTAGACACAAAGAATTCGGTCCGTCCATTTTTGATACAGATTGTGGGGCGGAAACCAGCCTATTTTAAGCCATTAATACTTCTGTTTCTTCTTAGAAGTGCTTCTCTCTTTAATAGATTTCTGCGATCGATCAACATCTTTTGAAAAGTTAAAGTGTCTTCCTTACAGATTCGTTGTTCAGGAAGATGCTGCAAATGCGCGGCTACGACCGCGGGTTCTACTCGGCCTCCTTGGTAAAATTCCAGCGGGACTTCGTGAAGTACCAGCCGGTGTACGTCAAGGAGCTGATCCGCCTGGTCAAGTACTGGGCCTACACCTGCCTGCCCCAAGCCCTCCGTAAGTCCTACCCACTGGAGCTGATCACCATTCATCGCTGGGAGGAAGCCGGGCGCCCCTCTCGTTTCAAGAAGGTCCAGGGTTTGAGAGATGTCCTTCAGACCTTGACTGATCTCAGCCGGCTGAGAGCCTACTGGGTGGAGCATTACGACGAGGCACTGGCAGAGCGGTGGATTGAGAAACTTGGCTGTTCAAAGTGAGTAAACTTACATTAACTTTCAACGACCCCTTGTAGATAATATTATTGATAAATTTGTTCAACGACATCAACACTGATATAATCATTGCAGTATACACAATAGAAGACGTCTCATACGCACTTGGCATTATTTAAATTTAGCCATCTAAATGGGTGCAAAGTTTTATTGTTTGTCGACTCTACCTATTCTATTTCGGAGGCAATAAAATATGAGAACCATAGAAATTAAAAGGGACGAACAAATCGGGTGTGTGGATATGTTTGTGTTGGGAATATAAGTTCATGGCTTGAAAAGAGGATTCACCACAATCAAATCTAATCCAACGTTGATGACCGAGGCAGATTGTGGCGAGAAAAACCCTACAGAAGACGTCATTTTAAATACAGAGAGCTGTCGATAGGGGTTAATAAGAAAATGCCAGGTGAGGAATTCCGGTTTGGTAGAAGTGACTCATGTTTTTGAATATAGAACATATGAAAGTTACAATTTTGCGCGCCACATCCATCCCTGATGGATGACAATGGACCTGGGAGAGATCCAAACAAAGGGGACCTTTTTTCTCTTTGATCGTACAATGATTGTTGTTTTCCTCGCAATTTCCAGCCCCATTGTTTTAAATCCCGCCAATCCGACCACCAACGTCTGCTGGGTGTACCAGCGGCCCGACAACCGAGAACAGATCCAGGACGCCGCGGCGGAGAGCCTTTGGTCCGAGCTGCTTCGCCATGTCGTAGTCACGTCCAACTGGAGCGGTCGGTATTAGAGAGGGCTCCTCATCGGGACACTACTTTTCTTCCACAGTGTTTTATTACAATGAATGCTATTAACACTTTACAATTTAGATTGATGCTCTATAGGCGAAGCTATTTGTTAATTAAAAAAAAATCGTTGATTAGTAGAAGAAAACTTCTCATTCACGACGCAACTTTTCCTCCACATAACCATTTCAGCATGTTTGAAATCAGGGTTTTGCCAATTACAATTTAGATTGATAGTAAATTGTCCGACTTGATTTGCTGAATTCTTAGACAAGGCTGTTTAGTAATGTTTAATTAATAAGTGAACGTTGGTGAGAGAGAGCTCCGCATTCACGACGCAACGTTCTTCCACCTAACCATTTCGGCATGTTTGAAATCAGGGCATTAACTTTACAATTTGGATCGCTCGGAAGTTGTCCAACTTTATTCTCTACTGTATTCCGACCTTATTGATATGTTATATATATTGTGTTCGTACATCTGTTTATTTATCAAATAAGTGATCGCAAACGGCGTTAAATTCTTGGCTGAATTTTTTTTCAAATATCATTATCCATATATATATATATTTCTTTGTGAAATTTAGTCGTAACTTGCATGTAATAGTTTTTTGACACAAAATAATTATTTTTGAGGGGTCTGCATGAACAAAAAATAAGATTAACTAAGTATTAAAATAACTGATGTCAGCAACTGACTTTTTTCTAAAACTAAATGCGAGAATAATGGGTGCATAAACTATTTCGGTTATATGTTTTCCCTGCATAAACGTGGGACTTCATTCGTGTGCTCACAACAATTTGAACATGTTTAAAAAAAAATTCAATCGTCACAGCAGTTTGTCGAAAAAAAAAGATTTATTCTATAATAAAAGGTAGGCCTTTCTTTTACGAAGGGCAAACTGATTTATTCCCCTTTTTTATTGACTTCAATTTTGGGCTGCATTTTGTTTTTCGTTACATCTTTACAAATCTAAAAATCAAAGTAGTTAATAAATAGAATTACTGAAAGTTGAAAAAGACCTTGCATGGGCGTCGCCAGGATTTTTTTCTAGAAGGGAGCAAAACATATTTTTCCAAAAAAAATCCTGTATTTCTCAACATATTCTCGATATATCAGTTTTAGAGGGGGGCAGGTACATTTTTTCCCCCACCCCCACCCCATTAAATTTACACCACTATGACTTCGCGCCTCTTTTTCTTTTTTCTCTCGTTTTCTTCCCTTCCTTTTTTTTTTTTTTTTTGCTTTTCCAGGGGGCGGAAGCGCCCCCTTGCCCCCCCCCCCCCTCGCGACGCCCATGGACCTATGATTACAGTCATGAGTTGTTGTACACCAACCATCAAACTATTTTGATTTTCTTCGGCACCAATTGTTACATCAAAAGAGGCGTTGTGTCCTCTCAGTGTATGTATTACCAGCGTATAAAGAACAACGATTTCATTCACAAACAGAAACGTAGTACATGGTGTATCACGGTTGGCTGTGTGTTTTCTGTGACTCTTGAGGTCTCCTACCCTTTTCATTGATTCAACGTTAAACTTTTGAATCGTCAATGATTTTGATGGACAAACAATCAAGTGCACTGCAACTATATGATTGGTGGAGGGTTTCAAAAATTCCTTACAATGTTCCGAACACCACTCGATTTCGATCACAAGGGCACGACAGACAGGAACTCGGATATTTTCCGTCCTTGTTTAGTGCTCTTGCGTGTGCATAAACATAATAAATGGACTGAAAACAATGAAAACAAACAATATTTCAAAATAATTACATTTAAAGTCACGCATGGGCCTTATCGAATTTACGAATTGTTTATTTTGTTTAAGTGAAAAAAACCCAACTCTATTCTAAGCTTGTTATGGGCGTCTGCAACCCTTTTGAGGAATGACTTTACTTTTGAACACAAATGAACCCGCCTTGCGAGAGCCGAATTATTGTATGATAGTTCATAATTGACTTTTTGTTCAGAAATATTTCAGTAACTAAACACCAACCAAAGCACTTAAATATTCATTAAACGGTATAATATTGTTGATCACGTTAATCCTGCATGTAGTGCATATCTTTGCGAAGTTACAGACTGAAAGAGAATGACAAAAGGAATCCCGAAACGAATGTGTTACGTAAGCAGGGCCGGAGATCTCGGGGGATAGGGGAATAATCCCCCAACCACTTTTTGACCAGGGAGATGGGCTATTGAAACATCCCCCTCCCACTTTTTCGTGATGAGAAAACCATGCGGATTACGAGGTATTTTTTTAACATCCCAACAACCAAAATGTATTCAATAGCACTGAAAAAGTGGGGAAACAAAGTATACAAGGTTATAAAATGCGCCGTTTAAATGTAAGGGCGAGTATACATATTGATGGACATCTATATCCTGAAAAACGCCCCCTAGTGTAATGTGTTGTCCAGCCCCTGCCCCCTGCCCCCCCCCCCCCCAGAATTTCCACGGCCGCCATTTTTAGATTTTGGTCACCCCCCCCCCCCCCCCCCACTCGCATGGCACAGATTTATACGCCACTGTAATTAAGGACACACCTCCCAAGCGCATACATGAATCGCTGAAGATCGATTCGAATATCCACGTTCCTTTGATCGCAACTCAGATCCCTTAAATAATAGCAGTCTCGCCGTTCACTAAACTGCAACTTTAAGAACTGACGTTAGCTGGCATTTTGATGCAGCAAAAACCGACGACTATTGTAAACATTCTATTGTGAGAACACAATGCCATACGTGCGGAAGGTAGGAACTTCAGACTCCATTATTGTGTTCCCGACACGATGACGTCAGACACTGGTGAAGGTGGCGATTTCTCATCATCGGGAATTTCCCAGGTGTTCGCCAGGTACCCTGAAATCACCGCCTATATTCCATTACCGTCACACTGGAACCAGTGATATAGCAGGTTGAATTCATTTGTTCTACCACGCTGAAGAAAACTAATAAATTTAAACGAATGATAATAACATCAGAATAATTTTCGAACTTTCCATTTAATTTCAGTTGATAAAAAGATGTCTTGCATCAAGAATCACTCTGAAAAGTGTTTTTTTTAAGCGTGTTGAAGAACTTAACGAAGTTTTTTTCCAAAGGAACTGTACTTTTAACTCTGCATTTATTCTGAAAGACGTGCCTTTATGTGGTCAGTATAGTGGTGGGTCACTTAATTTCCGTCTGGCCATGTTTGAAATCAGGCCAATGCCATTTTACATTTTAGGATCTATCTGAAGTTGTCTATAACTCTATTTTCTATATACTCTATTTCCTAAAAGCAGGACGAGTATCACGTGATTCATGTCTGTCCTAGATCTGAAACCAAAATAATTTATCGGCAACCTCTAGTTCTCACTTACTGACTATCCAACCTACTTCTGGCATGTTGCATTTTAGCTACACTCTTTGCTGAAATCAACATTAATATCAATTTTTGTTCGCTGGAAGCACATTTTGTATTGTCATTTGTCACGTGACGGATACACCTCATACAGCTGAAACCAAAATAGAATGTAGGCGGGTCACCTGTCTCTAAGATGTGATCGGCAATTTGACTGCTTCTCTTACACAGTTGGTAATTTGTCTCAAATTAGGCTTAATGTTGTACAACCGCAAATTTGCTATTTTTAGTACGAATTTTCTCAGAATGAGTATCACGTGATTCATAGCTGTCTCACGAATCTGAAACCAAAATAATTTATAGGCAATCTCTTGTCCTCAATAACTGACCACCAAACGTAATTCTGGTGTCCTTCATATTAGGAACACTTTGCTGAAAATCCGCATTAAATATCAAAAATATATCACAGCAATAGTGTTGTTTATTGGCCTCCGTACTTAATGAATGCGCGGCTGATATGCGGCCGGCTGATCCTGAATTCGCGGCTTGAGTATCTGGCCGAATACGCGGCCAGGTTCACGCTGGTGCGAAAGTGATGATCTGTAATCGGGAATTCCCCCACAGGTTTTGCCTGGTACCCTGAAATCACTGTCTATATTCCTTTACCGTCGCAATGGCACCAGGGTTGAAAGCAAGGTTAAAATATTACCGTGAATGCATTGACGTTTTTGTTGGCACTTTCAACGTTCGCCGAGTGGAATTTTTGGGCAACTGAACACAAAATCTCTCCTGAACATTAGACGTTTGTTGTCATCCTCTTGTATCGGTATCTGACTGTGATTCAGTGATGGATGCGAAGGTAGGTAAACATGTTTTTAACTTTACATCTCCTGGGTATATTTGTTAGGCTATAGCTGTATGCATGTAGTTGCCAAAACAAACTGGCCATGTTATGTAAATGTAATGGGGCTGTGGATCAGTTACGATGTTTATCGAAATGCAAAGAGTGTTTTAGATCGTGCAGATAATGTGACTTGCATGGAATTTAACGCACGCTCATGCATGTAGATCATTTTATTTAGTCGACTCTTCTGATCCAGAGAAAATGTTTCTTGTCATTTCACCGTCAGTATAATATTGTGTTAATTGAGCTTTTGCCTTTGCCTCTGATAGGCCAACATGTTGCACGGAAACTAAAAATAGTTTTCAAAAAATCATGTAACGTAATACCAAAAGATACACAGATTCTATTTCTAAAAGTGAACAAGAGGTTACGATTCTGTGTTTTCTTTTGGCGAAATGGTTTCAACGTCTAAAGGATTTTTTTGAAATACAGGTTGTCCCACACACACACAAACATAACAGTCGAACGGGGCATGTTTTCAACAAAGTGGGGGTATGTTATTCAAAATCGTGTCTAATGTATTGCTGACTAGAATAATTGGTCTTCCAAATAGTCTTCCAAATGTATTTTTAATTGTATAATTATGTTGCTTTGTTCACAAGATTCATCAATCCAGTGGCGTAGCCACCGGGGGGGGGGGGGCGTGGGGGCCGGGGGGGACGACCGCCCCCCCCCCCCCCCTGAAACCTTGTCGCCCCCCCCCCCTGAGATTTTGAGTTTATAAAAAAATTATCATTGATCTCAATCTAAATAGTCGCGAATGATCCACATGATGACCACTGAGAAACGACCCTTCGACCGACGACCGCGGACCAGTAAGCTGACAACCGGCGTGACATAGCGCATAATGATAATCTAAAATGTGTATTAACACCCACTGCACTGCTCGCTCACACCACGGAACACGTATTATAGACAGGTGGTCCGTGGGTCACACAGTTTCAGTCAGCGATATCACGCGAATCGGCCACGCACAAACTTTTTCCTCCATTCATATAAGCTAAATAATAATAAAAGACCAATTAAAATTCCTTAAAATCAGTGGCGTAGCCACGGGGGGGGGGGGGGGGAGCGTGGGGGGGGGCGACAGCCCTCCCCTCATGAAACCTTGTCGCTCCCCCCCCCCCTCCAGTCGCCCCTCACTGAGATTTTGAGTTTCTAAAAAAATTATCATTGATCTACATGACGCCATGGGCGCCAATCCTGGGGGACAGGGGGACTGGTCCCCCCCCCCTCCCTACTTTTTGAAGGGTGGGGGACACAATATCAAATGTCCCCCCCCCCCCCGATTTTTGAACTCGTGTCTCATTGACAGGGCCCTATTATGTACTACAATGTATCTTTTGCTTAGAAAATATTGGTTAAAGTGGTCAGAAATTGCCTCAGATAGCACCACAGAGCATTTAGAATCCAAAATGTTTCGGGGCCCTTAAGCGGGCCCCGAACCCCACGCCTATAGCTCAGATTTCTGGTAGCTGATTCAATGACTCCAACCTCGAAAACAATGTTCAAAAAATTTTCTTATGCCTTTAGCTGAGAAAACCTCGAAAATTATGTTTAAATTATTATCTTTTGTGCTTAAATAATTATTGGTTAAAGTGGTAAGAAATTGCCTCAGATCACACCACAGAGCATCGAGAATCCAATTTTTTTCGGGGCTCGCTGAAGGGCCCCGAACCCCACGCCTATAGCTCAGAATACCGATAGCTGATATAATGACTCCAACCTCGAAAACGATGTTCAAATAATTATCTATTGCTAGGAAAATATTAGTTAAAGCATGGAGAAAGGTGGTAAGAAATTGCTTCAGATCGCACCACAGAACATCTAGAATCCAATTTGTTTCGGGACCCTAAGCGGGCCCCGAACCCCCACGCCGTAAGGGCTTCGCACTTCGCGCTCGCATCAGTTCTGATCAAGGTATGCCCCCCCCCCCCACTTTTGAGAAGCGATTGACGCCCCTACATGACGCCCTCCCATGAAATGTTCCAGCCCCCCCCCCCCAGCGCCCCCCCCCCCTGAAAAATTTCTGGCTATACGCCACTGCAGCAATCACAATACGGGACATGAAAAACCACTTGGGCCACTTTTTTAATCAAGTTTACAGATCGAAGCCTGTAGAATAAGTCACACGTTAGTCTTGAACAAAGGAAATTAATCCTCTGTGTGTTTCTCTAAAACTGTGCTTTCTCGTCTCACTTTCAAGGAAAGTGGCCCAAGACGATTTTCAACCCTTGATTTCGATGAAGCATAGAGCTTGTTCCAAAGCATCAATTGGAATGAAATAAACTTTGTATGGTAGATTAGTTATCTAACTTTAAGAGGTAATTTGAAAATGTTCCAAAACTGTGAAATATACCTTCATTAAATGGTTTTCGACTGTTGGCACAAACCTGTATCTGGCGTCTTTAATGATCGACGGTGCATGCAATGTTCCCTGTTCTGTCTGAAACTATTGAAGTTTGCATTTCTCAATTTCCCGAATAATTTCGTCATTTCTTGGACCAAAGGAGAATGCGATGTTAGCTTTCATACTGCTGTTTATGTTGATGTTGCTGCTGGCCTTAAGCGGATTGATTGGCTTGTTCTGCTGCCTGTTGTGCGTACTGAGGAGAGTATGGAGCTGGCTACGGAGCGGGCCAACAAAAGGCGCCATTAATGTACCCGCTGCTGAACGCGAGCCGTTGTGTCAAAATGAATCCACTGATGAACGCGAGCCGAGGAGTTGGCTACGGAGCGGATCAACAGAGGGCGCTATAAATGTACCCACTGCTGAATACGTGCCGATGTGTCTAGTGGTCGCTATAAATGAATCCGCTGCTGAACGCGAGCCATGGTGTCTGCATCCCTACAAACTCGAGCTATGGTACAAAGAAAACATACAACGTGGAACCACGGATTTCGACACGGACTGCCGTGAGGCTGTGGATACGGTCGTCAGATATCTCCACAGGGACTGCTCTACAAGTATATTCCTGTTTGACGTCTCCAAAGTTATCAAGGTGGGTAACCTTAATTTATCTTATAGCATAATTAATTATGTATGTACAAAACTCCGTGGCATCTTTGCTTGAGCGTCATCAGGCGCCGTTGGTTGTAATGTTCAAAAGTCCTTCCCAGTGGTCCCTCCCACCGTCCCAAAGTTCTCTTTGTTACCCTTGACGGGCGGTACCTGTGCACAGAGTCGGTTTTACCATTCTGTCGACCGTATACAGGGAGGATCTCTCGGTAAAGGCACCATGGTCAAGGATCTATCCGACGTGGATCTGGTGGCGTTCATCAATCCGCCTCACATGACCTCATTGGGGTCAACCGATCCACAGGTCTACCGGAACAACCTCAAGGCTGTACTTGAGCAGCTGGAAGCGGCGCTGCGCCGTCACCCCTGGGTGAGATTCAACAGGAGCGACGCGTACCTGGTCAACTTTGCCGTGGAGGTTCGCTCGGCTGCGTCGGACCCCAGATGGGTAGATGTCGATCTACTGCCCACGGCCGATAACATTTCAGGATCTACCATGGGTAAATGATTTTAATCATTCCCTCCTCCGCTCCTAAAGCCACATGATTATCGATTGATTATCGATTATCCCTCCTCCGCTCCTAAAGCCACATGATTATCGATTGAATTTATCAGATGAGTTAACTAATGAAAGCTTTTTGAAACAGTATAGTTCAAAAGAGATCCGAGGTTTTGTATGGAAAGGTTCAATTTGATTCGAGAAAGTTGTTTAACCCGTGCTCTTTAACAAATTCGAATTTTGTTCTCTCTTAATAAAATGTTCAACTTTTCTGGCGCCTTCAACCCTCCAAAATATATTTTTATTTGGGGCACAAAAATATCGGTCTGTCCATTATCAATACTGATTGTGGGGCGGAAGCCAGCCTACTTTAAGCCATATATACATCTGAGACAGAAGCTTATGACCCAGGCCTATATCAACATCTTTTGGAAAGTTAAAGTGTCTTCCTTACAGGTTCGTTGTTCAGAAAGATGCTGCAAATGCGCGGCTACGACCGCGGGTTCTACTCGGCCTCCTTGGTAAAATTCCAGCGTGAATTCGTGAAGAACCTGCCGGCGTACGTCAAGGATCTGATCCGCCTGGTCAAGTACTGGGCCTACACCTGCCTGCCCCCGGCCCTTCGTAAGTCCTACCCGCTGGAGCTGATCACCATTCATCGCTGGGAGGAAGCCGGGCGCCCCTCCCGTTTCAAGAAGGCCCAGGGTTTGAGAGATGTCCTTCAGACCTTGACTGATCTCAACCAGCTGAAAATCTACTGGATGGAGCATTACGACAGGGTGCTGGCAGAGCTGTCGATTGAGAAACTTGGCTTAACAAAGTGAGTAAACTTACACACTGTCTTACTTTATAATACCCCTTGTAGCTAGAGAGCGCCCGTACTGAGGACGGGCTTTGTAAATTCAGTATAGACCCAATGGTGAAATTACAATGTTTCTGCTCATGCCAATCGCACAGGAACAAAGGCACGTCTTCAGTGAGGGCGTCCTTTGCAACAGACCAGTAAATAGACTACCGTAGACCTTAGTCCATTCGTATATCATGTGATTTAAACACTATTTCACAAGCTGCGTTGACGCGATTCTACCGCGATAGGTCAATTACGCGCACTTAATTCCAAAAATACTCATAACTCTCCAAGGTGTTTGAGACACACATCAAACTAAAGCATATTTCGTCATCTTTCATTTTCCGTGCAATTTTTTTTTCGGGGGGGGGGGGGGTTACAATGGCTTTTGGGAGGAAATTCCATCCAAAGATGATCACCCTTAAAACAGGCATGAAGGCCATTGCCAATTTGAAAACGGACGCCTACGCTCCTTGGCAAAATAGCGCCATTTTAGGACCTAAATTCATCCACATTTCACACTAATACGAGCTCGCAGTCCTCTGCACGGCTTCCCCCTTCTTTTTGACAAATCTTCAAGTTCACGGCCCTCAATAATCTCTAATACCGGATAGTTTGTGGGCATGCAAATCGTGATTTGGCTGGCGAAGGCAATTTCGGGCCTATTTACTTGCCTGCACCCTTTAAAGAAGCAACATTTTGCAATTTCCCCCAAACCTCTTATTATTGTACGAAGGATCCGTAACTCATATTTTTTCCCCAAAAGGGAGAACAAATTATTTACTGGTCTGCATCCTTTAGACTAACAACTTTCGGTTGGCAATGGGTGCTCGATTTGAAATCTAAGAAAACGTCTTGCAAAGGGAAACGTGGGGAAATCCACAGCTCAAAAGCAATAATGCGTTGTGTGGGTACATAATGCCTGCGTTTGGAAATATAATTGTATGGCTTGGAAAGCGCATTCACAACCATCAATCTCATCCAACATTAACGACCGAGGCAGGTTATGCAAGAGGAGAACTCTACAGAAGCAGTAATTTTACATACAGAGAGCTCTAGAGAGGGGTACTAAATCAAAGAATAATAGTAAGTGATGGATTCCGGTTTGGAAGAAGTGATTCCTCTAGAAATGAAGAATATAACAATGTTACAATTTTGTCCCTTTAAACAAGTAATTTGGTTGCACGCCACATCAATCGCAGTGGACTGGCATTGTACCAGAGAATGATTATATTCCCACAGAAGGGGTCTTTTTTCTCTTTGATCTTTAAGCTTCCAATGATTGTTGTTTCCTTTCATTTTTTCCAGCCCCATCGTTTTAGATCCGGCCAATCCGACCAACAACGTCTGCAGTGTTTACCATTCGTTCGACAACCGAGAGAAACTGCAGGATGCTGCCGGAAAGACCCTTCAGTCTGCGCTGCTTCGTGATGTCAAGATCACTACCTACTGGGGTGGTTCGTATGAGGGAGGAATCCGCATCGACGACGACACGTTTTCCTCCACGTTTATACTATAACAATTATTGTAGCGTACGCCATTAAGGAGGTCCGCTCAAATGATTAGAATTAAGGACACCAAGGGCAATCAAGACAAATAGACAGAATCAAAACACTATGAGTCAAATTAGGCTTGGTCTCGTGAATTTGTTCACAAAAATCGATTACAATAGTTTAAACACCCGATCTCAATTTTAACTCACAAAACAAGCAATGACAAGTGTAATACAAAAAGCATAAAAGATTCAATTTCCAGCTCTATAAATTGTAAAAAAGCTGACAATGATCAATTATAATCACAAAGTTTGTATTTCTGAAGTTGCCTCGTTGGAAGTTGCCCTAAGGTTAAAAGTGAGGTTCCTAAGATTCCCAGGTTCCCCGAACGCCTGGCAAGTGTACGGCTGTGTTGTGAATTAGGCCTCCAAATTGCACCTGACATGAAACAGTCGTATATGTAATAAATCAACATGTGACACACGGTGATCAAAACTTTGAGATTGCGAAGACTAATTCACCCCAAAATCACTCCTTTCGTCAACATGAAATAAACTAACACCTAGCCCAGCGGTAGCAGAGTACCTGCATTATGACAATAGAATGTAAAGAAACTACAAGTTTTTGCTCATTTGAAACTAAAATGTTGGCTTTTAAGCACAAATCATGCACACGACACTCACACTTTGGTGTGCAGGCAGAAAAGGGCTGATATTCGCGCGTTCACACACTGAGTACAGGCGTTTATATACATTTTTCTGGGCTGTGTGCCAATTGTACGGTGCCTCGTAAAAGACGTCTCACTACACAATTAATGATATTGCCATTTTACCATTTAGATTGAATTTCTGTATTCGTAAGGCAAAGCAGTTAATTTTTTTTTAATGTTGGTGTGTTAGAGAGAACTCATTCACGACGCAACTTTTTTCCACATAAATAATCTCGGCGTGTTTAAAATCAGGGTATTGCCATTTGCCATTTGTCGACTTGATTTTCTGAATTCGTAGACAGCTGTTTATTAAATTTGAATAAAAGTGATCATTGGTTGGTGTGAGAGCTCCTCGTTGATGACGCAACGTTCTTTCACATAACCATTTCAGCATTTCAAATCAGGGCATTACCATTTTACAATTTGGATTGATCGGAAGTTGCCTAACTTTATTTTCTATAAACTGTGTATTCCGACTGAATACTATGCCGTATATGTATATTGTATTCATTAAAAAGCCATTTATTAGAGCATAATCAAAAACAAATGTGAATGATCGCAAACAGCGTTAATTTCTTGGTTGATATTTTGTGCAAATAGTGTATGAAATGATTTGGACGCAAAATACTTCTCTGTGAGTCCGCATGAACAGCATAATAATGTTAACTAAGTATTAAAATAACTGGTATCAGCAACTGGCCTTAAACAAATGAGAGAATATGATTATGAGGCCAGTTCGGTTATGTTTTTTTTTGCATGTAAAGCGGGGCTTCATAAATGCATAAAACTAACAACGATTTTAAAAGGTACAGCAACAAATTCCATCTTGATCCTCACAGCAGTTTTTCAAAGTTACCGACTGAAAATACAAAAAAAAACTGTCATTCGTTTCAAAAGATAAAACTTGTAGATCGTTAGAATAGTTACACTAGATTTTCATTCAGTTCAGATACTCCCATCAATTATCATCATTAGAAATATTAGTCATTTTCAAATAAAATAAATGAAAACAAATAACTTGTCGTGCTTATAAAGCATTTCAATCTCTAAACGTTTTACACTTATTTCTCCGTTCATCAGGCCACGAGACCACGCGGCAGCCGATATCAGCGCACACTCGGTCCTATAACCTCACAGGTACCCATTCATACTCCTGGGTGGAGAGAGGCAATTGTGGTTAAGTGTCTTGCCCAAGGGCACAAACACCATGTTCATGGCAGGGTTCGAACCCGCGCACCGTCGTATACATGAGTCAAACACCGTAACCACTGGACCATGGCATTCTGCTGATTTTTTTTTAATTGATTTTCAACCGAATAATTTCAACCGAATTCTTTCTTCTTTTTTTATGACCGTGTGCCCTTCGACGTAATGTCGACAAGCAACCGCTGGGCAACCCAAACACTTAAGCAATATCATTTGGCCAACATTAAACAGTATGATATGAACACTTTTAAACCATTCATATTTCAAGAGATATACATGCAGTGAAGAAGAGATCATACAGTGCTGTAAGTGGGCATCACGTGACCACAACATCCAATTTGCAAAGAAAAATCACTTCGTCCATATCCCATTGTATCTTTTCCTTTGTCGTATCTTTTTTTCTAACGTAAATAGGTCCTTCAGCTGTTGGCTAAACAACAGCATGAATCGATTTCTGCCTGACGCATGCACATTATAAACATGTTGCGCGTCTGTTCTTTGGCCTTGGGTATGGAATTGGAGTTGAGGCTCATGATGCTGTTCTCCTCTTTGACATGGCAACTTGTACGTGCATTTCACAGTGACCGCTATCTTCTCAAATATTACAAGATTATAGCGCGCTAATCTTGTAATATTTGAGAAGATTACAATGTGAACAATATTACTTAAGTGTATGAAGCAGGTTTTGACACAAAATAATTCTCTTTTATGAGGAGTCTGCATGAACAATAAAATAATGTTAACTAAGTATTGAAATAACTGGTACCAGCAACCAACCTAAAACCAAATGAGGGAATCTTATATAAACATGGCTAGTTCGGTTATATTTTTTGGCATGTAAAGTGGGGCTTTATTCATGTGCTTTAATGCATGAAACTAACAAAAAAATAACAAGCAACAGAACGAATTTTCATCTTGATCATCAGAGCAGTTTTTCAAAGTCACCGGCTGGAAAAACCAAAATACATCATTCGTTGTGATCGTTATATTCGTTACAATAGATTTCTATTCATTTAAGATATTCCAATAAATTATCATAATTAGACATTTTAATCTTTTCCACTGATTTTCAATCGAATATGAATTATTCGCATAAACTGTATCCAGTATTGAAAACTGGGAATAGTGAAGAATGGCCTTTTTTTCAAAACTGACTGTACTTCTTTTTCTACATGTATTATTCCATGAATCGGTCTTTTTAACCAACCTTTTTAATTTCTATTTAAAAAAAAGATAAACTTTGAAACCTCTATCCCATTATTTCCCTATATCCCTATGTTTTTCCTTGTTCCTTTACAGTATCGTGTTTTTTTGCTAACGTAAATGTGTTATTCAGCAGCTGAATAACAGTGTGAATCGATTTCTACACGACGCATATGCGCGGCCTACATGTAAACATTTTGCGCGTCTGTCCTGTTCATTGTGAGTTTGGTCATGGATTTGGGTCCGGGTTGACATTGCATTGCTAACTGCATACAAGTCCCCGTCATCTGGTTGTTGGGTCGATGATTATGCGCCAGCATTGTTTTATTCGTCCCAACTCACGCTCACGCCCTAGTCTATGGAATAGCAAGAGTCCATGATATGCGAGTGGTGCCAAGCTATAATAAATGCTGGGAGAGCTTTTATACTCGGCATTAACTTTTCGTCACTTTTGCGTTCTATGGGCGTCGCCATCTTGGGTTTTACACGGACGAAACTAGTGACGTCAAATTAGTCATCATTCGATCTGGACTCATGAACCTATTAATGTTTCAATGAAACATGAATTGCTTGAATCAATTAAAACAACCCGAGACACAAATGTGAATTTCAATGAAATATTTTATTGGTTTACATGAAGAAAAAAAATAGAGAAAATCAATTTGTTAGTGATTTGTAAAGTTACTTATACGGGTACCCGATTAGGTAATCTGGAACCGGTTCCTGACTTCGGGTACTCGGGTACCCGGTTCCGATGCACAGCCCTAGTCTTGACCGAGATTTTGACCATTCACCTAGAGTGATGGGCGCATATCTATATCGGGTTTCGGTAACCCATCGTTGTATCACAAAAACATGGCATTAAAATTTGACCAATCAACAGCTTAGGCCACTTTCTGATCGAAATGACATCACAGTTTTAAAGTCGACTCTGATTGGCTGGCGCACAGCTAGCGTTGCAAACAATTTGCGTGTTAGGATATATCAGACGTTCGACCGTACGGTTGCTTCTTTGTCTGATTCTCTATGGCCCGGTCACACAGCAAAATAGAAGTCACACTAATGGGGCCGCGGCGTTAATATTAAACAAATATTGAATGCTTCACATTCGTGCAATGGAAAGAATATCATAACATTATTTTCACCATTTCACTCATAAACCTTCATTGTTTCTATTATGTTTTTGATCACGGTTATGCACATGGTCACCGTTTTGACAAAGTGACGAATCTGTGCACACAGCTGCAAAACTGAGTTTTGAGAAAATCGCGTTTGAAGTTGGTCAAATTTTTCAAATCGCAATTTCGCGTTCACTTCTCCCCCATAATTTAAAAGCATATAACTGATGCGATCGCCCAGGAAAAAAGCCAACAACAACTTTCTATTTTTGTAAAATCATGTTTAACTGGGAGACATTAATAATTACTTCGTCAAAACGGAAATTCTACTTCGTCACAAAAATGTAGCATACGCGTATGTAAAGTGTATACATTGTTAGAACGCAGATATAGAACGTCACTTCGTCAAAACGCAAATTGTGGGGGCTACATCAATGTGTCGTAATTTCATTACTTTATTATGATTAGCGTAGCTATCCATTGCCCCTCTGTATGTACTTTATAATGGGCGTCGCCAGGATTTTTTTCCGGGGGGGGGGGAAAGCACTTTTGCCCCCAACATTTCTGGACTTTTTCAATTATTCTCTATCATTTTCCGATCGTGGGCAAAAGAAACATATGCCCTAACCCTCCCCAATCAAATTGACAGCAATATGGCTTAGCACCTGTTTGCTTTATTGGTTTTAACCCCCCCCCCCCTTTCTCTTCCTTTTCGGGGGGGGGGGGTGCCCCCCCCCCCCCCGCGTCGCTCGTGTGCTTTATGTAAGCAATTTCACAGCTTAAATGAGCATTTGAAACTATGCTAAAGCACTTTTGGCTCTACAATTTAGCGCAGCAAATACCTGATGACTATTGAAAACTCTATTTGTAGTGCACAATGCCATGCCCATGCGGGACTTGGTCAGGTGATCTGACACGCTGGCGAAAGTGAGGATTTCTCATCGGGAATTCCCCCGCAGTTTTTGCCTGGTACCCTGTAATCACTGCCTATATTCCTTTACCGTTGCAATGGCACCAGGGATGATAGCAATCTGTGAATCATGTGCACTTGACATTTTAGTAAGCACTTCCTTTCAACGTTCGCTGAGTGGAATTTTTGGGCAACTGAACACAAAATCTCTCCTGTGCATTAGTCGTGTGTTGCCATCGACTTGTATCAGTATTTGACGAATCAGTGATGGATCCGGATGATGCTAAACGTGTAAGTTAACCTTGCATCACCTATATTTGTTAAGGCTGTATGCATGTATAGTTGCCCATACGCGTGCTGAGTGCTGAGCGAGGTTCCCCAAAGCCTGCCGCGTGTTCCAGCGCTTATCATGGGGGCCGGGGTGTGTGTGTGTGTGGGGGGGGGGGGGGGGGCTGGATGTATGGGAGGGGGGGGGATGAATGTTGCAGTGGGAGGGGGTGCCCAATTTTTGTAGCATCCACGGTGCTGGAACTAAAAGGTAGACAGGTTTTGTTTTTTTAACCGGTCACCCGGCCTCCGTAAAATTGACCTCAATTTGCATGTTAATTGACCCCAAGTGGGCTTGGTAACCATCAAAGTTATATAGGTTTTGTGTTATAGCGAGACGTTTTGGAGTGTTTTCATGGAGATAATTGAAATATAGTATTTGACTGTTCAAAGTCTGAAAGAAACAAAATTGCCCAAAAAAATCATTCACTGTTTCTGATGACTTCCGAGGACAGTGAAATCGGAGCATAAATACACCATTTAAGGACCTGCACATTAACATGCCTGTCCATTTACCGTTGCATGTTGTGCTTGCGCACACTCTTTAGGACTTTTGCAAAAATTTACACACAGACAGCCCGACCGACAGACATCAGACAAACAGACAGCGTAGGACCTTTTAATATAGGTGTGCTATTTTATGGCATGAAAAAGTTATTCACATTTTAATGAGACATTGACCGAAAATTGAACAATTTTCCAATTTCGAATCATTCCAATAGCTGCCAGACAAAACAGCCTTTATGATATTCGCAATGCATCTTGGGTCAGAATGACAAACAAACTGGCCATGTTTTGTAAAAGCCTATGGGGCTGTGGATCAGTTACAATGTTTATCGAAATACATTGTACAAAGTGTGTCTTGTTGAAGCTAATATTAATAATGTTTGACCTTAATCAAGCAGATTTTAGATAGTGCAGACAATGTGACTTGCGTAGAATTTAAGATACGTCCAAACATGTAGGTCATTATATTTAGTCAATACTTCTGATCCAGAAAAAAATGTTTCTTTTCATTCCACAGCTAATACCAGTATAATATTGTGCAAATTTTGGTCTTGACCTCTGATAGTCCAACATGTTGCACGGAAACGAAAAATGGTTCTAAAATTTATTTATTAACTTACTACAAAAAAATACACAGATTCTATTTGAGATACAACTATATCTAAAAGTGAACATAGGGGTATTAACGTATCTGTATGTTATGGGCAAAATGGTTTCAACTAAAGGATTTCTTTTGAAATATCTGGCGTTTTTTAATGATCATTGCTGCAATGTTCCTCGTTTTGTCTGAAACTGAATATTCCGAATAATTATTTCGTCATTTCTGGGAACACACTAGCGGAGAGAAGAAGAGGCGGCCATTATTATGCTTCTCATGCTGCTGGTCGTGCTGCTGGGCCTCTGTGGATTGATGTTCTACTTGCTGAAGTGGCTATTGGGTATACCGGGCAGAATATGGAGCTGGCTCTGGGGCGGATCAACAGAGGGCACTGTAAAAGAATCCGCTGATGAACGCAGGTCGTGGTATCCAGAGGGCGCTTTTAATGAACCAGCTGCTATTAACTTACGCGTTCCGTGGAGTTGGCCACAGGGTGGATCAACAGTGGGCGCTATAAATAAGCCCGCTGCTGAGCGCAAGCCGTGGTGTCTGCATCCGCACCAACTCGAGCTATGGTACAACGAAAATATACAGCGTGGAACCACGGATTTCGACACGGACTGCCGTGAGGCTGTGGATACGGTCGTGAGATATCTCCACAGGGTCTGCTCTACTAATAAAGACTTGTTCGACGTCTCCAAAGTTGTCAAGGTGGGTAAACTTTATTTATCTTACAGTATGTATATTTAGGACCCGTAGCACTTTTGCTTGAGCGTCGGTGCCGTTTAGCCTTTAGTCAAGGCCCACGCGTCTTGATCCGGACACGTGACGCGTCCCAAATGCTGGCACGTAAAAAGACTATCCAGCGAGCTTTGCCGCTCGCTGGATAGTCTTTTTACGTGCCAGCGTCCGGGGCGCGTCACGTGTCCGGATCAAGACGCGTGGGCCTTGACTAAAGGCTAGGTGCCGTTGGTATAAATGTTTCAAGAGCTCCTCCCCTTGGTCCCTCCCAAAGTTCTCTTTGTAACCCTTGAGGGCGTCCTTGTGCACGGAGTATGTTACCATTCTGTCCACCTTAAACATTATTGCAGGGAGGATCACTCGGTAAAGGCACCATGGTGAAAGATCTATCCGACGTGGATCTTGTGGTGTTCATCAATCCGCCTCACATGACATCACTGGGGTCAACCGATCCCCAGCTGTACCGGGACAAGCTCAAGACCGTTCTCAAGGAGCTGGCGGCGGCGCTGCGCCGTCACCCCTTGGTGAGATTCAAAAGGAGCGACGCGTACCTGGTCAACTTTGCCGTGGAGGTTCGCTCGGGTGCGACGGACCTTAGCCTGCGGTCGGTGGATGTCGATCTCCTGCCCACGGCCGATAACATTTCAGGACACAAATATTCCCTGGGTAAATATCCCCTCTTTCCTGTAAAGATCATGTGTTTATCGATTGAATTGATCACATGAATGAACTAGTGACATTTATTCTTAAATAGCTCAAAATGGGATGCCATTCTCATTTTAGACATTCGCTCGGCTTCATGTGAAGAAGCATTATCGTAACCTTTGGGGAAGTTAAATAAAAAGTGTCTTCCTCGCAGGTCTGTTGTTCAAGGAGATGCTGCAAATGCGCAACTACGACAGCGGGTTCTACTCAGCCTCCTTGGTGGAACTCCAGCGTGACTTCGTGAAGAACCAGCCGGGCTACGTCAAGGAGCTGATCCGCCTGGTCAAGTACTGGGCCTACACCTGCCTGCCCCAACACCTCCGTAAGTCCTACCCGCTGGAGCTGATCACCATTCATCGCTGGGGGAATGCCTGGAGCCCTTCCCATTTTCAGAAGGTCCAAGGTTTGAGAGATGTCCTTGAGACCTTGACTGATCTCAACCGGCTGAGAACCTACTGGGTGGAGCATTACGACGGGACACTAGCAAAACGGTCTATTGAGAAACTTGGCCTACAGAAGTGAGTTATCTTAGTAACTTACACATGTACTGTTAATGACCTCTTGTAGAGAACGCCCTCACTAAGAACGGATTTTATTTTTTTTTTATTTCAGTTATTTAAATCCACTGGGCCCATTTATTGAGGGAGAACAGGTCATTGAAAACAAAGTCATATTATATCCTTGAAAACAGATGGGCCTAAGGCTTATACTCGGGTAAGATTATAGCAAAATATGATAAAGTGCTAAATGCCTGCTCTTACAATTCAGAGAACGACAAAGACCTGTTTCAGTAAGGGTATTCTTTCCAAGGGATTTATGACGTACTGGAATCCTGCATGGTATCAGATGCTCGGTTTGAAAATGTGCTGGAACATGCAACTCCTTCCCAATTGATGGTACATTTTTGCCTGAAGTAACCAACAAAAAAAGGTTAATACCAATGCTGGGTAAATAAAATGCCCTACAATGTTTTACATATTTTTTTTTTATTTTTTTTAAAGTACATCACCATTTTCTACTGAATGGTTACATGCAGCTGTACCCATCATACAAGACCCAATCTACTGGTACGTTTAACATTGGGTTGGAGAAAGAGTGTACATCCACAAAGTGCATCATTGATCTTTAATTTTCCAGTGTTTGTTGCTTTCCTCGTGATTTCCAGCCCTATCGTTTTAGATCCGGCCAATCCGACCAACAACGCCTGCTGGGCGTATCAGCGGTCCAGCAACCGAGAACAGATCCAGGGCGCCGCCAGGAAGACCCTTCGGTCCCCGCTGCTTCGCGATGTCGTAGTCACTTCCAACTGGGGTGGTTGTTAGTAGAGAGGACTTCTGAATGACGACGCTAACGTTCTTATAGAATTATTGTTATTGCCAATTTACATTTTGAGATAGATTTTCTGTATTCGTTGTTAAAGCTTTTTTTTTCGTTTTGGTTAATTTTGGTATATTCGTGGGATGGGTAGAGAGAGAGATCATCTCATTCGTGACCCAGATTTTCTTCCACATAATCATTTCAGCATGTTTGAAATCAGGGTGTTTTCATTTTACAATTTTGATTGAAAGCGAGTTGTCAGACTTGATTTTCTGAATTCAAAGCTGTTTTTTTTTGTACTGTTAATAAAAGTGATCGTTTGGGTGGTAAGAGAAAACTCATTCCCGACACAACGTTCTTCCACGTAACAATTTTTCAGCGTATTTGAAATCTAGCATTGCCATTTTACAATTTGGATTGTTCATAAGTTGTCAGACTTTATGTTCTTTCAACTTTGTATTCCAACTTTGCGCTAAACACAGTGTATTAGTGACAGAAGCCGTTTATTAATATATTTTTCAAAGATATTCAAAGTAAATATTTAGGCCTATATATTCCATAAAAAAGGGTTTCTTTTGTGAAAGGAACACTGATTTACACATTTTAATTGACTTTAAATTAGCAATTCCCTGTTTTTTATATTCCATTAATGCGTTCAAAAAAAAAAATACAATGTATTTAATAGATGTAATCTTCGAAATTTGAAATGAAAGTTAGATAACAGTTGTATACATTTATTATATACCTCAGGCATTTCGCTGTTTTCCTTTTTCTTGGGCATCAATTGTGGGACATCAAAAGAGGCGTTGTGCCCTTTCAATGCGTTTATCCCGAGCAGAAAGAATAAAGATTTCATTTAAACATATGAATAATGCCTCTTGTATTGCGGTATTCTCTGCATTATCTGTTAGCCTTTTTGGGGGGGGGGTCTCCAATATAATCTTTTCATTGATTCCACGTTATACTTTCGAACGACGAATGATTTTGATGGCGACTAGTCAAGTCCACTGCAACCATGATCGGTCAAATGGCAATACAATGTTCCCAACACCATATAATTTCAAGCACAATGAAACGACAGACAGAAACTCGGATATTTCGCGTCATGATGCTCATGCGCTTAAAACAATTAATGGTCTTGATTTAAAAGCTAAAACTCAGTACGATAATAATACAAAACAAATATTTAGAAGTAACGATACTTAAACATACAGGGTTTTATTAATGAAGTATAATAGATATGACTAAACTAAGAGCTGTGAGAGTTGCCGCTATCCGTGGGGAGAAGACTGCGTCGCTTCCACCTGCAACGAAAGAAGGACAAGACACAAATTAATCCTAATTTTTTTTTTCAAGATTAAGAATTTGTGTAAACCTTCTCGATCGTGTGTTGCGCAATGACACCAGGGGTGGTCCTGCATCCCTTCATCAGAAGTTTTGGGCCGCAGCGCGCGCCTAATTCCGCCACCGTTTCCAGCACTGTACCAACATTGGAGGATGCCAAGTCGACTGGCAGATTCTGAAAGTGAATACTTCTTTCGTATGGCATTTTAATCTAACCCTCTTGCAAAAGGCTTATCAAACTCGCTCCAAAAAAGTAATGCCTTGTTTACATGATCTGAAATCTTGGTTAATTCCATTGGTAAACAAAAGAGTTATTAATTTTTAGGATCAAAACTAGGACGTATTTTTTGACACGTAGTACATCAAGTTTTCAATTGGCTAAGTAAACAAGTCCCCCTACAGCAGCGTATACCACTCTCCTCACGCCTCCAGTTGTACCCCCGTGATGATGTTTGTTGAAGGTACTGCAACGAAATTATTCTTACCATTGCACTCAGAAAAATTCATCATTGGTATCATTCTATGTGTTCAATGCGGATCATGATGAATAAGCCGAGTATATCCCCTGGGCAGTGCATACCACTCTCAGGCCTCTGCAGCACCTTGTGTATAGGCCTAGATCAGGACATTCAGCGGTTTGTTGAAGGTCCTGACCTACAAGGTACTTCAACTGAAATTATTCTTACCATTGCACTCATAACCATTCATCAGTTACATCATTCTACGTGCTCCATGCGGATTATGATGATAAAGCCGAGTATGCTCTATATATCTCCTGGGCAGTGCATACGGCTCTTCTCAGGCCTCTGCAGTACCTTATGTAGATCAGGACTTTCAACGTTTTGTTGAAGGTCCTGACCTACAAGGTACTTCAACTGAAATTATTCTTACCATTGCACTCATAAACATTCATCATTTGTATTATTCTGTGAAAACCATTGTTCGGTGTGGATGATGATGAATATCGGGTAAGGTTGTCCCCCTTAGCAGTGCATACCACCTTTCTCAGGCCTCCGGCAGTACCTTTTGTAGATCAGGACCTTAAACGGTTTTGAAGTTCCTGACCTACCAGGTACTGCAAGGAAATTATTCTTACCATTGCACTCATAAACATTCATCATTTGTATTATTCTGTGAAAAATCTTTGTTCGGAGTAGATGATGATGAAATAAGTAGGGTAAGGTTGCCCCCTCCCCCTTGGCAGTGCATACCACTATTCTCAGGCTTCTATTCTTACCATTGCACTCATAAACATTCATCATTTGTGTCATACTGTGAAAAAAATCTGAGTAAGTTTCGGATGATGAACCCTCTTGCATCATCAATTTCATAGTCTTACCGTTGGGGTCGTTGTTGGGGAACTCCGCCACTTCGTAAATAGACAGGGTCCCACTCTTCGTGCTGGTCACCAGGAGAAGCGGCTTACCGCTCGGGTTGTCTGACGCCGGGATGAAGCTACAAAGAAAATGAAAACAACATCTTAAAGATGTACTGCTCTTCAACCACTGAGATTTCTTCTGCTGACGGATTTCGACTTTTGTTTTTCCTCTTGCATAAATAGAGATCCGTCCTCCGATAGTACACTTTCGTCCTCCAGTCCACTGAGGTCGGTCGGTATGAATAGAGCGCTGCCCTTCACAATGTAAAATAGGTTGTCTGAAACCCTCTGAAAAAGGTAGGTACGAGGCACAAATAGATCCGCTTTGCGAGTAAACTGGCTGGCAGCCAGTACTACGAAACTTGCAAATAGTAATTCAATAAAAACACGAGATTTTTGGATTTTTGGGGGGGATCGATGTCTCAGTCAAAAGTGAATAACTGAAGTATTGCTTGAAAAAAAGTGCAATTTAGAAAAGGAATTTACATTTCGAGCGGAAGGTAAAAAAAAAACACACACTCGGAATGCAACTTTCAACCAGAGACATTGGCAAGTAGTATTTAGTTCACAGGTGGAAGTCAAGTCACGAATCAAACGCCAGTCAACCCATACACCTAGATCGAACTCGCTTGATATACATCCCTTACCGTAAATCCTCGGGTGCTAGGTCGCCCAGATTCCGTTCGTTCAAGAGCTCAGTGAAGGTCTTGCTGGTGCCGCCCGCTCGGTACATCGACTCGAAGGTCGGTATGATCGAATCGCCTGGGAAACTGTAGACCATGACGGAGCTGGTTCGCTCCTGGCCCACGAAGAGCAACCGCTTGCCGTTGATTTCACCCGTCTCCAAAACCTCACATTCCACTCCCTTGAAAACAAAAAGTCGGTTAATATTTCGTTTGATTGTTATACGAACAAGTCTGTTCCGAGCCTATATGGCCCACGTTTCTAGTTTCCACGGGATGAAAATAATGACTGAGAATATTTCTAATGAATGTCATTCCATTGCAGGTTTACTCACAAACTAATGCCGCTACCCACTTATACTCTCCTGAGTGGAGAGAGGCAAGCGGGGAAAAGCGGCTTAGTTTTCCAAGGCTTTCCCACAAGCCTTTACCTCTCCTACCGCTTACATCTCTCGTAGAGTTTGGATTGTTATAAACTTGGAGGCGAAAGAAAGCTTTGCATAAAGTCTACGTAGTCCCTTTAAAAATTGAACTGAAATCCGGGTTCTATTAGGCACGACACTTCTCAGGGTCAAAATTGACATTTCTCTTGGTCAGAATGACACTTGCATCAACTTTTACCGAAGTGAGTCATGAAAGTCTCATTTTGACCCGGAAATGTGTCAATTTTGGACCCTGAAAAGTGTGAGGTCAAATGGAAACCAGATTTCCGAGTCAACCTGACTATAACACTTATCGAGGTAAGAAACGCAGAGAGCAACTCAAACAAGACCCAAACCGCGACGCAGACATATGGAGGCATTTCATCTGCAGTGTCACCGAAAATACAGACGCAAACTATCTAGCAGACGATCAGCAAAGTTGAACCCGGTTCTACTTTGCCGACGGTTCGTCGGCGCTCTGTCTGCGCGGTCTGCGAAAGCTTAACGGCGATACTGAAAGTAGACGTTACCTCCCCCCTACGGGGTACCCTGTTCAAATAAAATGAGGATCCATGATGATCTTACCTTGTTATCCGAGCGACGGTCGAACCTATCCTCGGGCGTGTCGACATCCGGGTCATCGGAGTCGCAATCGGCGTTAAACACTTCTGGGTAGTAGAGGTCGTGTTTCCGTTCCAGATCGTCGCCGCTGTCGTAGACGAGCGACATATCGGCGGAGCTGAAGATCGAGAAACTGCGACCGCCGAAGGCGTACAGCCGATCGAACTGACTTGGGTCCTGGGCGTTGCGCCCGTCCACCGTGCTGAACTGCAGGCGACCTGGGGGGGGGGAGGAGGAGTTTCGTGACGGTTATAGACGGCCATTTGTCTGCCACACGTGGTAGCAATACACCTTATTCACGCGGAAGCCATTTTGGATCGTGATTCCAGAATGTGTTTCATAAATTGTAAACTATTGAATTGGATGGTACCAGACTATTTATGCTTTCCAAGCCCCATAAAACATTAGGGTATGTTTCATCGCAAATAATTTGTAATTAACTTTATGTCATTGCTTTCATTTCTATTTGCAAGTTCCCCAAATGAGGAGTTTAACCACGCTTCCAATATGGCCGCCTTCTAAATAAAGCCCATGGGCCTTTTGCTAGATTACACTGCATAACTTTGCATTGATGCTGTTTTTTTGTACGAAGACAATCGCAGTCTACAATTCATGAAGAGGATCACATTACACTGATAGGAACGCCAAGTCACTAGTTTACACACACAAAAATATCAGTGAAGGGTTTTATTTGAAACATGCATGCTACACTCTACAGAGTGAATTTTCCTAAGACACACCAGCTTACTTAAACATCTGTCAAGAGTGACAAAAACAACTTCGGATTTAAGGCTTACCAAGAGCGGCATCATCACTCAACGCCTGCCGAAGAGTTGCGGATACAGTGTTGGACAAAAGATTTCCTACCGTCAAAATGATAAAATCAATCTTATTGTTATACAGACAGTGATTAAAATCTTTTATACAACACCTGAATAAATCCCCGTCATCTGATTGGTGAATTGTAGATCACGTGACATATTATTATTCGGTATAAAGCACGGTGCGACCATGCGTTATACCCATGCGTTATACCGTTTCACTTTGCGCTTGTTCCATGACGCGGTATTTGCGTGCAAAATGCATGCTGGTGTGCGCGTTCAGCGTAGCGCGTATTGTTCCAAAGAGCCAGCGCTACAGCGTTGGGTTCAAACATTTTCGTGAAGGGGTAGTTCAACATCTTTAAAATCAAAATAAATTGTAGTTTATGATTTACCAATCAAATGACGAGAATTTATTCAGGTGTTGTATAAAACAAATAACGAATGTTTTACGTTCGTGCGATGGAAAGAATAATTTCATTCGGTGACAGATTGAATGTTCTATTCCACTCGGCTTCGCCTCGTGGAATAGAACATTCAATCTGTCACCTCATGAAATTATTCTTACCATCGCACTCACAAACATTCGTTATTTGTATACTCACGTTAAATGAAAAATCTGGGGAAAAGTATGTCAGGAGTAAGGAGTCTCACTCGTCCCCATCTCCCTATATGCTAGGGCGTTGCATGGGTGACCCCTAATTTGTCTGAACATTCATTGGATAGATTTGTATGGCCGGTGACCTGGGGTCAACACTTTCGTGCGCACCACCCATGCGCACGAAATGCACGTGTTTATGCAAGCCTACCAATAATGCTTTTCGTTTTCTTATAACACAGGATGCGCCTGAATGCCAAGAAGTGCATGTCAATGGACATCTGCTTCTCAAAAATCTTCCGCCACTAACTGTCATCAAGCTGAATGATTTTGTTCTCGAGCAACAGAAGTGTTTTTGTTCAGGCTGATCTAAAGTGGGATACGCACGTGGCCAAGATGATTAGCAAAGCCAATAGTCGTCAAGTACATCTTACGACGCCTGAAATCATTTTTGCAGTGTTGCATTTAAGTATAGGCATGCCAATTTAAGCTACGGCTTTTTCAAATCAGGCATCCTGATGCAATCTCTTTCTGTTCTCATGATGCTTTTACTTTGCTCTTGATGAAAAAAGAGGATTGGCGCAGTCACTTACCATCTACGAACTTTTTCCCCCGTTGCACGTCTTCCCAGGTGTTTCCTCCCACCTCGTAGTCAAGGCTATCCCCTTCGTTGGCGGTGATGATATAGCCCTCGCCGTTCAGCTCCACGTACTTAATGGCGTCGGGCTGGTACAAGCTGTAGATGTCGTATGACGCAAAGTTGATGCCTTCGAGAAAAAGAGGGAAAGTCTATCATTATGTGCGTTGACTTTATGATCTTGTCATTGGTTTATTTTGAATAATTATCCACTTAAACCTGAACTTTGCTATATTTAGAGACACTCTCAATACAACATTATCGAAATATTAATGGCATTTTTCTTTTCGTTCTGGATATTCACTGCAAAACTAGTATTTATTGAACACCATTTGTTATCTATATAGGACAACACCAGTAAAATTTGGTCCTATAGAGAAACCAAAGTTGTTAAATTTAACACCGCTGTTTTTGCAGTGTTGCAAACAGGGAACACGCCCGTCGATCGTTTCAGCGTAATGTAAAGACTTAAAATCGCTGTAGATTTTCAAGTTAATAATCCCGAGTAGATATTGGACATTTTCACTCATTTTCAATAGCATGTTTGAGAGCGTAGCCCCATAAAGTGAAATTCAATCATGTCCAAAAGGGTACGATGAAGTGGATTTGTCTTTGAACAATATTTTTTGCAACTTTCTACTCCTCTTAAATGAATGAAAAATACTCGAAATCCCTTTTAGGTTAATTTTATTTAAAATTGCACTGATGTAAACAATTAAAAAACATTTAACATTTAAAATTTGTCCATGCTTTGCCGGATAACTGAGGGCGCTGTTGATGTGATGTCATTTAAGGAAGACACTGTTCACGTTAGGGGGTTTCTGTTCCTATTGTGAACCCAAATCTTTGTTCATTGAAAATATTTGTGAGAAAAGTTTGCTCACTGGCTTCCTGCAACGAATCACCTAAGAAAGGAAAATTTACAACAGCGACGTAACAGCCACAATTCTGCAAACTTTTGGTGCTGAAATGTCTGTAACAGTTTCTCCCTGAAATGACATCACAATAATATGGAAATATGCAATAGCATAAAAACCATAGAGGCGGCAAAATACCCATGAAAATGGCAAATAAAACTGTAGAAAATAGGGTTAAATGTGACCAAAAAAGGAGCATGTTCAAGGTTTGCATTATAAAAACATTACATCCGTCATCATCAACCTACTCGACAGCTTCGCTCCACAGACACTGGTCTCCTACAAGTTCCACGCACCCAACGGTCATGGGGAAATCGTTCTTTCTCTGTGTCAGGGCCATCTTCCTGGAACTCACTCACTCTTAGTTTCCGGCAGCAGATGACGTATTCCCAATTTAAGACTCAACTGAAAACTTACCTGTTTGCTACTGCACGAATGAATATTGAGTAATTATGCGCCACTATTATATGTATGATATTGTCAACACCTCTCATAATTTGCGCCAGGAGTGTCATATTGACAGATATGGCGCGGTATAAATGTTCACTATTATTATTATTATTACATTGTATAGGCCCTTTAAGCTACCAATAATTAACTCGAACAGTTATGTTTACCTCCATCTTTGTCACTGGCGTCTAGGGATAGACTCTGCCAAGACTTGTCTCCGAGTGCATAAATATCGACAATGGTATTGGTAGTCAGATCGATCACAGCGATTGCATTGTTTTCCTGAAATAAGAATAAGAATAGTAGGATGAACAAACTGATAGAGGAAAACGATGAGGCGTAATTATGAAATATTGCGAAGACAAAGTCACCAAAATATCTTGCTTGCACGATGAATTCAATTCGTAAGCTATAGAGCTAGTTCCTTGCTCTATGGATGACTATATATCCCGCCCCACAAATTATAAGTAAACAGCAACCAATTCCAGCTTAAGCTGTGGACTCCATCTACGTTGTAACAAATAAGCATACTTTGGGGTTTGCGGTGGAGGTTGGGATTTTGGACTCATGGTCAGAGGGTCAGGGGTTCGAATCCAGTTTGGGGGGTTTGCTGTGTCTTTATAGAAGTCCATTTTACACCCACATGCTTCTCTCCGCCAAGGGGCACAAATGGGTACCGTCATTAAAAATGGAATTAATATGCAATGGACTGGCATCCCAAATGCTTTCATACTTAAAACGGAAAATAAACAGCAGTCTGACGAGCCTAACCACAATTAGATAGGGTTCAAATCCCGCTGTAGGCTACTGGCCATATTTTGCGTCCTTTGACAAGCAACTCGCACCCACTAATGGAAGTAAATTGTGATAGATAGCATATCCCATCTAAGGGACTAGAAATGTCCCTGGTCGTTTCTTGCCGAGCAAACGGGAGTTCAACATCGGCCTGGTGAGCCAAATCGTTTCGAGACGTAACTCTTAAATCTTTACTGTTTATTACCTGGAGGCATATGTACGCCTTGGTCTCGTCCTTGCTGAATGTGATATACTCTGGCTCCATGGACTGGGAGAAGTTGGTGGGGCTCTGGCTCAGTTCTCCCCGGTAAGGCCACCTGACGCCTCGCTCGACATACTCGGAGGCTCTACGGTACGTGGACAAAAAATAGTCACCAAACATCAATAGTCACCAAACATCTAGACCAAGTCCGAGTCCGAGTCACCTCCCCCGAGTCCGAATCCGGATGCTATTTAAAGAATCGTCGTCACAATTATTGTCTTCAAACATCACCAGCGATAAAACCTCAGTTTAATGTTAAAAATATTCAACAAAGTCCTTTTGAAGGCCCGTCTTTTAAAAGAAGTGGATTTTTATAAATCATATTGTTTGCCTATAAACCAGGGTTGTTAAAGATTTTGTGTACTTCGATGTTGACAGTTGTTGAAACAAGTGTTTGTGTCATTTTCTTTGTTGTTCTAAACAGTCAGAATGCACATTAAACTGTTATTTTTGGACGAAACAAGTTTTAGGGTCATTGCGTTTAAACAGTGATATTCTTTAAACGGATTGAGCAATTTCAGTAATTGTTTGATCTAAAAGTAGCTTATAAAATTGGCTTTCCAGTCATTATTATGTTTGTTGCTACTTATTTTCCTAAATATAAATTATTGGGGGGTTGGGTTCTGCCTTTTTAGACACACTCTGTAAAATAAATATATTTACAAAATATACCCCTTGCAAAGAGCGCCCATACTGAAGACATGCTTTATTTCAGTTCAGCGACGAGGAGGAACAAAGATGTACCAGGTGCAAGAGGGCGCGCTGTGCATTATATTAACGGCGAGAAACACGCACCTTGTGTTAAATGAGGTGAAATCCAGGTCGGTTCTATTGACGATCCCGCCGGCATCATCCAGACGAAGGATGGTGACAGACCCCTCGTGGTCCACGATGTAGCCCGATTCCACGGTCGACACTCCCTCGTTGGCCACGAGCAGGGTTCGGCAATTCTCGGTAAACTTCAGCATGTCCGGCTTGCTGCCAACTGAAACCAAATAGGACATTTCACGTCTGTTTTTATCAAAAGAGAAGAGAGCTTGCACATTTACTGATATGAACCGATTCAATTCAGTGAAAATGAAACAAAAGTCGGCACAATTCGGGGTCAAAGGCCTGTCCCCGGTGAGGATTGCTTTGTGCAATTTCATCTATTATGAAACATTACTTTCATCTTTCTTGGAAGACTCTTCAAAACAGATGGATTATATTGTGATTATCTGAAATTGTAAAAGAGCTTCAATTCTGATAATTATTTCAGTACTCCAGGGAAAAAAAATCGTCAGCAGATTTCATTCGCGCTATCAAATAAATAGTCTATGGAATAGCCAATTGCAAGCAAGCGGAAAATGATATCCGTGCAGATTCGGCGAATAGAATAATTATGCAAAACAACCCCTCCAGATTCTGACCATTCAGCGGGCGCCTTCTATCGGGTCTTCCGTGACCGGTTGTTGTAAAGGTTGTCCCACAAAAAAAAACTAACGGTTGAAAACCAATTAATGAAGGTATATTGCATGTGAGTTTTGGAATATTTTCAAATTATCTCTTAAAGTCAGATAACCAATTTATACAAACTTAATTTCATTCAAATCGCGGCATAGAAACAAAATTCAACAAACGCTATGCTTCATCGAACTCAAGGGTTGAAAATGAGAAAGCGCAGTTAGAGAAAAACAACGAATTTTCTTTGTTCTAGAGTAACGTGTGACTTTAATCAAATTAATAATAATTATTCCATCGGCTTCGATCTGTAAACTTGATAAGTCAAAAAGTGGCCCAAGTGGTTTCTTCAAGTCCCGTGATTGTTGTAACAAAAATCCTAATGAAACCAACTAATAGCCTAAAGTATTTGGAAGACCAATTATTCTCAGCAATACATTAGACACGATTTTGAATTTTACCCCCATTTTTCTGAAAACACGCCCGATTCGACTGTTCGGTTTTTTGATAGGACAACCTGTACTAACAAAAACATGGCAGCAAATTTACCGATCAAAAGCTTAGTTCGTCTTTCTGCATGAAATGACGTCATAAGTTCTGAAGTCGACTCCGATTCGTTGGCGCCCGAGGTCGCAAAAAATACATAATATCAGACGTTATTGGGGAGCTTGTTCAAACTAGGCTATCAAATAGGGCTCTAGCTTGTAAATCTCTTGCAAAACATCTTATTCGCACAGACAACCGAATCATTATGCATGCATTTCAGTATCAGCACTTTTCCTCAGCAACATGGTACAGTGACATCGGGTCATGACTGACACAAAATTGAAGTGCGCCCTCACCATTATTGGACTTAAATACAATCATTTCTGCTCACCCTGAATACTTCTAACGAGAGAAACCTGGCCGCTTTGGCTGTCGTAGAGACTGTACATATTCAAAGTCCCAGGGGTACCGCCCAGTGCCACGCCGATCAGGCCACCGCACAGTTCGATGTCGTTGCCACTGGACGGTAGCTGCAGGTAGTGGACGATGGTCGGCCGTGTGATGTCTGAGATGTCGATGACGTGCATGAAATTGTCCCCTGAACCACAGAACAAAAGAAATGAATTATGATTAGAGAGGTTTTATTTTGCAGTGAAAATGACGGCAGACAGACATGCATGGAAATGACCACGGAGGAAGGAGGGGGCAAGTGCCACCCTCAAACACACCGCCTTGTCCCCCTCCTTTTTGGGGCTTACAATTTCAATAGAAAAACAGTAATATGAAGAGTGTGTTCCTAAAGTGACATCACAGCAACGGCGCCCTCAGTTGTCAGGAAAAATATGCAAAGCAAAGTATTTGCGCAATTGTTAACCGAAAATGAATCTCTCATAACTGTTATACATTCAGAGGAATGGACGTACTCCTGTATAAAGTTCATTACATGGACACTTTAAAAGGAAATGCATACAGAAAAAATGGTGCCGAGCATCCTGTTTAGTTGTCTGGTGTCGGCATTGCTTACATATAAGATTGAAGGAAACCATGCTTTTGGTTAAAAAAAAACTTCCCTGTTTAGAGAACAGTGTGCTAAATACATACACCATCCGGTATGTTATTAGTTTGATGCAAATCAGGGAATAATGCCGAACAAACAAGGAACTGTACTTGATACAGTTGAACATCCTGTAAAAAGAGACCATATCCGAAATAGGTTTGATCAATTTCAAGAACCCCGGTAATTTGTGGTAAAAGTTCACGACCTGAAAGAAGCGTAGGGTATGGCACAATATATAGTTTGAACATTTCGGTTGCATTGTTGATATACAGGGTGAGTAAAAAAACAAACGAAACCCAAATGTTGGGACTATTGTTTTAGTTAAGTTCTGCATGTAGCACTTTCAAAATCTGGGATATAGAAGCCTAATTCATAAATTTAGTTTTAGTACAAGAATCATTGAAATTATTGACGTACTTTTCAAATTACGGAATTCTAAACACAACCACCGTTTTAAAGTTCTGTCTACAGATCACAAAAAAAGGTGTGCGTTCTTTCAGCAAAACGAAAACAATTCACACACATCCCTTCTGTAACTTGAAAATTGCATGAGTGATTTGAATGATGCTTGTACTAAAAGAAAGCTTATGAATCAAGCTTTTATATCATATAGATTTTGAAAGTGCTACATGCAAAACTTCACTATAAAAATAATGGTCCCAACATTTGGGTTTCGTTTCTTTTTTGACTCACCCTGTAGTGACACAATATTTCACAACATCTACCAGCTTTTACTTTTAAAATATTTCAAAAGCATCAGGTGGCACATCGCATGTAACATTACATGAAAGATGATAGTTTCATTTTACAAATGTAATGCTAAAAAACTAGACTCGTTCGAGGACCGTACTATAATGTTTATCGTAACAAAATGATGGCCAGTCAGTGAGAGAGGAGTTGCTTCATATAAACTGTACCTCAAGAAATCCATAATTATCAACGCAACAGCTGTTTTTAAAGGTTTTTATTTTATTAGAAACCCGACCTTGATCCGTATTTATTATGGTGAAATTTATTGCCATGATGGTGAAGCCGATCGAACTGTGATTTAAATTTTTCCCGGGTCTACAGGATATACAACTAAAAGGAAATATATACATGTGTACAACATTTGCTTTTGCTGTAATCTTCAGAAATGGATGGATTTGGGGTTAGTAGTTTATAGCAAATATTGTTACACTGACTTGTTTGAAGTTTGTGTTCGTAGATGCTGGAGAAACCAAGAAAAACATCATGTTCTTATAGTCTAGCTCCCTGACCCCACTTAAGATGAAACGGAGCAATTTATAGACGTCGGAGAATTGTAAAGTCAGGGAACCAGTTTAGACGGTATTTTAATGTGTGTGTAATCGCGATTGCAAACAAAATGCGGACTAATTATGGTAAATTGAGGGCAGTATTTGACAAAAGCCAGTTTTTTTTCCAACGCTGGTCGGCCGACCAATGGCTGGAAATTGATACAACAATACCACTTTCCAGCACATTTTACGGAATGCTTTAGATTTTCATTCACTTACAGTCCAGTAAGGTATTTTATAATAATTTGGCATTTTTTTAATGTTTGCAATTATATTCCTTTGTACATTTTGAAGCACGTGCTAAACCCCCTCATAGCAACAGGCACTCAGGACATAGCAACACTGAGGCACTGGACATTCTGACAAATAAAGACTGGAAGAATCAATACTCACGCATTGAACTGCAGTAGCACAGGTAAACAAGCGCACAATAACAGTTTATTGATAAGCGCAACAATGCAACGGTATACCGTTAGGCCCCCTATTGAAAGTTATTGATCAAAACTTGGTTAGAAGGCACGGTCACTTGTTCACCACGGGCCCGCTCTATACGTATAGAGAAAGGACGGACACATCATCTCTAACAGTGGGGCGCAGATAGGGGGAAAGTTGGGGCGGGGGAGGGGTGTATAGTTTGATGAAACAAGAATGGCATTTGGCACACAGTCAGAGAATGTCTTAGAGTAGACAGATATTTGGCTAGTGGGCCAATCCAGATTTGTCAGAGTATGTCTTAAGAAAGATACTTAGCTAAAGGGCCATTCCAGATTTATCCTTTAAAAAACTTTGAAAAAAAAATACATGTATAGGTAGAACCATAGAGCATGGTATAAAACAATACCAAGCAATTTTTTTCAATATTTTCAAAATGGCTGCCATTGCATGTTATTCTAGCTATATTTTGTTTGTCCTAGCTAAGGACAAATCTGCGATGGCCCTATAGCCAAATATATTTCTCATGGCATACTCTGACTGTGTGCCAAATGCCATGCTTGTACCATAGCCATATATCTGCCGTGACTCAGTCTTTCGAACTTGTTATCATGAAAATCTCGTTATCATGAAATCACAACAGTCCGGCTGACCTTATTGGAATGTGTAAAGGGATTGTAATGTTGATATAAAAAAAAAATCATTATTATACACGTTGGCAGATGACTCACAGACTAACGAATACAATTTGAATATATACATGTACATGTAGATAAGGCAGTCGGTGAGCTCACCGCAAACAACGACTGGAATAAAGACTGGTTGCCATGGCTCGTGCTTTGGCAACCGCAAGGTTGTCTCTCCGACCACCCCTGTTTGATAATCTGCGACCTGTACGGTGGGGCCTCAAGGTTTTCCATACACGTTCACTCAAGTACATGTATAATGCATGTATCGCATAATAAATGTACCTCACAACATAATCAACATAAAATGACTGCCGTTCAGATACATGTACTGTTATCCATGATGGATACACAGGAACAATTTCCTGGAACTGGATCCAGACAGATAGATTTCAAATCTGGGACGAGGTCACAATTAAAATGTCATATGTGTTGCTTAAAAGATTGTGCTTAATATATGAAAACTTGCTGTCATATACATGTATGCGAGTTGGTTAACTCATGGAGGTAGAATTCTACCTCCATGGTTAACTGCAGGACCTATGAATATAAATATGATTTTTGCTTTCGTACGTGTTTTCTCATGTTCCTTTCAAATTTTGCATTTCATATAATTGTCTTTTTATTCAAGAACTCATTTAAGAATACAGTGTATATAGATTAAGAAGTATATCAGGTCCACAAAGATACTGTGCCGGCGACTGCGCAATTTAGCATGACTAAAAATCATGTTCAGTTTTTGAACACTGCAGGAAAAAAATGCCACAAACCCAATATACGCACAAATCATATTCATGTAGATTGCCATTATAATTATTGATATTAGTTGTGTGCAGTAACACTTTCCACAAAATCATCAACTATAGCCCTTTTCAAAATCAACCATGCATGCGTAATGACATGTCGTAGCTAACCGGCACTTGACAATACCCATAGAGTTCCTATAGCGACAAAATATTTTTCTCACAATGGGCGCCGGCAGGTGGGTCAGACCCCGTGGTTGTGCAGGCGGTTATCCGCCACCTTTCGATGTGGACTGGTTCCCAATTTATACGATTGAAGCACACGGTTTACCGACAGGGAACCATCTAATCATCGATAAATACATCAGCGGATGAATATTAGTTTTTGTTGTAATATTATTCATTTCAACAACATTTCAGGACCAAATTCCATAACTTGAAACCATATTTTTTCTCAATTATATTTTGTGATCGAGAAAAATGAGCGATAACCAGATTTAGGTTGATTAAATAAGTGCATGACGTCATGCCCGCACTGCTTTCTGTAAGCGGATGTATTTCTCGTTGAAGCCGCGGTTTCAAAAGCCGGTTGCCTAACGACAGACCGTTCATATTCAACTCAACACCGATTGCGACAGCACCGCTGAGAAACCGCTCTCCTAAAACAGACAGAATTTTGCAGCCCTTCAATCTCTTTTACCAAGCTCATCATACAAAATGCGTGAAATCGTCCACGTCCAAGCTGGCCAGTGTGGCAACCAGATCGGTGCCAAGGTAAGTGAAGGCAAAAAAATCGACGATATAAAATTTTCACCCAAACTGTTGCTCTCGATTCCCGCCGAAACGAAACCACAACCCGACACAGAGAGTGTGCCTACACGGCATCTGCCATGCATGACTACCACGGTTTAGCTTTTCGTTTCGTCTGCGCTGTCGTAAAAAAGGGCAGGGCAAGGCTGATATTTTATTGTTTGATGTAGCTGTCGTTTCATAATATGTACGTGGAAATATCCAAAAACAATGAGAGTTTAGCTACAGTATGGAATCGACGCACCTGCTAGTGCTAACGTGAACATGATTGGGTAAATGGTAGGCCTCCACGCATTTTGGATGTGGCCCCACATGCACATGATAGGACCCCATTATTATGCGGAAACTGTGTACGTGTACTGTGTGGCAGTACCATGTCGGCCGTTGTCTCGCATCGCGAGTTCGATCCATGACCTTATAAATTGTGCGCATACATAATGCCTGCATATTGCTGCCTTTCGATTCAAAAGGAAGTGGCGCTGGCATGTGTGGGGCGCGGCGAGACTGCATTTTTAATGTGTAGTTTGGTCGGCAGTTCGCTCTGTGAATCTGCGGCGTAGTTTCCATTGGACTTTGTATGTTGGTGTCTAGTCGAGTTGGGAAATATTCACGCGGGGAATTCTTGGTATGGTGACCCGTGGGTCACGCACGTGAAAGCTTTTAACTAGTTTCAAAAGGGCAAATACGGATAGAATTTGGGACTAGTCATTGCTAGTGCAGTTTTACAGATAATTTCTCCAAATCATTCTGGAAATATAAAACTATTAAAAGATCAACTACATGTAAATGGCTTCGAAGTTGATTAAAAATAAAATGTACTTTCGAATGCTATGCATTTTTCTGGTAAGATGAATCATAAAAAAAAGAGACAATTGAACAAAATCCTGACACTCAGTGACAGGTTATTTTTGTAACGGCGAGGGGCACTAAGACCTGGCCTTAAAAAATTAAGATTGAAAGTGCTTAGGAAATTAAAGCTAAAAGATATGGAATTTACAGAGAAATCAACTCATATGAATGAATATGTTTAATTTTAGTACATGTACTAACTAAGGAAAGAATAATATTGCTATCCGTCTTTTTATTTTTATTTGCCAAATGTACTAAATGAGTATGCATTTCAATCGGATACAATGGACTTGATGGAAAATGCTAGCTGTTAACAATTAATCCTATTTCATCCAGCGTTATGAAAGTAAATATAATGTACGTGATAGAGCCAAATAACCATGATATTTAAATAATCATCCAGAGAAATGATCCAAAACTCCAAGACTGTAATCTCATTGACCTTTTTAGATGATAGATGAACAAGATTTGAAAAAAACTTGTTCAGGTTTATTCACTGAGCTAAGCGCTTCCATTGATACCTATTCACCGACATTATAGCTGGATTGCCTTAGTTATAAACAAGTAATGCAAGGTCCATTAGAAGAAATAGTACACAGATCAAAGAACAGTTGAAGCATATTCATGTACATGTACAATGTAGGGCCTAAATGTGTTAAGTCCCAGATTCGTTTTAGTTTTCCAACATAATCATGATGTTCACTGTGTAACAGAAACAAAAAAAGATTGAAATCTTTAAAATAGGCTTGGTTTGACACCAGTTATGATTTTCCTTTATACTTTTTCTTCATGTCTTTTTAAATCCATCCCAGGGCATCATTTTTAACTTGCAAAAAAATGTAAAAGAGTTTTCTCTTTTTTGGAAGAAACTGCTAACATTTTTTAGTTAAAAATTTAAAAATTTTTGAGGTATATTTTTTTGAATAATTTTAAGAAGCTTTGATTTTAAGGTTGATTTTTTTCTTCTATCTATTCACAGTTCTGGGAGGTGATCTCAGACGAACATGGCATCGACCCCACCGGCACATACCACGGTGACTCCGACCTGCAGTTGGAGCGCATCAACGTGTACTACAATGAGGCCACCGGTGGCAAGTATGTGCCCCGCGCCGTCCTGGTCGATCTGGAGCCCGGCACCATGGACTCCGTCCGCTCTGGTCCTTTTGGCCAGATCTTCAGACCCGACAACTTTGTCTTCGGGCAAAGCGGTGCCGGCAACAACTGGGCCAAGGGCCACTACACAGAGGGGGCTGAGCTGGTCGACTCAGTGCTGGATGTGGTCCGGAAGGAGGCTGAAGGATGCGATTGTCTTCAGGTGGGTAGAGCTCCACTATTATGGCTTTTCTGTTTCAAAATTATTCTTGAGGGTCATATTCGAAGACAGGGTCAGATAAAATGCTGTATACATGTACTTTCTTGCAAATGAAAACACAAGGTAGTGTTGCTGTCCAGCTCTTGGCCTATCTCTCATGAGATGATGTGGATACCATGAAAACAGAACAAGAACACACACACAGACCACCTTACTTGATTGTCTTGTTTTATTTCAGTTATTTTTAATGCAGAATTTTAATATAATTCAATGTTCTTTATTTCCCCAGGGCTTTCAACTTACTCATTCCCTTGGTGGAGGCACCGGTTCGGGAATGGGAACACTTCTCATCAGCAAGATCCGTGAGGAGTACCCAGACCGTATGATGTGCTCCTTCAGCGTTGTGCCTTCTCCCAAAGTATCAGACACTGTGGTGGAGCCCTACAACGCCACCCTCTCTGTCCACCAGCTTGTAGAAAACACAGATGAGACCTACTGCATCGACAACGAGGCCCTGTACGACATCTGCTTCCGTACCCTGAAGCTGACCACCCCAACCTACGGCGATCTCAACCACCTCGTGTCTGCCACCATGAGCGGCATCACAACCTGCCTCAGGTTCCCCGGTCAACTAAACGCCGATCTCCGCAAACTCGCTGTCAACATGGTCCCCTTCCCCCGTCTCCACTTCTTCATTCCAGGCTTCGCCCCCCTGACCAGCCGAGGCAGCCAGCAGTACCGTGCCCTGACCGTTCCCGAGCTGACCCAGCAGATGTTTGACGCCAAGAACATGATGGCCGCCTGTGACCCACGCCACGGCCGCTACCTGACCGTGGCTGCCATCTTCCGTGGCCGCATGTCCATGAAGGAAGTCGACGAGCAGATGCTGAATGTGCAGAACAAGAACAGCAGCTACTTCGTGGAATGGATCCCCAACAACGTCAAGACCGCTGTCTGCGACATCCCGCCCCGTGGTCTGAAGATGGCTGTCACCTTCATCGGCAACAGCACGGCCATCCAGGAGCTGTTCAAGCGCATCTCTGAGCAGTTCACCGCTATGTTCAGGCGCAAGGCTTTCTTGCATTGGTACACCGGTGAGGGTATGGATGAGATGGAGTTCACTGAGGCCGAGAGCAACATGAACGACTTGGTGTCTGAGTACCAGCAGTACCAGGATGCCACAGCCGAGGAGGAGGGCGAGTTTGATGAGGAAGAAGGCGAGGGAGATGAAGAGGCTTAAACTGCTCCAGCAACATTAACAACATAAGAACTGATGCAGCAGCATAAATGTATACACAATGTAATAGGACAGGGTAGATATCGACACAAGTACATGTATCCACATCAAAGTTATCAAACTGTCAATCAGTTACAAGAACTGGACTGCGAAAACGTCAACCTTATGTCATCTGTCGATGATCCAAACATCGGTTTCAGAATCAGAAATTTTGTTCTCAAATTTTAACTGCGATATTCACAAAGCATTTGTTTACTGTTTCAAGTACTGCATTTTTATAGTTGCTCCCCATTTTACTTTTCATGCAACAAAACCTGCTTGAATGCTTTATTTTTGAAGACGTGCCTGAAATCCCAAACATATTTTTGTGGTTATTTTTACCTTGTTTAAAAAACAAACAAAAAACAACTTTCATATATCCTTTTTCTTGACATACACAAGAGCCAGGCGAAAATATGGGTCGACATTAAATTATCAAATAAACAAGGAAACAGCAGTACAATATATTTGTCTAGTTTTTCTTTGTGCCTTCTACATGGTGTTGTTCTGTCTAAGGAGTGTCGAGTGCACTTTCAAAAGTATTTTCTAACAAATTTGGAAATGTTTCTCTGCCCCAGATTCATATCTTTTCAACACTTCTGCAATGACTGGTCGTCATTGATACATGATGAAAAAAGAGGCGTCTTTACCTGACTTGTTTCAAACTGCAAAAAAATAAGACATTCGGTGTAAATTTCAATTTTCATGACAAAATGGCGCACAAAAAAATGACTGGCACACAAATTTGGTATGAACTTACCAACAGTATAAACCATAGCGTTAGCCGGATCGTAGGCGCTCTGCTCGCTAGCTCCTTCACCTAGGCCGTATCTGGCCGTGTCATCAGACGAGTAACCGTACGGTATGTACACGGTGGAGATGGGGCTCAAGACCACTGTAGGAGTGAAAGTTTATTAAAATAGCAATTTGTCATCCTTATTTTGGGTTATAAAAATTGGGAACTTAAGACCGAAACAACAGGTAAAGCGAATATCAAACTTGTTCTTTACTGAGGGCGGCACTCTGAGTTTAATCAACAAAAAGCGTAATGGCGTGTGAAAGTACGACATGTACTCCTGTAAGTACGCTGTGATTCACGGAAAGATTCCCATATCTGGCCATCACTTGACACCCTGTGCACAAACCGTATGAGACTGGTCTGGAAAATTTCTAAGTGTTTTCTCAGTAACATGTACATGTTCTTGCAATGGATATTTTCCCTGCTAATAGGTCACTGAAGGGCAAAATTAGTGATGGCCAGATATGGAAGTCTTTCCTATGTCTCCACAAACCCCAGAATATAAGCTATACTTGGGGGGGGGGGGGCTGGCACAATGATAGCTCCATGGTTTGAAGAACGGGTCTTTAAAGCTCACTTGTTCAGTGGAGATTCATTTCGATAAAACCATCTAAACTCGCTTTTCCCATTATGAAATTTAATTTAACAGACATTTAAAGATGAATTAAAGATTCCGCCCCCCCCCCCCCAAAGGAACTAAATCCGAATATTTAATTTCCCGAAAGCTATGGCATGTGAGGAAATGTACATTTTGTTTAACCTTGGTTGAAACAACAGGAGGGCGCTATTTGATTTGGTTAAACTCTGTTGGCGTTACCCAAACGAATTACAAATGTACATGTACAGTCGAACCCTGATAAGAAGAGCACTGTTAATACATGTACATGTACAACGTCATGCTTATAACAAGCGAAATGTTAGGTCACAAGTCTTTGGTTTTCTTTGTTTTCCTTTGTTTTCCAATACTGTTAATTGGTCGAGTCCCAAGGACCTTGTTATAAAGGTGTTCGACTGTACATTGTAGCGCCCTCTTCGTGTGTCTCATAAAAAGGCTAATATTGTGGTTTGGGACTGCATACAATTTTGGTTGAATTCTGGGAAGGAGAATGGGCCGCTCACCATGAGCATCGCTGTCACCGGTGTCAGCATCGCTATCTACAACCTCGTACATGGCCACGGTGCCACCAATCGCGCTGGTAACCAGAAGCAATGGCTTCCCGAGTGGCGTGTCGGATGCCTTGATAAACCTAGCCAAACCAGTCGAAACAAGTAGGAGCAGAATTTTAAATTAAGTCAACACGAGCCAATCACTCGAAGTACATGTACATAAGTCATCCAATCAAGTCACAAGCTACCCAATGTGGCAAAATGCCGTTTGATTTTCCTTAGTATTCTTCATCCCCTGTTAAACTTATGCATTGAGATGAACATTTCTTAGGAACACATTTTGTGCAACATAATTTCTACTCCAGTCTGAAATGTATTATGACGTCCCTTTTTGGTTATTTTTTTTGAAAAGTGCACTTCTTCGGCTGTTTCGGAGTAGGCCCATACACTGAAAAATTGCCTGGGTTAATTTTACCCAAGAAACGGTGAAAACTGCAACTACCCTAAATTGGGTTGTTCTATAACCAATTGTTTGGGTTAGAATTTCTGTTAAATTCAACCAAAAGTTGTAGCCATACAAGACCATATTAAATTTGGTCTTGTATGACCACAATTTTTTGTTGAATTTAACAGAAATTATAATTGGATAAAAGAACAACCTAATTTGGGGTAGTTGCAGTTTTCACCCTTAATTTCTTGGGTAAATTATACCCGGGAAATTTTTCAGTGTACATGCTCCGAAACAGCTCTTGTTTTCGTTAAAGTTTTTTTTTTTACTCTCTCCCCCTCCCTTAATTGATTGTTTTCCTTTTTCCAGACTCCTTTCCATAGGTTTTGTACACGTTTTCTTCCACCCACATATACACTTCGAGACTTTCGTGAATCCGATCGACTTCAGACTGGGCACACACTTGGGCTACCGCCTGAAGATGTAGGCCGAAGATTTTCGTCGTGATAAAGTAATCAGGTGTCAGTGAGGTTCTTGTGTCTGCCTCACACTCATCATGTCTCTTGGAAATTCGCATTAGAATAAAAACCCAAAAGGCATCCAAATACCCATGAAAATGGAAAAACGATAAAGAATTGAAAACTAGAGGTTCGCGTTTGTTGTTACAAACGCAGAGTGGTCGGGTAGACAACCATTTCATTAGACATTGTCTAATTAAGTTATGAATATGTTTATGTCAGAAACAACGGACCAAGAACTTCAACATTTCCAGTTCCAATTATTTTTCACAAAAAGAATGCGTCTTTTAAGGTATGATAAATTTCAGTTAACAGTTTGAGTACAAGTTATTTCCGGTTTGATGGCGTCATCAGTCAAAACAGGGAAGGGAGGACACTTGTTTATCATTAAGTAAAAATAATGCATGGAAATATGGAAATTAAGTGTATGTAATAATAACAGCTAACTTCCAGTTTGATGACGTCACAGTATTTAGAAGCAAAAGGTCAATATTAAGTGTAACAGATGTCATTGGGGGGGGGGGGCAAAAAACAAAGTCATGAGACAAGGATCAAATGATGACTTTAAAAATAAAATGGTCATTGTTGAATTCTCCCTACAGTAATTTCCGGTCTGATGACGTCATGATTATGAAACCTTGCAAATTCATTTGTGGTTGCTCACGGGATATATAGGGGCAATTATATCATAAAAATTTGATTAAGGGTTTTAACATTTTAAAAGATTAAACTGTTTTCCATGTGCCGCTGGAGGGCGCCCTTTCTTGGATGACGTCAAAATAATGTTTTTGTGATTGGCATTCCTCACTTAACACTTCAATAATGTATTTGTCTGTACGAAAATGCTTCCGTTTTAGAGTTAGATTCAGTTTCTATTGCACTCCCGGTAACACCGGAAGTAAAGGTCAAGCAGTTTTGTGCCCGGGAATAAGAAATGTTGCTCAAGGCACCGTCTACAACCTCACGAAAAAACGAACACGATACCCTATTTAGTTCAAGAGATATAGGTCAAAGTATTTTGTCAAATCGTGCAATCAAATCGCTTGTAATTTGATACCTGATGACGTTTTGATGACGTAACAACAGTTATAACATCTTCGTAACATGGTACAGGTTCACAGTAGGTTTTATGATCATACCGTAAACCGTTTGGAAGAAATTGTGCTTTGTTTCGATTTCAGGCTAATGTCTTCATTTTGAATTCACCTAAATTTGACCTTCCGGTAGACCCGGAAGTAAAGGTCAAGCGAGTTCACGTACACAACAAAAAATGTTTATCAATTTATGGTTTATCTGATTACAAGGTTGGAGCATAATTGATCATTTTGTTGCAGAGTTATAGATAAAAGAAGATCGTCATTTTTTCAACGAAAATCGCTTGTAATTTGACACCCGATGACGTCATAGTGACGTCAGTGTAATATGCACCACCCGGAATGAGGGTCAATATATGTTCAAAGGTACAAGTTCATATCATATACCGTTTAGGAGAAAACCCGCGGAAACGTGCTATGCAGAAAAAAAAGAAAGAAAGAAATAAAGATTAATCGCAACAAATCCAAAGAGTGGTCGGGTTGTACCCGACCACTCAATAAGGTTAAATGAGACAGAAAGGTGTATTTTCAAGAATTACATTTTAAAAAAATGCACTGCATGGCCCGCATGAACCCAGCTGGCCCGGTCCGAATGTTGTGCACATGCGGACATTATTGCCAGTATAATGATTGTGGGGGTCAGAGCGGGGGGGCATTCTTCTTATTTTTTTTGTAATTTCTATGAAAACAAAATTGAGTCAGAGCACCACCTTTGGATCCGCGTCTGTCGGACCTAACCAGCATTAGCAACTTTTGGAACCACAACTAAACAAAAAGAACAATTTAAAGTACCTGAGGTCCTCTGGGTCCAGGTTCCCGATTTTCCTCCCGTCGTAGAGGTCGGAGAAGGCCCCCCGCGACTCCCCGAACCGATGGATGGACTGAAAGACCGGCACGATTGAGTCGCTCTCGAAAGCGTAGACCATGAGGGCGCACGTCCGCTCGTTACCGACGAACAGTACGCGCTTGCCGTTGATCTCTCCCAGCTCCACGGCTTCGGGTTCTGTACCCTGATGTACAAAGTCAATGCAGAAAAGAAAGGTTGATACACACATATTTCAAATTTTAAATAATCAATGTGAATTCAAGAGTTGCATGTGCAATGTGTACTCGTATCAATTAAATGCCAAGAATAAAAAGAAAAGTCAGGTTTTACTGTCACGGATAGAGTCAAAAATTCACACTTAATCGGTCTGTTGCAGCGTCATAACTATTAAGCTAACCTTGTTATCAGACCGCTTGTCGAAGGTGTCTGTCGGCGAGTCACTAGCCGGATCGCGACTGAGGTAGTCGGCGTTGAACAGCTCCGGGTAGGCCCCCGCGTGCCGACGTGCGATCTCGTCTCCGCTGTCGTACACCAACGAGAAGTCGTCGGCACGGAATATGGACACGCTGCGGCCGCCGTAGAAGTACAGCCTGTCAAACTCGCTGGTGTTCTGCGGGTTGCGGCCGTCGACCGTGCTGAACTGTAGCCGTCCTAAAAATTGAAAAATTCCTGGATTATTAAACAACCAGACAACACTAAGTGGTCCATTTTCTAAGAGTAATTCTGTGGCAAGTTTGGAATTGAAGTGTTTCAATCATTTCTGCCTGTTTTATAAAGTAGGCCACACCATAGAAAAAAAAACAAGAGATTCAAATGACCTTTTTGACAAATTGAAATCTTTCTGTGATTATTCCTTTTAAAAAAAAAAAATTTGTAGAAAGATCGAACATTGGTGTAGTTTCCACAAACTTCTACCTACCACTTACCTAACTTCTCCTTGTCAGCGAGGGCGCTTCGCACTTCGCTGGGAACCTGGTCAGACAGCTGATTCTCTGCCACAGAATTGAAAATTGAGTCCCTCTTTATTTTTGAATAATCAGCCGCAATTAAGGCCTAGGGCCTACAGCAAACATGTTCGTTGGATAGTGTGCAGCCGCAAAATACCGATTCGCAGCGCAAAACTGTCCCTGAATCAATGCGCATGTTTACTAATCGACTCTGTCCTTTTACCCATGGAGGAATACAATATTTTAATCCTTCGTGTTTCGCCCACAACTGCCCTGGCTATTTTCATCTCACAACTACCCTATAGCTAGTGTTGAGTCCCAGGTGAAAATTCCTGTTGAAACCAGTTGAACTGGAAATTGGTGACCGGTTTTGAATCGGAATAACTGATTTTGAACTGGTTTAACTGGTTCAAAACCAACCATTTTTTCAAAGTAGGTTTAACCAATTCAAAGCCAGTCACCAATTTCAAGTTCACATTGTACCAGTTGATAAACCAGTTGAAACCAGTTCAACCGGTTTGAACTTGAAACCAGTTCAACCGGTTTCAACTGGATCGAACTATCATATGAGATGTAGAATTGCAGCAAACTATCCTGCTCAAGGACTCATAAAACTATATGCACTTATTACCACAGAAACGCATTCCCAGATGGTGATCGTAGAAGACCTTTCAGTAATTTCAAAACATTGAGAATGCATTGTGCGATTTTTTTTTTTAAATAAAAGTTACCCTTTACAAAATCATTCCCTCTCTGGCTTTCTTCCCACTCTTCATTTCCCGCCTGGAGTTCCATGTCGTCGCCCTCGTTGGCCGTGACGATATACTCGACACCGCCCATCTCCATGAACGCGATAGTGTCCGGCTGGTAGATGCTGTAGATGTCGTAGGACTCCAAGTTGATCCCTGGAAGCAAAATATTATAAATTTACAGTGTGGATTGCAGTTGCCATACCGTGCTAGTCATGTGGTAATGCCAAAAATACCTAGGTGCTGATTTATGTGTCCCAGAGATTTATATGTCTAGGTATGTACTGGTGTGGCTCCAACGCCCGTGTACATAATGAGGACTGAATATACTGCACGCAGGCAAGACAAAACTTAAAGTTATGACGAAATACTGTAATTTATCGTATTCCGTTTGTCGTTTTGATCCAAGGCTAACTAAGAACAACAATGTAATGTTGACGCACGGTCTTACGCTGGCGAAGGTCAAAACCCAGTATTGAGATCTGTCAGTCTTTCCCCATTTTGTTTTTTTACCAAAATCGGTAAAGGTCCCTGCAAGTCCATCACAATTCCTCCTCTCACAATGTTAGTCTTGTGTTAAAGGCATCCATTTGTTATTGTTCATCCACTGTTACTTGTGACTGGACTTGTGATTCTTGTGACTGGACTTGTAATGGACCCTGACCAAAATCAGTCCTATAGACCATTATCATGTTGCGGCCATTTGGATTTTCCCTTACAAATCAACGTAACCAAAGCGAGGCTGGAAGGGAAAATAGTCTGGTTCCTTTTGGCACAAAACATCATTATTCAGTACTGTTATAGGATACAGAGGGAACATGACTGAAATGGTGGCATCATGATAAAAGTCTATAATGTCACTCTTTGCCAAACTGTCATTCACTAGATATGGAGTACAATGATGGACCGACATGACAATATATATACACATGTATATATATTTTAAAATCCTTCTTTGAAATTGCTTCGGTTTAATGTTCCTTCACACTTGAAAAAAAAACGAGTTTATTCCCGATGTTGGTCAAACTACCAAGTGCCTAAATCCTTTGACAAATTCTTCCCAAAAGTTGGTAAGTTATGCTGATCCTAATTAACTTTTGAAATGGATGTTTTTGCGTGTTAATTTCGGCAAATAAAAATTCCATTATATTTTACTGCATGCAGTTTTAGAAATATCTCTTAGCAGACAGGTCTTTTAATTACCTGAGTCTTTATCGCTTGCATCAAGCAGGTAGTTTTTCCAGGACTTGAAGCCGAAAGGGTAGATATCCACGATCGTTTCTGATATCAGATCCACCACAGCCACCGCGTTATTTTCCTGCATGAAATTATTTACTATATATGTCAGTGTAGAATGTCTTTTGACACGTCGGATATATGCTGCAACTCTTATTCGAAGAGTGCTGGTCGAAAACGGCCAGCACGGTGTCCTCTTTTAAAAAATTGAGATTCTGGATGCTCTGTGGTGTGATCTGAGGCAATTTCTGACCACTTTTTAGGGGCCGTTCACAATTATCAACATTTTCACAAGTGTACAAAGAGTACGCTTTTTCAAGACCCCCCCCCCCCTAAAAGTGTACGAACAAAATGTTGATTTTTTTCACACAAGTCTATCACTTGCATGTGATTTAAAGGGTTTTTGTAACTTTTGATAACGCTTGATCAACTACTTCGTCGAACAGCTTTTCACGTCTGCATTCCGCCACAATCTCTAGCCCTCACACACAACATCTGCTCGTTTGCGTTGAATATTCACAAACACAAAAGCATTTACAAACTCCATGTATTTGTTGGTCGGATTCTTGTGGACAATACATCCTTGTCGAATGAGGAATTTCAACAATTGATCATACAAGTCAACAGCGCGGCTAGAATATTTATTGTCCGCCATTGCTAGTGCGTCGACTGCCGGTGTTGTTCGACAGGTGTAGCGTGAATATCCGACTCAATGAAATGTGGACTCATTGGTAGTAGTGCGCACGCGTGAGTACGATACTATGCTATTTTTAGGATCGTTTGGGGAGAGTGACCTGTCACGTGCGAGGGATTAACCAATAAAAGGGGTCCGATTTTCATAGGAGTCGGATTTTAATGTGACACCGGCCGTTAAAAACACGCAGTGGATACGGACTATACATGTACATACAGTACATTTTCATGTACGTGTGTAGGACAATGCCGCGCATGCTGTACACAATACGTTCATGGCATGCAATGCGGGGGCCTGGCGTGGGGCGCCATCGGCATCGGTTGCGGCTGTCGCGACGGGCGAGAAAACAGATCGACGTTTAAAAAAAAAAAGCGTACGGCGGCCATTAACCCCCCCCCCCCCCCCAGCGTACGGTTTGTACGCTCGTGAAAATGTTGATAATTGTGAACGGCCCCTTAACCAATTTTTTGTTGAGGAAAAGATGGTGGTGTACGCAGTGCCTGCCTTTTTTGCGACGTCACTTTAAAAAAAATGTGTTCGTGGTTTTTTGGGGGAGGGGGTGGGGGGAATAGCCCCCGTTGTCCCCCCCCCCCCCCCCGATCCGCCCTTGCCAGTCCCCGGCACAGAATTACGCCACTGAAAAAGTGTGTGTATCTCTGGGCAACATTCCATCATAATTCCCGCCTCTTAATACCTAACCCCGACCCCAGTGCAATGTTTAGATCCAGGCCAAACAAACAATCACAAGAAAACCCAAGTCAAAACTGTAAATTGTTCAACGGGATGATTTACCTGCAGGCATATGTAGGCTTTCGTGTCCTGCTTGTTGATGGTGATATACTCCGGCTCCAGGGACTGTGAGAAGTTGTTGGCGCTTCGGCCCAATTCTCCCCTGTACGGCCATCTCACTCCACGCCGAACGTATTCATCCGCTCTAAAAACGGTGAAACATTCAGGAGAAAGCATTCAGGACGCTTCTTAATTATTTCAAGCCGCTGTTATTCATGTAATAATGGAATATTTAATTTGTATTTCTGGTTTGTTTTTCTATTTCTACCCACAGCCTTTACAAGTAGTTTACACAGCACTGCTTATTGAAACTCCATGCAAATTGTCGAACCACCCAATATATTAAGATAACTATTTTATCAATCAAAGGTCGATGACTGTTGTAGCCGCTGCTCTATGAGATTCGAACCAACAAGGTAAGACAGCAAGCCCAATGGTTTACATCAGAGGTCGTTGGTTCGAGTCCCATTTGAGCGAGCGCGAATTTCTTCCCACAAGCTTGTCTTCTTCGAAAGCACTGCGTATATACGGTGCAATCGAGCTTGTATTACGAAAGTCCCAAGTAATAATAATTTTGGGAGCTAACCATCTTTATTTGCAGCTGAGAAGCTGAATTGCGAAGAACGCAGCTACAACGTGGCCGAGCCGGATGCATGTAAGATAGGCAGCCGCCATACTACCCATGTCTGACCAGTCACGGAGCACAGCCAGGTCTATAGGCCCTAAGTGTTGATTTTTGCGGAGGGAGGAAAACCGGAGAGCCCGGAGAAAAACCCTCGTGGCACACAATTGAATCAACGAACAACTCTACTCACATATGGTCCGAGCTGGAAATCAAACCCGGGCCACAGTTGTGAGAGGCGAGCGCTTTAAGTACAAGCCGTCAATGCCATGCATTGTGCAAGCTATTACTCGTAATAATCGTCATGGAGAATGAGTTGATCGCCACAATTCCACAGCAATTGAGCAGTGAATTGCTGACCTGATTGTTCTAACGACATAAGGTAAACTGGTAAAACTTAAAACCTTAAAGCGTTGACGTAGGACATTCATTGTAAAAGTAAGACTAGGCTTGCTGGTCGAGCTGAATCTGAAAGTCGCAATTTAGGACTATTTTACATGAAGGCTCAATATAGTCAGTGACTCGGTCAGTCATCAAAGAACATTAAAAAAAAATTATCACCCACCGATCGTTAAACGACTTGAAGTCAAGACTGACGGCATCCGGAACGGCCGTATCGAGGTTGTCGAGATGGATGATCGACACCGTGCCTTCGTTGTCGACGATGTAGCCCGCGTCCTCGTACGGCTCGCCCTCGTTCGCCACTACGATCGTCCTGCAGTCGTGGGTGAACTTCAACATGTCCGGTCGACTGCCAACTTCATGCGGATGGCAAAAGGAAGAAAGATAATTACTTCGGAAATCAGAGCTAAAAGACGATTGAAATTAGGCATCTGGACGCAGTGCACGGGCTCTGAAATATTATGTGAATGTTTGCGATTCATTCATTCATTCATTCATTCATTCATTCATTCATTCATTCATTCATTCATTCATTCATTCATTCATTTCATTTCAGTTTTATTGTAAAAAAAAAAAATGGTGACCAAAGAAAAAGTACAAGGACTAAAAATATTTGGTTTACAGTAATAATTAATATTTACAATGATTGCTAAGCATTACATACATGCAAACAGAAAAGCTTGAACAGATAAAAAACAATAACAGTGACTCACATTACAGATAAAATTTGAGTAATTAAAATAGAATAAGATAGGAGGAACAATTACATGTATATGAACACCTAAAAACCACAACTACTGAGAATTAATTAATCTGATCATAGTGGGGACAGGAGATTGTTTATATCTCTGAGTATAGATACGAGGCATGGTAAGGTGGTTGGAGTTCCTGAGATTTAGTTTGGTGAGAGAGAGTCTTAGGTTGGGAAGCATGTGACGGTGTTTTTCAGAGGTATGCAAGTTTTTGGCAAATTGAGTGGTGAGGTCAACACGTCTGTCTGAAAGCGATCTGATACCCCGTGTTGGTTTCCTGAGTTGATTTTTCGTAATGACATATAGGATCATTTGATCTTCATGCATTTATAACGCCAGTCAAAATCCAAAGACGAATTAATGTTCAAAACTTAACCTGGTGAAGTTTCAGTTCAGTGGGTAAATGATGTTAAAGCGCAAATCAATAGCTTTCCAATGATACCAAATTTATTTCTGTGGCTTAATTTAATCCAAAGACCTCATTTTGAGAAAAACGGCTTTGAAAAAAAAATGTGCATTGCGCCGTCAACGGCAGTGAAAAACGTTGTTTTAGCTTTTCCAGTTTTGGGAGTATTTTCCCCCAACAAAGATGTACAGTGTGAATCTTGGATGCCTTGGCTACTCAAAAATACAAAATACCAAAAAACGACCTGGACATGATTTTTCACGTACTTCAGGCGTCGATTACTCAAAACAAGATTCTGGGGGACATTTCCCATTTTGCCACAGCGGGTAACATTTTTACTATAAGTGACCACCTGGGGTAAGCAGTAGCACCTTCGGATTGTGTGCGCACGAAATGTACGTACATGTACATTATAAGAGCAAGCGGCCTACTCACGACACAATGAAGTGAGTTCCTTCCTTTTTGGGGAGGGGGGGGGGGTGGGTGAAGAAGAAATGGCTTGCGACGAGCGAAAACTCACCGGAGATGTTCGCCACGAGCTGAAGCTGGCCAGATTGCCGGTCGTAGCGACGGTACAGCTGGACGGTACCGGGCTGGCCGTCCAGCGCCACCCCGACGAGCCCTCCACAGTACTCCACGTCGTTGCCCTTCGACGGCAGGCGGGCGTGGTGGAGCACGGTTGGAGCTGTTACATCGGTGAAGTCCAACACGTGCATGTACTTGTCGCCTTGGGTGGGGAAAAAAAGAAGAAAACGGAGAGAACATTTGGGTCAAGTAAACCGTGAACCACTGACACATTGAATTGAAGACTATAGACATGCAGCCGACGAGCCAAGTTCAAATGTATCGTCTTTAAAGATGTACTCCCGGTGATTTTTCGAGTTTCTCTCAAAATTTACAATACAGTCAACACTCGACGATTTAGGAAGTTTATCGTCGGTTCGCAATGGGCTTAATTTGGTTCAGTCGGCGACAGTTTCAGTTAGTTTTTTTTACCAAAACAAGAGGTCAAATGTAAACACTATTAGAATTTCTACCGATTTCAATGGATTTCATTTGCTGTGTAAATTATCCGCAGGTCTACTTATGACGCGGAACGTAAAATTTACAATCGACAGTCGACACTTTAATAGTAGGGAAGTTTATACCTTCTGTCCGCACTGGACTTAATTTGGCTAAAGTCGACAACAGTTTCAGTTAGTTTTTTTACCCCCCCCAAAAAAAGGTCCAATGTGAACACTATTATAGTTGCACTGGTTTCAATCGAGAAAGGCAATTATGCATCCTTGAATTTGAAGAAGAAAAAAAAAACAGTTAGGCACCGCAAATCGGAAGTAAGGCACGACAAAATGATTCACCCACCATGAGTAATGTTTTCGTTGTGCATGTGTTGAGTTACCTGTACTTTTTTATTACTCATAGAAGGGTAACATTAACGAAACGTGGCATGTTGATTGCTTTGCCGGCAGGTCCTCCGTGCCAACAATAGAAAAATCCAAGGGTGACAAAATTGCTCTGACTCTGTTGAACTCACGGTCTATATTCTAAGCGGAAGCACAATCAAAACTTGTCCTGCCCACTAAACTTCACTGTAAATCTGAAATACGTCATGGAAAAATATACGCCTACATTGAATCTAAAAAAAAATACATCATGTATGTCATTTGCTCTAAACTCCTTCAGTCGACTCTCGATATTACGAGTTCATGCAGTAACGACGAGATTCTGGTTCAGAAAAGCATAGTCCCGACCTAAGCGTGCACATTCCTATGAGGGATAAAACTAGCTTAATACGAGCATCGGTAAAATGGTAATTCGGCTCAGACGAGAGCTTTTTCGACCCCCTTGCGTGCAAATGCGTATTTATTTATTTATTTATTTATGGACTTGCGTTACTCGAACTAAACTCAAAATGAACACTCATCAAACTGAAACAACCAATCTCCATTTGGGTTCAGGAGTCCTTAATATTTTATCTAAAAATTAACACATTGTATGTTATTTATATTTTATATTTAATTTAGTATTTGCAGTTTTATGTAAATTAATAAATACATTGCAAGAAAATGTTCATTGAAATATTTGGATTGTTTCCTATGGCGTGTCAAACGTTGCAAAATTCAATGTTTCACAATATATATGTTTGATGTTCAATATGTGTTTGTTATCTTTTACATTTATGTGCGATGTTCAATATAAGTGTGCGATGTTTTTCATTATGTGCGCGATGCTTAATATATTTGTGCGATGTTTTACAATATATGTGCGATGTTCAATATATGTGTGCGATGTTTTACATTTATATGCGATTTTCAATTTATATGTGCGATGTTTGACCTTATATATGTGCGATGTTTTCAATATTATGTTCGATTTTTTGCATTTAATGTGCGATGTTTTTCGATACAATTGTGTGTGATGTTTTACAATATATTTGCGATATTCTCAAATATGTGAGCAATGATTTACACATATGTTTGACATTTCCAGCTACATGTATTTGTATTCGATGTTTCATCGGTATGTTTGCATTCGATCTTTTGCAATATGCATTTGATGTTTCACTTTTCATTCGATGTTTCGTTAAGAGTCAAAGTCTGGTTACTAGACCGCGAAAGTCTGACTATTTTGCCTAAGGTCAGTGTATGAGACGTCAGGGGATCGCGTAAAGTGATTAGAACCAGACCTAAACGGTATAAACCGGAATTGTGGGTAATTCTTTAAGCATACGCAATGCGTTCATCCAGGGGGAAATTTCTCCATGGTTCATCATTGTTTGGGCAGTACCCCCAGCTGTGCCTGTACTACCCATAGTGTTGTGTGCATCATCTATGCATTGAGGAGTGCATGACACATGGTCTGAGCTCCAAGGCCGATGTCTACCTGTCCCGTTTAATGATCCAGTTACCTGATAATTTGTTAGCATAAGCTGATAGGCGACAAACAGAGTTACGTAATTCATTGGCTTATGTGGCACACGATGGAAGTAGTGTGACATTTGGGCCTAAGATAGATATTTTTTTTAAAACTTGACCATATTAATATTCAGTGCAAGTTTAGTGAAGTACCAATTTAGACTTATTCTCAAGTTGCACTCTTTTTTATAGTACAAAATGTCGAATATCCGATCGAGTGTTGTAAATTCGAGTCGGGAGTGGCACCGAGAGGGATTAAATCCATGATATAATACGGCCGATTCCGACTACAGCTACAACCACAAAAAAAGTTAATAATGTCTGAAAAATCTCATTATTAAGATTGCTTACATCATATCACATGGCAAGGGGCTCTGTGCTTATCGGCAAAATGGGTGCGTTTTGGGCGAGCACTGTGTTCGGGTACAAACCCCAGTCCGTTTGCTATTTTTGTAATATTTTCCCGTCCAAAACAGTAGCTGAACCCGTTATCGGCTGCCTCATCAGACCTCGGCGCGGGTGTGCGGGGCGCAACGCACGGCACTTACGTGCACTCTGATCAGCGAACCGCGCCTGTCACCACCGGCCGGGCACTATCTCATCTCGGCCTCAGAGCGTGGCCCTTCCCGACCCGATTGCACTGCGGATTTGAAGGAATTTCAAAGAGGGTTTCAAAAGGGCTTGCCAGTGCGTCGATTTTTTTCGGGGCAGGATTCTTTTTCATTCCCCTTTCGTAAGGTGAAAAACCAACCGGCGCCGTACCGGTTGCAGTTTCACCGTAATTCTCGAATAAACAGCCCACCGAGTGTTGTATAAACAAGACAAGCAGAGTCACAGAATTCGTTGTCCGCGAGAGCTTCCTTGCTCTGTGCCGGTGAGAGACTGAGGTAATTTTTTGGCAAAAGATGTTTTCTTTTTAAAACTTCACGGATTAATATTAAGTGGAAGGAGTGAAGTATACATATTTAGACTTCTTCTTAAGTTACACTCTCAGTCATTTTTAGTACACAAGGGCAAAACGTCAAAATGTCGAATATCTGAGTGTTGTAAATTCGAGCCGGGAGGATTACGGTTGCGCCGAGAGGGATTGAGACCTTTACGGCAGACAAAGAAAAGAAAATCATTAGGCTTATGCCTGCAAAATTTCTTTAAATCGATTGGTTAAACATAGAAGAATATGACATCCAAACTTCAATTTTTATAGGCGCCCCGAATTGCGAAAAATTCGAAACAGTTTCAGCCCAACTCATTTCACATCGAGCCTACATCCAGGTACTTGAACACCCATTTCTCATCGCGGATAGAACAGATTTCCGGCTTTGGAATGAATTTGGTCCGTCATTTAATGACAGCAATTTTAATTTGTTGTTAAAACATTTTCACGAAAGGCGGAACTAAAAAAAAATGTATAACTATAAGCGCCTTGAGAAAATCGGTGCATTGGTAAAACCGATTAATTTTATGATGAGACGGAGATTCGGCTCTTTTTCAACATTCACTGCCATTGAGTGAAACCATGGTGAAACGAAAACCATTAATTCAGTCAGACAATTTTGTTCCATCGCTAATTTCAGAAATGTCCAGATTCGATAGATGGGTTAAGGCACATCTAAAGTATAATTTATTAGCGCCCCGAATAATTCGGTATCGAAACAGTCTCAGTCCAACTAATTTCATATTGAGGTTAAAATCCAGGCAAAACAATTTTTTTTACATACATCGTTCATCAGAATAACGGATTTCCAGCTTTGAAATGAATGTGTTCCATCTTTAATGAGACAATTTCGGGGTTTTTTTTGTTAAATCATCTTACGAAAGGGGAAAGAAATAGAATCCTGCCCCGAAAAAATCGACGCTTTGGCAAGCCCTTTTGAAATTCCTTCAAATCCACAGTGTAATCGGGTCGGGAAGGGCAACGTTCTGAGGCCGAGGGCCCAGAGATGAGAGTGCCCGGCCCGTGCTGACAGGCGCGGTCCGCTGATCAGAGTGCACGTACGTGCCGTTCGTTGCGCCCCGCACACCGCCGAGGTCTGATGAGGCAGCCGCGGCCGATAACGGGTTCAGCTACTGTTTTGGACGGGAAAATATTGCAAAAATAGCAAACGGACTGGGGTTTGTACCCGAACAGAGTGCTCGCCCAAAAACGCACCCATTTTGCCGATAAGCACAGAGCCCCTTGCTAATGATGTAAGCAATCATAATGATGAAATTTTTCAGACATATGAACTTTTTTGTGGTTGTAGTCAGTATCGGCCGTATTATATCATGGCCTTTATAATCCCTCTGGCAGTGCCGCTCCCGGCTCGAACTTACAACAGTCAATCGGATATTCGACATTTTGTACTACAAAAAAGAGTGCAACTTGAGAATAAGTCTAAATTGGTACTTCACTAAACTTGCACTGAATATTAATATTGTAAAGTTTTAAAAAAAATATCTACTCATGATCTGCGGCCCAAAGGTCACACAACTTCCATTGTGTGCCACATAAGCCAATGAATTACGTAACTCCGTTTGTCGCCTATCAGCTTATGCTAACAAATTATCATGTAACTGGATCATTAAACGGGACAGGTGGACATCGGCCTTGGAGCTCAGCCCCCTAGCCCCCCCCCCCGTAGAACCGCGCCTGGTCTAGTAACCAGACTTTGACTCTTAACGAAACATCGAATGAAATGTGAAACATCAAATGCATATTGCAAAAGATCGAATGCAAACATACCGATGAAACATCGAATACAAATAACTGGAAATGTCAAACATATTTGTAAAACATTGCTCACATATTTGAGAATATCGCAAATATATTGTA